TCTTACTTAATTTATTTCTAACATGACGGTACACAAGAATCAAACAATATACATAATATATAAATAGCATTAGAGAACAAATAGTCACATAATAAATAAATATTTTATAATGCGTCGCTTACAATGTTCCTCTCTGTTGCACGCTGAAAGACCTGAAGTTTGTTTATTATTGTTTTTGTTATGTGTGTATAGTGCCCAGCTTTGACAGCCAAGTGTTAGACAGTGTTGGTAGAATAATAGTATCTATTGCCTTCTTTTTTAGTCGCGTCGGTATAGGAGACTTAAATATTTATTTTAGTGACCAGTATTTTCTCCAAGCACTTTTTATTCTGCGGTCGACTTCATTCTCTGTTTGGTTTGAAAAACAAATGTTCTGCCCAAGATATACATAGCTGTCTACATACTCTATCAATATATTTCGCACCTTCGTAGGCACTCTAACGCTGTTAGTTGGGAGTCTCGTTTTTTCAGTATTCATATTGAGTCCGCACTTTCGACTCTATATCTAGAGATATCAGCATGTGTTCTAGTTCATCACGACTTTCACTGATAAGGATAACATCGTCAGCGAATCGTAAGTGGCTTAAATACTCGCCATTTATTTTTATGCCAATATTATGCCAATTGAGTTGTCAAAATACATGTTCTAAAATTGCGTTAAATAAATACGGTGAGATAGGATCCCCTTGTCTCACTCTTTTCTGCATATTAAATGGTGTTCCTTTTCTTTCTAATTTAACTACTGCCTTGCTCTGTTTGTATATCTCCTTCTGGATTTTGATATATTTAATATTTACTCCTTGTTCTTGTAGCGTCAGCCATAGGTATGTATGGTATATAGAGTCGAATTCTTGAGTTTCTTTTTTATAAGTCATATGGCATTCATATAAAGATGTATAGTATTCAGTAGCTACTTCTAATATTTGACTTCGATTAGTTATTTGGGAACCATGTTTTGTCAAATGTGCAATCCAAGTTTTGTGAGAGTCTGATGTTTGATATGCTCTTTTAACTGACGCTCTCTTTTCCGGTTCTTCTTCAATTATTTTATATCGATGCTCTTTTCGACTATTATTTATTTGTTTTTTTAATGAGTTTGTGTAAGGCCGAAAGTTGTTTTTTTTTTCAAAGACTGTTTTATTTTTCTTTTCTTTTAGTAGTGTTCTCTCTTTTATAAGCCTAGCAATGTTTTCCTGAAATGGTAGAGTACTTTTACATCTCTTGGGAAGATTATTTTGCAGTCTTTGATTTTCGTTACTAAAGTAGTATACGTTTGTTCAATGTTTGTAAATTGTACTTGTTTAACATTATCTGTGAATAAAATTTTTACATATTCTTTTTCTGTGGCTGTTAAACCGGTAGTGGATCTTTTTCCAAAGTGTTTTCTTAACGGAATTCGTTTATAATTAAGTAGTATCGATGCTCTAACTAGTCTGTGATCTGTAGGGTGTGTTGTCGATATAATTTCAATGTTGTGGATAATTGTTATATTTCGTGCTAGGATGTAATCAATTTCATTTCGTGATGCTCCATTTGGGTGTATCCAAGTCCATTTACGATTTGGTTTCTTCTTAAAGTGTGTGTTTGTTACATGTAATTTATTTTCGAAACAAAAATTAATTAATGTGTTGCCTCTTGGGCTTCTCTTACCGTATCCCCATTGGCCCATGATTGACGTGTCATCAGTTGTTGTCATGCCAATCTAAGCATGAAAGTTCCCAACAACCAGTATGTCCTTATTAGTGTTATTTATTGCTTTTTGGAAATCCTTGTAGAATCTATCTAGGTCTTCTAATGAGGATTGTTCCGTAGGCGCATACACCTGTATTATATTTTACGTTTTGCATTCAAAATTTAGCTCTAATCTAGCAACTCTGTCTGATATTGGTATAAAATCTTTAATATTCTTCTTTAACTCTTTTTAAAAATTAAAACATTACAAAATAGATATTTGTATTGACAAGCTAACAGACTAACTAAATATAAGTGATTTTCTATAAGATTGGCGTTATACTAAATGCTAGTCACTAATCACACAATTCTCGATGCGTTGAGAGCCACGGAACCGAGCGAAGCCTCTCATAATTGGGACAATAGTTTACCAAATGTAATAAGGGCTATTAATAATACTGTTAATGATACAACAGGTTATAAGCCATACGATTTAATGTTTGCTCGTGTAGGTGGCTCAGTATGTGATGTCTCCATCCCAGATCGGGTTTCCAATTGGATTAGAATAGCTAGCAAGAAAATGAAACATAATTTTGATAAGAGGCGTAAAAATAGTAGTATTTCAAAAAAGGTGATTACGTACTTTGGCGCCAGTAGCCGACTACTAGCGGCAATAAGGTAAATTCCAAGTTAGATGATATGTATTCTGGCCCATATGTGATAATTAAGGAGCTAGGTTATGTTCGATATAAACTAAGAAGTATAAAAGGTCTTAGAGGATACAAGAAGTTAACAGGCCTAGTATCCGCTGATTTCTTACGACCATATCGTAGGGTTGCTTCTATGTCCGATAGCGCCAGTAGTGTGGATGAACAATTGGAAACCGAAGATCTCTTAGATCTTCTTGAGAGCTAGATCAAAGTTCATTTCCCCATAGTTCAACTTGTTTCTTGAGCTGACTTGTAATCATAGTTTTGTTGCTTCCATTGCGGGTGCAATTGTTACAGGATGGCTGAGTGTAACGCTAGATGTCACTAGCTAGCTGTTAAGCTGGCGTAAAGCCCGCCATGCTCAACCGCTACGTCACTTCCCCACTACCTGAGCCTTGCCCCGCCAAATTCCTGGTCGGGGGAGGTGAAGAAGCCGCCAGACAACGAGGGATATAAAAGCCAGGAGCGATGATTTTGTGCATTCAATTTTATAACAATAATTGTAAGGGAACACTCTGCCCGAATAAAAGTATAAATCAATTTGTGTTTATCTTTTTAACCACTTTTGTTGTACACTGTCGTCATAATATTCTACAAAAATTGTAAATAACCCTAAGATTTGTTTATCGCACTATCAAACGATTCACTGAAGATTCAAGTTTTGAAGTTCGTAAGAGGACCGGCCAACCTAGTACAGTTAGGACACCCGCGATCATCAAAGCAGTGAAGCCACGAATCCAACAAAATACTGTTCGTAAACAAAAAATCTTAGCTCTTCAGATGGGCCTAAGCAGAACCACAATCGAAAGAGTGATTAATGAAGAACTAGGACTACGAGATTAGCGTAAGAAGATCAGACATTTTTTTGAACGAGCGTTAAAAAAATAGGCTGAATAGATTCCGCGCTTTGTTACGGCGGTACGCGGGAAAAAATATCGCGAAATTTTGTTTTCAGATTAAATTTTAAACATCGAAGAAAGTTATAATAAACAAAATGAAAAGGTGTATACCTACAGCAGTGAAGAAGCCAGCACATGTATTTCGAGAGTTTAACGAGCACATTATCCTTCGTCACTCATGGTTTGCCTTGGAGTCTCATATTCAGGCTTAACTGAAATATTTTTCTGTGAAAAAGTTGTAAAAATCTGTGTCAAGGTGTACCAAAATACCGACCTAACAAACATAGTAAAACGTCTTTCACAAACAATGTTCAAAAACAGACAGATATTCCAAAGTACCAGCTCATAGGGCACGAAGCACTCAAAACTGGTTGACCGCCCATGGAATTAACTTTATCGGACATAACGACTGGCCCTCTTCTAGTCGCATTTAACATAGTTTAACCTTAACCATTTAAGCCCATTGGATTATAATATATGGCAACATTTGAAGGAGAAAGTCTACCCTATACCTCATCAGAACTTAGGATTTCTCCGAGCATCGTTTTCTAAAGCAGCGACAGAAATAGATATGAGTGTGGTGCGTGCTGCGATTGATGATTGGTCGCGTCGATAGGGCATGTATTCAAAATAGGCGGGGAATTTTGAATAAATTAAATAAAATTGTACTCTATATTAAATTACCTTTTATTTCATATATAATTATCAAGTTTTTGACAGAACTTATGACCTGACTAAGTAATTTTAAGACTGGAAGGACTCCATCTTGTGAAATCATCAATTTGGATTACATTTTCATTTTTAGTATGTCACTTAGTTTGATTTATTCTCTTAGTTTGTTTTTAATAAAATACTTGAATTATTCGCTTTGTTACGGTATAGTGTACAAAGAATGGATCTGAAATTGACCCTCTCCTTTAAAATATAAAATGAATCTCAGCCTAGCAACTCCAAAATTTGTATGAATTACCAGGAATAACCTGACTTGATACTTTAGCGTTTTTTTTAGTCTATCATCCACAAATGCTGTTTATCCCTATAGCATGAAGGTTAGAGAACAGGAGAACGATGATTACGTACTAAAGCATAGCCCACTTGTCCTTGAAAATTTTAGAATTTATAGCGGCGCTGACGTCGGTGAGTAGTGACTGCGAAGTTAGCTGTTTATGGGTACAAGTAGATAAAGTTAGTTGAATTGCTTGGGAATGATTGAAATTTTGCTCCTTCTCTTACTGCAGCATGGCTCTCCCACGTAAAAACCGCGGCATTGGTGAGAAAATTTTCATGCTCCGTAATTTTGTAATTTTTGACAAAAGGAAACATTAAAAATGGAGAAATATTTTATTGTGCGTGGATGTGCAAGTGGTTTAGCATCTGATCGGAAAAATAGACTGAAAATGACTTTTATTGAGCGAACTTAGCGATCGCAGCGTCTCACTTATGGTGTCCATATTTCTGGGACACTATTTTCTACGGCGATCGTTTTCCTGTTCTCTAACCTTCATGCCTATAGCTTGCTACATATTTTTATTAACTAATCTGTGCGTTATGATTGATAGCAACATTAGACGTAACTGTCAGACAGATGGAAAAAAACAATGTGAGTAGATGTGAGTGATAAGTGAAAATATGTCAAGTCCAGGAGTTGAGATGTATTAAAAGTTTATTTAACGATTCTAATAAGTCATTGATGGTTAATTAATTAATTATATTTAAGACCATGACTCATGTAGAAAAGCGACAAACCCGCACGGGTAAAGAAACCATACACTCAGGACACTTCATGGTGTCACATTTTGAAGCAGAAGAACAAGATGATTTTGATGATTTGGCTGTTCCCGTGCCCGACGAAGAACAAATTATTCAGAAAAATTCAGTTATTGCAACCTACACTGTACCTGGATCATCCAACACATTTACTTTGTCCGATAAAGAAGAAAGTAAACAACACCAACAACTTTCTATAGAAATATCACTTACCAAGTTGTTTAAATGTATGTCCTTGGCGTATAGGTGAGTTTCTTGCATTTTATATTTTTTGGGATGATTATTTTGTGTACTTCGATTTACAGTCAATAGTTACTAATGATATATCTAACATGGAGGTCCCTCGGTTTAATTATATAAATAAAATTGGTGTTGGTGGTGTGTATATTTTTATTTATTTGAATACTATATCAAATTCAAATCAGGTTGCTTGTAACTTGTATTACAAGTGATATAACATTATTAAAAAAAATCATTTAAGAAGCAGTAATTTTTCAAAATGATGTGAAGAAGAAGATAATATATAAGAAATAATAGAATAGATAAGAAAATAAGATGTAATTTACAAATTTTACATTATATGCCATTTTTACCATGATTACTTCTTACAATGAGGAAACATATATTTCCAACTATATTGTAAGATAAGGATGACATAAGGTCATCAGAGCCTGTACAAAAGACACAGGTCATTTGCTAAGATAAGTCTGCCTATGAATGTTAAGTTATAAATATTGTCCAGTATAAACATTTTTCCATAAAATTTATTTTTACTAATTTTAATTAGGATACTGACCATTTATTAGTTAAAATTTTAAATTTCATTTTGACCTTGTGGTATATGTTATATGTAAGTATTTTAAAGCTATATTTAATTCAGCATATAATATGAACATAGTTTGCTTCATATTCAACTTGTACAAATTTCTAAAATTTATGTTGATAAACTTTTCTATCTACTATCATTTGTGAACTGAAATAACTACTTTCTTTAATAATTACAATTCCATTTCTTAGATGGTTAGTCTCACATGCTTTTTTGTTTGTAGGTTTTTCTTTGTTTTGGACATAAATCTTATTAAAGTAAAACATTTTCTTGTACCCATCTCTTTTTACTCATTAGTAGCAAATTTTAAAAAATGGAGCGCAATAATTTATTAAATATCTTTGAATTTGATCTTTATTCAATAGCCTAATAATCTATTTTGTTATGGTTGTGTGAACTTAAATACATGTAGCAAAGCTGAGCGAATACTTTTCTTAAATTAAATCTCAATTAAGTAGCTCTTATTGTTAATAAACCTCATAAGGATTTATTCAAAATATATTTTGTGTGTCTGAATAAGCAGATAAATTAAATCAATGCCTTTAAAGAAACATTTTGCTTTTTGTTTAAGTCAAAAGTGATTACTAAAATTGTAAAATGATCAAAATTATATCTCTTTATGAAACACATTTGCAAATGTCTCTGACACTACTCTAGTAGAAAATGTGATAAGATACAGTTAGGTTTATTTCTTATCAAATTGTTATTTATATTGAGCTTAAGATCATTTATTGATAGCGGTGAAGATAAAGCCACTACACAAGATTGTCTGCCATTTTATGTTTTCGCTGTACAGTTTAACAAGCAGGCTGTACTTCATTTAAAATAATAATTTCTTCCTTTTTAATTATGTCTGGTGTTATTTTTTTTAAAGCAAAAATGAATCTCATGAACTTAAGAACCTTTATAGTTAATTTTCATATGAAAGTACTTTTATTGAAAATTAATTTGTGACGTTTAGATAGAAGAAGCATGGTAAGTTACTATTTTTAATATTTTTTGTCATATTCTTCAGACAAAAATTAACTTCACCCAAATGGAATCGTTTCAAAGGTATAAAACTCCGTTGGAAGGACAAAATCAGACTAAACAATGTTATTTGGAGATGCTGGCACATGCAATGTAAGTATCTTTATATAAAATATTTTTCCATTTACGTGACATTACCATTTATTGATTTATTCATTCATTTGTTCATTATAACATAGGCAATCCCTATAGATTGCTTCATAGGGGTTATATTTGCCATAGTTAACATGCTTGGCAGCCTTTTGCCAAGTACAATTTTATTATTATGATTGAGTTATGATCAGAAAGATGATGCTGCCTATCTCCCATTTCAGTATAACTATATCTCATCTTACAACACTCATGGGTTAATATAAGGTAGTGGATTCTCTTACTACGGCAACATTAACCATATATATATATGTGTGTGTGTATATATATATATATATATATATATATATATATATATATATATATATATATATATATATTCATTAAGAATTGCAATAAGTAGTTAAGTAAGTAATTATTAACATCACAAAGTAATAAATTATTACATAATGTCAATAATTGAAGTTCACTTTTGGGAGAATCAAACTATTTCTGTTATGCTATTCATTTTGTATAAGGCCTATAGTCGAAATAATAGTGTAAAACAAATACCTTTGCGCAAGCTTTTCAAAGTTTTGCAACATTGCTAACACGCACGGTGCTCCTGCTATCCAGCCTGCAATGGAATGCCGAATTGCATTGTCGATTTGTGCTCTTTTCAAATTGTTTAATAAAGTATAGATAATCGGCGTTCCCGAAATATTGGCTAGCTGATTATTTCAGTCGATATTGGTGTTCTGTCTCACATTGACATAATTTTTTTTATAGAATAAGGGTGACAAACGAGTACATAGTCCACCTGCTGGTAAGTCGAAGCTGTGATCTATAGACATCTACATTTATCCTCGATTAAGAATCAAGATGCAGATGATCTTTACCCCTGAGGACTAAGATGGAATGCCTTGTTTCCAGTAAAAAAGGGTCTCCAGTTCTCTACACTCACAATATAAAACACAACTGCCTTTAGCTGCTATTTTATGCTGGTATTCTGTGAGAGCGTGGTCCTAATTCGGTTGAACCGACCTATTCGTGCTACAACTAATGTAGCCGCAGCATTGCCCTATCACGTAAAAAACATGTTCTACCATTATAATCTATTTTTAACAGTCGTATTATAGCTGGAAGTATATACATGGAAGGTTAAACACTATACTTTTTAAATTGGAGGACAGATTTTCTTGGCGTTCTTCCAGCTCACACACATATTTTTCCACATGCTCATAATTACACCAGGTTTTTATTTGTCTATATAATGTGTGATGAAGGTACTTGTTGAGTATTCGCTACCACATTTACAACAGCTCCATATATAATTTAGAAATTGTTTTTGTTTTGTATCTTTATCTTAATATATATAAATTACTTGTCACATTGTTTGTCCGCGATGGACTCTTAAACTACTCAACCTATTTTAATAAAAATTTCACACCATGTGCAGTTTGGTCCAACTTGAGAGATAGGATAGTTTTTTTGTCCATGTGTGACCCACAATTTTTTTTTTGCGAATTTAAGGATTTTTAATAGGACATGACAAAGGGTCGTCGAAAAGGGCGGAACAGCGTCTGCCTGGCAAGCTAGTATAATATATAATTCTTCTGTCCATGTGTATGTGACTGTACTTAAACGGCTGGACTGATTTCGATGAAATTTTGTGTGTATGATTAAGTTGATTCGAGAATGATTTATATTCACTATTGAACCCGGTAGGTTGCGCTGTTGTTGAGATAACAGAAATCTTTCATGGACGGAACGGATCATTAATTATCATATAAATCTACAGATGGCGATTACACCCATTTTTTTGGCACATAATCGCATTCATCTTTATTATCTAACATGCCAGTCTATGCCAATTACACAGCCACTTGTGTGTGTAGGGTCGTTTACCGATATTGATAAATTGCTGATAATCAAGGCATTACACTAGTAATCGTAAGATGTGTATGCTTTATGTAGAATTATTAAAGGATGGTAATAGTAATAAACTTAACTAACAATATATCAAGCAAAGATTACCAGACATCTAAAGTTTATAAAATATATAAGAAAATATTAATTTTTTATTATGTCGTGATGAAGGTTTTTATGTAATCCCTTTTTCCCTAATAGATATTTTTTTTGAATTGAATATTTTTTGTGATGTTGCACTTTTAAGTATTTTTTGTTATTTGGAAAAGGTAAAAGAAAACGTTCTAGGTACATACTTCTGCCCAAAATTTAGTGGTACACAATAAAACGGATCAATTTACCCACATTACTCGATGTCCCGTCTCCTGGGGACATTTGGCAATTTTACTTGCGGTTCTAAAAAAGTGAAAGAGTACTCATGTAAGGTACGAAATTTTCGAGGTACGAAAATATACAGTGATACGGGTCGCTATATTTTTGATCTAATGTACGACGCTTCGCATCACAGCCATGTATACTAAGTTGATAACAAGTCCTCTACGTACTTTTACCACACTCGTAAATTTGTGCTAGATAAAAGCATAGAATATGTAGTAGTCAAAGTACAAGAGACATTTTGTACGCCGTCTGCGTAGAGAAACATTGATTAGTCTGATATGCTTATCATGACACGCCACACCGGTCGCGTGTTCGTGGACTATTTATACATTAATATTATTATATTAATACGTGAACATCGAAAATTGTTTTACTTTTTTAATATTTGTTATAAAGGCTCCTCTTTGAAACGTATATAATTTGAAGAGTAAAGCGCCAAGATGTGTAAAAAAAATTACGTTTTTAAGTTGTCACTAAGGCAAGTAAAAAAGAAGTAAACATACACAATTTTTAATACGAAATATTTACATGAAAGTATTTTGATCACATTCATGGCTGTTTGCTACCACAAAAGATACCTAGTTTAAAAATACTTAAATCGAATTACATTATTTAGATTATATAAAGAATAAGCATTTCCAAAATCTATTTCAATTATATTATGTTTGAACTTAACCCCTATGTAATCTATTCGATTTCGATAACAATTATTTAAGTTTTCATTTTGTCATATAGGGATATTTTTTAAAGAGTAGCCAAATTTTTTAACTTAAGTTCAAATACCGTTATTGCAATTTTTGAAAATACGAGTAAATAAGGCTTCTACTTTTATTTGAAATTATCCCAAATTAAATATGATTTATGGGTAATAACGTTTTTGCCTGCCGATCGACACTTACAAATGTGTGCGTGCGCAGTAAAATCAGTTGAAATAATGCATTACAATGCATTTTGAATTGAAAAGATAAAAAAGGCAGAATATTTAAAAAAAAATTTTTCTTCACCATTTACCCATATTACTACTTATTCCAAACCATTGCAAATTTTGTCGGTTATTGCAATATAACTGTACTGTATATTTTAAATATATATATGTAATATGTTAATTCAAATATATTTTATTTAGTTAAAGCTTATTTTAAGCTCTTAGGAACATTACCTTAGTTACTAAAGTTAGATGTGTAGATAGAAGAAACCAGCAAAAAAAATCTTCGAGGTCATTTTTATGATCTTAGTTATAATGGTAATTTCAAGTTTAGTGTTGCGAACTCCGACACCGAGGAACCGCAGTGAGGTAGTTGAGGTAGGTAATATGTTGTTACCACTGTCTAAACGTGAATTAATAGCGAAAAGAGACGAGAACAAGTCCGTTTTTCCCTTAGCCCTATGCGCTAGTGTGCTCAAGTTTCATCAGCGGAGGAAGTGTAGGTCGAGAGAAGTATGTTTCAACCACTGTGACGAGAGACCATAAAGCTATACTGCCGGTTGGTCTGACAGAAAACTTTTCGCTGAACTATTTAGTGAGATTTATTTTTGGGACTTAGCGGCCTTTGCGATCTCGAGCATCAACCGAGATTAAATACATCAAATGTTAGTAATTTTTAGCGTGGATGCATTCGACGATGGTTCATGATCAAGCTTTGCGATGGTGTTGCCCAAATAAAAGAACAAGACGAGACTTAGCCAGTCTTAGTCTTGGTCTTGGTCTTGCGCTAATGAATCTGTTCTTGGTCTTCGTATTGCGCTCCCAGTCTTGGTCTTGGTCTTGCAGCAAGAGTCTCGCAAGTATCGCAATTATCTATTAGCCTATTGCTATTTATTAAAAATTACTTTAAATCTTAGAACAACTTGACAGAGAAGGTACATTTTGAGCTTGAATTAACATAGCCATAGTAAAGACTAACCAAATAAATAAATGTTTAAACATTTAATGATCACTTCGAAAAATCAACTAACACCGCGTGGGGCTTGAACCCACGACCTAAGCGGTCCGTGCCGATGCTCTAACCAACTGAGCTATATACCGTGTCCCACTGCCATGGGAGTCAGTTTGTTTCTTAATAAACGTTTACATTTAATAAGCTTACATGTGCTAAAACATATAAAAATAAATCAAATAAGTGACATTATCTTGACTTTTTAAAGAACATTATCTGTCTAGAAAGAGATTGACAGACCCCTCACCTTATATGAAATGGGGTAAAAGAGTTATACAATTTACCATTTATTTAAATAAAAAAGAAAATACAATAAATATTATATTACATAACAGTAGACAATAGCTTTAACATTACTGTTACTTTATAAAAACAAAGTAACCATCTGGCTGATTCATCACTTAATTTATTTCTAATTCGGTAATGTGATTTTATTTTTATTTCTACTATTAAAATTGTGCAAATCACTATTCTTTACATGTAAGTGAATATTTTGTCATACATACATGATATTTGCAAAAATACATTTTGTAATGCAACAGTCAAGATATCAATTTCTTTAAACAGGTCTCTCAGAGACTCTCGGGCTCCTAAGCAGTACATAGATCTTATTGCACTCTTTTTATTTTATATGCACGCTTTTTACGAGGGTGGATTGAAAAGTACTCGGCCTAACCAAGAAAATAAACACATACTAAATCAGTTATATTTTTATTTTTCTACATAATCACCATCAAGTTCAATACACTTTTGCCACCTCCCCTTCCAAGCATTTAGACCGTTGAAAAAAAAAGATTCTTCCTTAGAGTCAAAATATGCGTCTACAGCTGCTTTGACCTCGTCGTTTGTTGAAAATCTTTGACCTCCCAAGTGCTTTTTTAGGTTAGGGAACAGAAAGAAGTCTGATGGTGCCAGATCAGGTGAATACGGCGGATGCGGTAACAGTTCAAAGCCACAGTTGTGAATTTCAGCCATTGACTGTACTGACGTGTGAACACGGGCGTTATCTTGATGAAACAGGACTTTTCTTCTGAGCATTCCTCGACGTTTTTCTTTTATTTCCTCTCGTAAACGACGTAGTAAGGTGCAGTAGTAATCAGAGTTTATAGTCTGACCCCTTTCAAGATAATCAATCATAATCACACATTTCGAGTCCCAGAATACTGAAGCCATCACCTTATTTGCCGACAAAATCGACTTAGCCTTTTTAGGGGGTGGTGAACCAGGTCTTCTCCACTGTTTTGATTGTTGTTTTGTTTCCGGTGTACAGTAATTTTTCGTCCATAGTAACAAAACGATTCAAAAAATCATCTGCATCGGCTTCAAATAACTCCAAACAGTCGCGTGAAATAGTCAATCGCGTCCTTTTTTGTTCCACTGAAAGCAGTCGCGGAACCCACCTCGCAGACACCTTGTGGAAACCCAACTCGTTGACAATGATGTTTTGAGTTCGTTCATAAGAGATGCCTATAATCTCGGCTATCTCTCTAATTTTTAATCTGCGGTCTCCCATTATTAAATCAAGTACTTTTTTAATATTTTCGTCAGTAGTTGACGTCGAAGGCCTTCCAGAGCGGGGTTCATCTTTCACACTCTCTCTACCACGCTTAAATTTTGATATCCATTTTTTGACGGATGAATATGACAGAGCACAATCGCCTAATGTACTGACCATGTCATCATGGATGGCTTTTGATGATAGCCCCTTATTATGGAGGTACATAGTGACGGCACGCTGCTCGATTTGCTCCATTCGTGGAAATTATGTCCGATTACTTTGTTAATAAATTTATAAAATCACTACTAATTATCGCACACGTTTCGAACTTCACACAATGAACTAGTCTGAACTGAACTAAATAATGTGTGTAGATTTGATTTTTAGAATTGAATGGATCTGTGTTAGGCCGAGTACTTTTCAATCCACCCTCGTATGTTATTCGATTAGCATTGTAGAACATTTTTTACACGTTTCAAGTGTGTTAAAAGGGTCTACAATATTTATCAAATGGGTGACGACATATTCGAGAACTTTGTGTTTAAAAAACACGCACATCTAATAATCGAGATTTGCAGTAAACTTATTGAACATGTTTATCTACTTAGGTAATAATAATAATTATAAGTGTAAGTAATTATTATAAACCTATTATATAGTTAATATTATAATAATTACTTACTAGAATAAATTATTATGATATCTACCTATCCTTACCATTATCTAATAACAACCTTGTGAGATCAGTATAATGTATTCGTGTCCATTCTGAGCACCCGGAAACTTATTTTATTCTTTGGAACATGTACTCTGTGGCGGCATTCAAACAGTGTCAAATGTTGTGCGTGCAGCGCGGCGGCGGCGACGATTGTATGCGATATGAATAGAAACCGCGGCCGGTGTTTCTTGACCTTGTACTTCCGAATAGCTGCAAAATTTCTTTGACGGGTCAGTATCCGACCTTTGATGATGCCGACAACAAGACTCCACGCACTATCAAAGTGCTGATGGTCAAAACTAGGGATGCACTCTTTTTTCTTTAAATGGATATTTTCATTTGCTATGTAGGTTTCTGGTACTGTTCGTAATGCGCATAAATCCAATTTTCCAATTTTTTTATATATATTTTTTTATGTCTCATGGAGTCCCTAAGCGTAAACCCGAACTCCTATACTCCCTGAAACGACACTCAATTCTAACTGCAAGATGCAAGAGTCTCGCAGGTTTAATCTTGTTCTTGCTCAAATCTTGCAAGGTCAGTTTGGTTTTGGTCTTGCAAAAATGCAAGAACAAGACGAAGACTTCCAGACCAAGACCGATTTCGGGGCAACACTATTTGCGACCGATGGGTATGCAGCAAAGGGTATTAAATTCGCAATCGCTTGACGCACCACATCGTTGCAGCGGATCTCTCGCAGCCCAACAGATCCGCAGAAGAGAAACAGGCCCGTCCCGTCAGGGAAAGGATAGTAATAAGTTTTCTATCTCATCACAATCTCTTGACTTATGCCATCTCACTCGTCAGTTTATGTCAATCTCGGAATACTCGGAAATCTTAATCAAGTGGGGAATATGGCAATACAGATTTCACCCCTGAAATGTAAACTATTTAAATAATAAATAATCATAAAAATCATTTCACTATTAGAAATGAAACAGGAAATCATCTTCATACGAGTAATTACAACTCAAAGTAATTAAAACTGGGTTGCCCAAAAGCCCGACGTGCATAGCAGTGTCAGATATCCCTCCCATGAGGCAATCTATGGAGGAATGTATAGGCTGTAATGATGAAAAATTTATGAGATTTTTGCAGGCGTTTTGATCTTACAAATTTTTATAATTTAAATACTGAATAATTACTTGTTACAGTTATAAAAAAACAGAATACTTTTGTGTGCCAGTTCGCTTCTCCATTAGACGTTGACACGCACGTGAAACCAGAGGTACAGTACTCGACATTCAGTAAACTAGAGTTACATAGACACGATATAGTTGACTGTGTCATTGAAATAAAATTGTAAAATTTACATTTCAGACAACAATTTTGGAAGGTAAATATTGGAAAAGAAGAGCAGAAGCAGTTATAGCAGAATATAAAAAATGGCGCATGTTTCATATAATGAGACTCCTTGGCAAGGGGGACACCTCTGTGCAGGATACGGTATGTTATACGTATAATTAACTAGCTCCCGTAAAAAAATTAATTAATTTTATAAAGTTTTTAATAAAAATTAATATAATAAATTTCTATAGTATATTTTAAGCAAACGATAGACATATAAGAGAACAAGTAAATATCATTGTAGATGTCAGATATGGACACGGTGGAGTCATTCTCGCAGTGCAGCGATTTGGCGGGAAATATGCTCACCGACGAGGACTACCTTAACTTCATGAGCGACACCCTATTTTCGACCATCACAAGCCATCAACCGTTCGCCTTCCCTGATTGCAGGGAGATTGGTATCTTCAATATATATTATCTTTTTTACAATGAAGTCATTTAAATAAAGTATACAAATAATGAACAAGCTAAATGAGAAATCACATAATTCTTGTTACTTTTGTCGCAGCCAGAGGAGCTGGTCTAGCTGATTTCATTCAACCAAGCTTGGGTCCTTTGCAGCCTAATCTTGATGATTTTATGGACACATTAGAACCCCTCCAAGGTAAGTATGCTCTACATACCATTTGGACATTCACAAAATTGCTACTTTTTGCATTATCGTTTGTGACCCAGTTTAGTTACTATGTGTTTCTAATACACTTCACCTTGCAGATCTTCTGTCGACGCCTCGTCTGCCTCCAGTGCCTGAAGAGACGACGATTCCTTCGGACGACGCGTTATATAGGAGTGGAATGTCGGTAGATTCTTATAATCCACAGGGTTATATTGCAGAGAGTGCAAATACTTCTACAGCCACAATGCCCACCAGTCAGATGACCATTCATGGTATTTGCATATCATCACTCTTCTGAAAGTTGGTGCCTCGAAAAATGGTCTAAATTTATTCTGTTTTAAGGTACGAGTAACAATACTCAGTTAACGTCGATGCCTGAACAAGGAAAAGGCGAGGAGATGCGGATGTACGATAACGGCAGACTATTTACACAGTCGGATCTACAGAACAACATTTTGACTACGCAGGAGATGCTTCCGACATTCCCGCCCACCTCGTACGAACAGCAAACTGTTTCACAACCCGAGCCTCAAATCCACAACAACGTTTACGTTGTGAAGTCACCTAGAGTTCAATATGTAAATGCTCAGAAGATTTCAACGCAACCGGAATCTTGTTATACTAAGTACAATCAAGGTTGTTCATTTTCCTTTTACTTTGATTTCTTGTTGTTAAATGATTTCTGAATAAACTTTATGATAAATATACTTTATCAGGTCTTCCGCCATCACAAACAGCGCCAGAAACGGTTTCTCTACTGCAACAACCGGTGCAGCATACTAAATACGCTTCGACCATAGTGATTCAAGGTCGAAGTGGGTATAATAGAGAGAAGCCGCGGACGAGAGTAAATCATTACACGAATCAGATGCCAAATAATCAGTACCAGACTTACTCTCCGCCTATACAGGCCCAACCGACGCAGCATGTTTCGCCCCAGAGCTTCGAGACTCGACCTGGCGCCGGACGGCAATCTTCGCCACAGATGCAGTACTTACAGCCGAACCCTGTAGACTCGTACCAGACTAAACCGGTTCCGGTTTCGGTGAACGCTCGTTCCTTCAAATTGCCTTCACCTCCTTTAGTGCCTGCCCCGTCGCAACAGGTAAAACCATTAATATCTATTAGCATCGGTTATACGAACACACTGTGACACGTGCTTAATTATATGAAATTTTGTTCTGAGGAATAATGATGGATGTTTGTCTATTTTTCACGCTTTACTCGCAAAGGAGACTGGCGAAAGTTCATAGAAAGCTGGGCCTGTTGTTACAGTAACGATTACTGCATTATTTTATTTATATACCAATACCATTTCAAAAAAACTAAAATGTTTACGACTGCTTCATGGTAGAAAAAAATATAGGATGTTATTGATTTGTATAAAAACGATGTTATTGCTTACGTTATGCTTACAATGTAATTCTTACACCAAGCTCTCACATTACACTTTAAGAAAATATTTATTAGACTTTATTGTAAACTAGACTTTAACGTAATTTTATGTATTGTAGGACATTCACACATAGAGGATTCAGACGCCGCCGTCCATCTAAATTCTAGAGGATTGAAATAATTATAAAAAAGCTGAGGGAGTATGAATTAAAAACACTTTCTCTTTTATCGATTTATTAATCGTCCACTTCATCATAAACAGATGAAATATCGTCTAAAAACGGTGCATGCGGTATTAAATTCTCTTGACGCCTTGCCCAGCTTAGGTACCATATTATGGACATTACATGACAACAGCAGCCTACAGTTCTTTTTCCTAACAAGCAATTAAAATAATACTGTTTGATGGCCTCTCCACCATTAAGAGAACTGTCAACTAAAATATATGTAAAATATGTTTTTAAGCTTAAGTATGTCTTGATTTTATTCGACCACTTAATAGCCAGCTAGAATGGTTGGATATTGACAGTTCTCTTAGTAGGTTGCTGACCGTTACTCGACACCCATCTTGCATGTTTTCTCCATAATGGGACCTAGTCTACTTAATTTGATAAATACCTAAAGATATTTTTATTAAATCACTATGTGTCAGCTGGGGAAAATCATTTAAGTTATCATTTTGCACATGTATTTTTGTAAAATCAGAAAAGAAACCGTCAAAATCCGTTATACGTAGCCAGAGTCGTTAAAGATCAGAATATTATTACAGCATACAAAAACAACAAAAAATATTCACTACCACCGTGAGCTCAGAGCCAAACAAACGTAACAAACGTTAGTTCAAAAACTCAAGCGTCAATTAAATAATTGACGCTTGAGTTTTTGAACTAACGTTGACATTTTCGCTTTGTGGCCTGTATAAAACATTGATAATCGATTGTAAAATCGATTTATTAATCTATTCAGTCAATTTATTTTTACGACTTTTTTTGAAACCTTGAAGTGTCACGAGGAAACCATTATTTAAATAATAATTTTCTTAAACTTACCTAAAGAAGAAAATACTGAATTACTTTTTATTCTTTTTTTTTTCTATTTTTGTATCAAAATCTATTAACTAACCTATTTGATCCGGCAGCATTGTTTAAAAATGAAAATAACGGAAGTCAGTATTATTTTTATTTAATATTTATTTTCTTTTGCCATGATAAAACTGCTTAATATTTCATTATTAACTACAAAAAAAAACTGTAAAAAATATTGATAAATATTTCACTTGTAATGGTTAGGCCCAAATTCGCCCGTCTCCTTTCGCGTGTCCTTGCCATTGTACAATATTTATTTTACTGATTTACTAAGCTATTTTTCTAAGGAAACCTAGCATAACATACATTTTTATACTATTTATATTATAATTTTGTTCAAACAGTAATTTGTAAAGGTACGGATGACAAACAAACCCACAATCCATCTGATAGTGTGGTCCATAGACACAACTATCTTCGAATATTATTCCAAATGCAGAAGCGATGTCACCCTTAAATACTATGATGAAATGCCTCCTTACCAGTAAGAAGGGTTTCCGGTTCTCGTCACTCACCATACGATAGCAGCAGCAATATAAGACTAGTTTACGCTGGTGTTTTGTAAGAGCGTGTTCCTTCCACGGTGGAGCCATTCTCGCAAATGTGAAGAGAGATGATGAACAGTTCGTGGGTTTAATTAGTGTAAAATTTACCCATTGTGTAATTTTTAAGCAACTACTGAAACAATTTAAGTATGTTACTTTAACGTTAATATAATTGTTTTTTTTTATGATAAGGTTTAAAAAGAATCCAACTTAATGGCTAAATCATGTACATTATGTCTAGGTACCGGCAAACAGTTCTAGTTCTTCGACTCTGCGCAACAAGGAGCATTTCCGCTCGCACAGCTTGCCACTGGGTGCACAGTTGAGCGCGGACTGGCTGATCAGTGTGGGCGCACCCTCAAGCACGCCTACTGCTGCCACAGCGCCCGCGCCAGTGCTCGTCACGCCACCAGACGCAACTCCAGTGAAACACACGCCAAGGGTTAGTGTCAGTGTCTTATTGTAACTAATCGATCGTGGCAGTTCGGCGGCAGATACAATGTTGGTGCTCCAAGTCGTCATCATCATAGAATACTATAATACACAATAGAATGGCTGTAACCTTATTTTATACGCCGATAGGCGTCGCCGGGAGCACACATACAAGCATTAACGTCGTATTATCACTACTACAAACCCGATTCACTGTGTTGACAGACAGATTTTAATACATATTTATTTGTAAATCGCGTGCAATTTGGCATTTTCTAAATAATTTGCATGGGAAATTTGGAAACGATTGTAACGTCAAAACACATCTCGTGTTGACGTTTATACGTGTGAATTGACGTGTTAGTGACATTTAAGTGTCTACACGGGCTCCATCCACTCCCCCGATCTATTATGTATGTATTATAGTATTCTATGGTCGACATCGATTTTGAATGTGTTTATGGGTTGAGTTTATTACGAGTACTTTAAAGAAACTTAAGTTTTCCGAAAAGCTTTCGAGGTTTCAACAAAGTTATGACAAATAAAAAAATAACACAGGTTATATGGCAAGTTCCTTCCGGAACGACAACAACCGTGTAGACTTTTTTGTTTGTATTTGACCGCAGGTTTCATGTAGCCCAACCCAACCCAAGCATTTTTCGTGCTTTATGATGTTCCGCTTGGCTGATTTCAATCATGATGAGAAATCATTACTGTCAGCAAGTTTTGAATAAGTAAGAGATATTAAGTTGTCATAGAAGCACTTACTTATTTTAACTTACCCTATCCCGATACACAGACAATAAGATCAGAGATGTAGACTAGGTTAACTGCTCGGTAGTGCAGTAGCTAAGGATTTGTTTGATCTACACTGGGCCTAGGTTCGAATTCCGCACGGAATAAGTGTGGTCTATAAATAATTACTCCAGGTCTGAATGTTTCTCTGTCTTTGTACGATTTACGTATATAAAACTTATTTACGATACGAGAAAAAATTCTAAGGTTTACCCTCAGGATTTTTTCAAAAAGTAAAAAATAAGGCTTAAGTGTCGAGATGCTTGGAACTGTTATATATGATACAACCTATACCGATTACCAACAATTTGTGTTTATGCAAAACAGTAGGTTTCCGCTGAGATTTGGACTTGCAATCCGCTACTGTAGCTGTTTTTGTACCGCGAGCCCCGTCCGCGGCTATGTGTTTGTACAAAGTTAACGTGGGCAGGCGCGCGAGTCGTCCGGTGCGCTGCGGCTGCGCTCGCGCTCGACGTCGGGCGGGCAGGGCGAGCCGCGCCGCCCGCCGCCGCTCAACAGCGTCGCCTCCGAGCCCGCGCTGCCGCAGGCCAGCGTCATGCTCGCGCATCTGCTCTCCGCGCACCACTGTTAGTGTATCAAACGCACACACACGCACACGCACACGTACGCCCGCACGCACACACGCACAAACACATGCACAAACACACGCACACACACACGGCCAGTTGATCTTACGTTTAGTATATGGCCAAAAATTTTAATGGGATAAGTATACACAATATTACGGGGTACTCGGTGAGTCCAAAAATTTACTTATCAATAGATACTGTAATGGCCAGTGACTGCAATTGTCTATCCAGTCGTGTTTCTTAACTTCATAGAGTAAGCGTACGTGATTGTTCTTAAACTGGAGCTAAAAATTGATCTGAAGGGATATATTATAAAGCCCATTATTCCGACTGGAGTATCAAAAGGAAAGTATATTTGGATTTCCCTCATACCAATTATACCAATTAATTTATTAATTTAATTTAAAAATAACCTTTTTTATGACCATTGATATAATCAATAGTCGTCAGAGCGAAAAGCAAACCAAGACAAGTTGCTCGCAGTAACGTAAGAACAAAATTCGTTGTATAAACTTCTATACCTACATGCTTGATTTGTCACACGCTCGTTAATTATAGTATTGATATTACGTAATTTGTATATTTAAGGTAAATAATAATAGTACACAAAACGCGCGAAATTTTTAAGAATAGAACCTAATTGTGGCAAAAGTTACTGTAATTTTTAAATAGGCATCCAAAACTTTGTATTTTACTTCACCTTGGTTGCCTTTTTCGCTGAGTCATGAGCCTTAACTTTAGATTTATTTTTAAAACAACGCGCAATAAAATACAAGATAAAAGTTAATTATTGACGCGTAATCTATAAAAAAGTAAATGATATGCTTAAGGAATATATTATCCGAAGATAAGTGATATAGTATGTTTTTACAGTAATTTTAAAGTAGGTTGTATAATAACTGATAACTCAATCTGGTTGCGGCGTAAGAGAATCCGTGCATGTATTAACAGTATAATGTATAATAAAAGGGAATGTTTTGAAGATCATGTGTACTGACGGATATTTAGACGTAGATTGTATTATAGACATTGAACGACATTTAAATCGACTAAGATAAAAATATTATTACTTCCGATAAACGAGAAATATGCAAAAATTGAAATGTGTAGACAAAGAATGGCATTCTGACTGATAATATTGGTGTCATGCGGTCACATGCTTTTGCACTATAGAATTTGGTTTTATAATATACCAAAATATCTTTTAAATTGTAGCGCTGCTTCTAAGGATGTTTTTTTTTAGAAATATACGAATTTAAAATTTAATAAAACACATTAAAATAATGTTAATGCTTATGATATTGGCTTTATTCAGTAGATAATTTTATTTCATTAGTTTTGAAATATGATTTAGGGCATATGAGCGCCACGGCTAGCTTGAATGAAGCGTACAATTTTCGACAACTTTATCGAGCGACTGGGGCCGTACGTATATCATACGTATATATCATACGTATACGTACGTATATCAGCAATAACGCGTGAAATGTTGACTTCTAAATGATCCAACGTCTATGTGATTTATCAGCATAGCCCGTGACTTCACATACCCCTAAAGATAGTAATCTATGGACGTGAAGTTACACGATCGTGGAGCCCAGTTTACAGGTTCATTACCCGAAATTATGCGCTCACCTAATGTTTCCCGCAATAAATTGATAGTGGCGTCCATCGTGTTATGTTGCGCCATCTTGTTGAAACTAAAACTCTGTTCACATCAATGCTATTCAACTGAGGTATGAAGAAGTCAGCGATCATGTTTCTGTAGCGCTCTCCATGGACGGTAAAATATTGGCCAATTGCGCTACCTACATAACGCACACCAAACTGTGACTTTTGATCGCTGTTAGGGCGTCTCACCAAATGCTGGGTTTTCTCCATTCTAAATTCGGCAATTCTGATTATTGACATAGCCATTTAACCAAAAATGAGCCTCATCGATGCACAAAACTTGTAAGCTTTTAAGCCACGATCTTTCCGCAGAATATTTCACAAAGTGGATGGGCACAGCTCCAACTGCTATGCACGATGACGAATCGACTCATTCGGGTTCTCCTCAACACTACGCTGCACAGCAGCAACATCTGTGCTCACTTTTTGTCGTCTTTGTAGATGCGTATTATCCACTAGAGTGTGAGTGGTGCGAAAACGATCCACGGTGTTACGAATAACTTGGTCGAATGGACGATTATGTCGACCGTAAAATGGACGTAGTGCACGGTAACTTAGGCGAACCGAACCATGATTTTCAAAATAAATTTGCACAATTTGCAAGCGTTGTTCTGGTGTCAGTCTATTCATGGCAAAATGGCAAAACGAACTGACTATAACTCAAACTGTCGAATTGACAGTCTGTAAAATAATGTTGCCAGTTTAAAATCAAACCACTAAAAAGTCACCCGATAGTTTGTTTGTAGCGGGGTTATTTAAATCACGTTTAGTTTCGACCTTTCCATTAAAAATACATTAAAATCATGATCATTTATGTGATAAGCAATATTTAAAAACTAAAAAATAAGTTTAAATGTAATACTTATGATTATTTTCAGCTCAAAGCTTATATAAAATTAAAAGCAATGACGAAAACGCTGGAGGCACGGATCCCACGAAATCACCAGTTATGAGGAGCCAGCCGTCACCAATTGAAAACGAAGTAATGTCTCCGCATCAGGTCTGTTTTTATTATACAATCTATAAAATAATTTATTTTTAGTCAATCAGGTGAATGTCTGACCTCAACTTAACTTGATTACAAAGTTTGTATAGGTTAAAACATGTGCGAACTTTAGTTGTCTTGTATCTTGTATGTTTCAACAAATCCGACGAGTTGTTTATTGCTATGTTTATGAGTTATATATAACCCTTACAGCGTTGAGTAAGTAAATTTCAACTGATATTTCATCATCATGTCAATACCACTGGTTCTTTGTTATATTTTTAATAATTTTACTTTATTGTTGTAGTTTGGATTGAAACATAAACAGACTCAATCCAAATCACAAAAATGACGAAGTTTCATCTGGTCGCAAGGATCACAAGTATAAATTATTGAATGAATATTACTTTGCTTGGTTAAACTCTTTCCATTATTTTATTTATTACTCGGTAGTTAATTTAAGTGTAAATTATTATTCGAATTACAAAATATATAATTTTAATTATAAAACAGCATTTTAGTGTTATTATATAATATATTCTGTCATATTCGTGAGTTCAAAAATTATTAGATCTAAGTCTATTTTAATCAGTATAAAACGCAAGTAATAGAGTAGGTATATATATATATATATAGCATAGCTTACGTGTATGTATATCGACGCTCTTGGAAGTCTGCAATCTGTGATACTATATCATCAAATCCTCACTCCACGCGTTTTACAGACCTTGGAAGAGCACGAAGATACCAAGTCTTTAGTACCTAATCGATTAAAAGCATTTGAATGTGTAATTCATAAAATTGTAATTTATAAACTTAAATACGAAAAAAAAAATCGACTAAGAGTTAAGCTACTTTATCAATAATGAGAAATATGTGGTTAATGCCGATTTGGGAGCGGTGTAGTGGATTATAACTTTATAACTCTGTTTAAATATAATATAATGAGTGTATCTGCACCCATTAAATGGAGTGACGACCTCGTAAGACATGCAGAAATTCCGTGGACTTGTGAAGGTCTGTAATAACGAAGATGATGATGAACAGTTTAAGAAATAATTTTGTCGTATGTCGATAGTCGCTGTCGCCGCCCACGTCGCCGAGCTCGCCACGGGCTGGGTCCCCGCGGGAGACCCGTCGCTCGCACTTGCACACCGAGCAGAAACGCCGCTACAACATCAAGAACGGCTTCGACACGCTGCAGACGCTAATACCGCACCTGAACACCAACCCCGCCGCCAAGGTTAGTTATGCATTTTTACTTTTATAACGAGGTTTGTTTACAGCCTTCGGGAATGTTCTCTTTCTTTTTCGAGTGTTGTATCAGCATAATATAATGATGATTTAAATTTAAATATGACCGGAACAGAAGCAACTTATGAACGAATACATAATTTTTTTTTTCAGATAAGTAAAGCAGCGATGTTACAGAAAGGAGCGGAGTATATTAAACAGTTGAAAGCGGAGAGAAATCAAATTAAAGAGGAAATGGAGAGCTTGAGGCAACAAATAGAATGTTTAAATAATTCAATTTCGTACGTACGATATTTAAATTTTCTTAGTATTAGTAGAGATTCAAATTATAATTTCATAATTGGTCTACACAGAAGCAATATAGTTTGGTACAAAGAGATATAATATCTCTCAATCATGTTGCAGCTATCTTATTGTACCACGAGAAAGGAATACGAAATAGCAGCTTTATGTTTCATGTGGTGAATGTTGAGAACTGGGGACCTTCTTACTGGAAGCGAGACGTTCCATCTTAGACCTTAGGGATGACGTTTCTGCATTTTTATTCAAAATTGAAGATAGGTGTAGGTTTTATGGGCCACAGCATCCATTTACCATCAGGTGGACTGTGAGCTCGTATAACACCCGTATTCTATAAAAAAGAACTATTTATTTATAATTGGGTCCTTTATAAGGACGCTTGTAAAATGAAAATATTAAAATTTCCCACTAATTTTTCGCTATGTATTTCTTCACCACCAAGTACGAAGTAAATCAGCATTTAAAAGTGGCAATTAACAAATAAGTAGAATTGCAGTCCTCAGAGGTGATAACGCAACTATAGCCTCATTTGCTTGAAGTTGGCTGTCGGTGTCCTCGAGCTGCAGTAGACCATCATCACTACCATCAGATGGACTGTAAATTTGTTAATCACTTCAGATTTACAAAAAAATATTTTCATAGTAATGCGGTTTCTTATAGATATTATCCTTCACTTCGAAAAACGTGGAAGTTAGCATTTAAAATTGCGATGTATATTTTTAGTGATGTCAGCAGAGATTAATTGTGAGCGCCCAGACACTGATATACGAAGTTTGGTTTATAAACCTAATTTCTGGTGTCAATAAAAAGAAATAATTCGAACTAAATGCAAACACGAAACAAGATGTGAATTATCGCTTTTAATCCGAGCGCCGGTCGTGGCTGGCTGCGACTGTCTGCTACTGGTGTGTGAGTGGCAGACAGTGGCAGTAGTAGGTGGGCAGTGAGCGGATGCGTGTTGCAGCAACTGCCACGCGCTGCTGCCGGCGACGGGAGCGCCGGTGTCGCGAGCGCGTGCCGGCCGCCTGCGCGAGATGTTCGCGCGCCACGTCGCCACGCGCACCATGCACAACTGGAAGTATTGGCTCGTATCCTTTGATATTTATTTAAGACCATGTTGGAAAAAAATCGTACTTTAAACGCAATTTTTGACGCACTTTGAATGAGGTGAAATATTTGACAGATTTCACAGAATGGGAAGTAAATTTGTTAGAAAAGTCTAGAAAATGGAGATTAATGTTTTTTCCCCCGAAATATTGCTTATATTTTATATTAATTAGAAATCAATAAACCACACTACGGATATTCCTAAATATAAAATAATTAAAAAATCAAAAATCTGTAAAATGAAAGAATACGGCACTGAGGCATTGTTTTGTATCTATACATGTACTATAAATAAATAATCCTATACCTTTAAACGAGCAATTCTTGTATATATATATATACGAAAGTGGAAAATAAATAGTTGCGCTGGAGTAGCAGGAAACAGGAAACAACTACAGGAAACAGCTACATGAAATGAATTTAGCAGTTGTCGACGGTGTTAAGTGTGCTGCTAAACTCCTCAGTAGCTCTAAAATCTAAAATAATTTTATTTAGTAAATATAACCTCGAAAAAGTCGTCTATCCCACTAATATTTTTCGGCGCGTTCTTTAAGATTTACCACACCCCTGGCGCCACCCTTATTTAACTGTTTTCTACGGACAATTTTTAATACACAGTCTTGTACTCCTTACCTCTACACTCCATACTTGTTACTATCACTTCTAATTTTCCGATAATTTTATATCAAATGTCAATAAAAAAGTTTTGAAAATCCAAAAGTGCACGGCTCATAATGCTCATAGGATCGTGAAGAAGTGGAGAAAAAATTCTGAATCAGTAATGGCAAATATTTTTTAAATTTTACTATTGAGAATTGTATTTTTATTATTATTGTTAATAAAAGAAATTTTGACAGAATTATCTTAAAACGATTAGAAATAAACTTTAACTTTTAGATATTTGTACTCGGGTTTTATCGTAAATACTTCTGTTCTTTTTACCTGACTCGTTTATAAAATTTTTTCTTAGCAACTTTATTTCGTTTTTTAAAAGTTTTTCATCTAATCATAACCAGTATTTTAATTTTGCGTTCACCAAAATACACCTTCAGGTCACTCCATAAAGTCCAAGACCTATATGTATATTTATATATAAATCTTACGTCCTTTTAGCGAAACAATATATTGTAATGAAAATCTGTAATGATAAAAATAATAATAATATCTTACCTTGGTCAAGTATGTATCAAGTTTAGTCTTTGGAATATTTTGTGTTTCTGCAGCGATCGATATTTTTCATCACGAGCCGCTGGTAAACATACGGTACAGTAATCCACTCACGACGGTGTCCGAGCCCGTTGTGAGTCAAAGAATATTTAGTAAAATATAACAAGGTTGCTCAAGACACCGAAAATTTCGAAATTTCTCAGCCGAAAAAAAATAATGATAACTAAACTAAACACAACAAAATTAACTGCACTGCAATTTACATTCCATGGCTTCCCACATTATAGATAAATAGATTAAAAAATAGATTGCGTTGAACAATGGATATTTTCTAATATTATCGTGCTTACCTCTCCATGCGGACGTGATAAATCTACACCATAAGCCACTAAAACCACTTTTTAATGTAAAAATAGCAATTAATCGATTTAAAAAACAATAAGTTCAACAATCATTTATATTTCTGGCAATGTGCTTTTTATGTCATTTATATCTTCAATTTGATTATTAAATATGTTTTCATGCGACAAAACGTTGGATTCTTGATTTTAGGCGCTGGTAGAACATACATACGCGCTTTACGCTTAAGGCATGCAAAATCTCGGCAATGCTAGGTACTCCACATTAGAGTATTGGTACACGTGTACGATAACTATTAACGGGCGGGCGAAACACACGCGGAAACATAAACAATACCTCATAGCTTATCACGGGTCATTGAAATGAGGGCGCGAGTGGCCTTGCCCTTGCGCCTGCGACCCTGCGAAAGGACAAGGATAAAGAGCCCTACAGTGAGTGCGGCGACTGTGTTACAAATTCATTGTTTTATTACCGCTTGTAAAGTAGCGTATGATTTGAATTTCGATAGTTTTTAATTGATTTATTTATTTAGCTCAAAATCTTTGTATATATTTTTAGTACGGAAAGTTTATTTCAAATTAGTAGTATTTAGTGATAGATTAATTTTTTAATATGTTAATGAAAAAAAAATTGTGAAATATCAGTGCCCTAGGCTTCTACTCCGTTCACTTGTTACACCCTATTTTTCCAGACGGTAAAAAAGTCATCCAGTATACATATACTGTTTAATAATTGTATATATATGCGTGTATTTTAATGTTCACCTGATTATAATATTCCTGAACCCAGATTATAGTTTAGTGTGGTGAGCGCGGCGTTGGTAGAGTCGTTTAGCGCGTGCGTGTCGTGCGGCAGTAGCGCTGATCTCGTGCGCACTACATTGTTGTGGGCTGAACAGCACTGCTCCCTAGTCGAAATGCGACCAGGTAAGCTTATCTGTGTGAAAAATGTCAATATTTTCTCATCGCGGGAAGTAAGGAGGGGCTCCGAGTGCCATTTTATCGAATGCGGCCATGTTAATAGACATTGACCGAACATTAATGCTCTTTAAGTTGGGATGAGGCCAAATTATCAGTTCAGCAACAAATTACCACCAATCTCGGCTATCCAATAGATATGTACGTCAATCTTTAGTGTTATCGACATAGTCATTATTTTTTATTCAAGTTACAGCCTATATACGTACCACTGCTGGGCGTATTTGCTCTCATTTCTCAGAGGTTTTTTTTTAAAATAGAATGGCGGTAACAAACGAACACACAGTCCACCTGATGGAGCATTATTAGTTATGAAGCTCATTAGCTCACCTTGGCTTGATAACTGACTGACTTCGATTGACATGTTCTTGAAATATTTTATTTCTTATACACGTGGGTTCCCTCATAATGTTTACTTTCATCTCCGAGCAAATGGTAAATGAGCACTTAAAATCAAATTAACAATTTCGTTCCTGTCGGCAAGTTGTTTGTGTACAATAAAATATACGGAGAGCATTTATATATTTATTAGTTCTGTTTATTTTTTGTTATATTTTTCGAAAGTACCTGGCGACTTAAGAATAGTAGGTCGACATTATCAACCTAGTGATGCTGATGTAGTTACGAATTAATCGCGTCTCGCACCGCTGCCGCTTCTGTTCTTCGCCAGTCTTGGTAATTTAATTAAAGATGGGTTATACTGTAATTTTATGTCACTACCACGTGGAGTCACGCTGTTGCATATTTTGCATCCGAATGAGCTGCTTGGCCAGAGAAGAGTTTGCACAAAATACGCACACTATTGACAACACTGTTGTGTTTTCTAAAGTGAGTGACAAGAAAACCCTTTTTGCTGGTAACGAGGCATACTATCTTCGTCCTCTTGGGTGACAACGCATCTGTATTTTGGTTACTAACCATAATTTGTTCGGTTATCACTTTTTATCAATATTATTTCACTCATTAAAGTCCACTTTTGAACATAGGCGTTCCCATTATTGACTCTATAAGGGTATTATTATCGGAGTACCGTGTAGGGGCGGTGTAAGAATATCCGATCCCCCACATCATCCCGTGGGTGTCGTAAGAGGCGACAAAGGGAAACAAATCAGGAGATGGCAGCAGTGTCTTCGTAATAGCGACTGAAGAAATGGCGATTGCCAATTCGCTTGCATAGTGTGGCAACTATGGAAAATATTCGCCCTATGAGGCAATCTATGGAGGCCTATGTTCAGCAGTGAACTTCAATGGACTGTAACGGTAAGGGTAATGTCACGCTGGACAGGCGTGTTGGCAACCGCAGCTTTTTCATTTCCTATTTGATATTAGCTAGACACTGCTGCTCATTTCGTGAATTGTACGCCTTGGTCGGATTTTACAACACTCACGGAACTATATTGAGTAGTGGATATTCTTATTCCGTCACTACATTATTACTTTTACTTCTGTGAAAAAAATACCCCAAGGTCGTTCGGCAGAAGCCAAATGATCCTTCAAGCATTACATTAAGACGTGTTTTGCGATACCTAAGTATTTGAATAGAAATATGTAGATAGAGATAGTTTTGCCGTCACTACCACAGTATATATAGTAATTAGTATACTGGTATCCGGCAGCGGTGCTGAATTCATTGCGAGTGCTGTGCACGACGACGGACATCCTGACGAGTCCCGAGCGGCTGCCGGACGAGGCGCGCGCCGCGGCTGCCGCGGGCGCCGGCGTGAAACCCGAGCCCACCTAACGCACGCACACGCGCGTACCCGCACCCACACGCAGACACACCCTGACGCAACTCATACACGCTTTTCTATGACAAAGCTGTCGTTTACTACATGCGCCGCAGACGAAAGACGTTGATAGTACGTAACTAGAACGCAACGTTCAATGTACAATGTACATATCCTTAGGCCTAAATCTCCAAATGTACGTGTATGTAAATTATAATGGCCTGAAAAATAGAGATTGTATACATATCATTTTCGGGATGTAACTTACCTAATTTAAATATTATACATTAAACGAGCATATTATGCTTAATTTCTTGCGTCTATAAAGCGACCTCAACGGGGTAGATAACTACTCGTATAGTGAAGTAGTTTTGTCTCAAAGAAGAATACTGTAAAATGTTATTAGAAAATATTCATTCTTAACATTTTTTAATTACATTATTCCCAACTTAGTAAATGCTAAGATCGAGCTATATGTAACTGAAATTGGTATGAACAGAGTGAGATTTTAAAGTTAAAACCTCGTGTATCTAAATACTATCTATCTAAAGACATATAGCTGCACGCAATATTACTTGAAGTTATAAATTGCATCCACATAAACATCACACATTTCTCCTACGTTAAAAGTGTTATTCATCGTCTATCCCGCCGACTTTAAAATGTTTTACTTTGTACTTAAATTCGTTGCTCATTATTTCACTTCACAGTAATTGCATTCGATGTCTTTACACTGTTAGTACACACTTGACAACTCGCTACACAGGATTATGGTGTTCTGTTACTATATAAATAGAAAATAGTAACGAGTACGAGGAGTAATTCCGCTTATGGTAATACAGCCAACATAATAATGCCGCGTTGTTCGGATGTTTTGACAAGTTCGAGTTGAAATAATTCTGTTACAATGATCTAACTCGTCTCTTGCGTTTTTTATCTTTTCACTAATATAAATTGTTGAAAAAAATCGTCTTGTTTGCAGAAAAGTTTGAATTGAAGTATAACGCTTTATATTGTTAAAATTTTAAATTATCAAGTACTAATATTACAAAAGTTTTAAACACTTTCAGTTGAATTGATCTATCTCAATAATATTAAGATATATAGTACACATTTGTATTGATATAATAATACACATGATCTTCGCGGTTAAATTATGTTTACTGTCGTATAATACGCCCACTTTATTTGTCCTCAAAATTATTATGTGTTCCGTGTGTATTAAATTATTACTACGTACTGTGTATTAAATTAGTATATTTCTATTGTCTATTATATTTCATAAAATAGAGATCCGTTCTAAATCCGTTAGGGCTATGAATTACAATTTCAAGTTAATATTGCCTTAAAATATTGTAGTCAACATAACATATTATATCATTGAAATAATTAATGAAAAATTTCTTAATTCCGTGAATCCGTCCAAGCTTCCTATTTTAATAACATTTATAAATTAAATCTGTATTATGTTATATCCTTAATGTCAACATTTCTGTACATATATAAATGGACCCTTACGGATTTTATTGGATACTTTATGAAATATGCAAATTGTCAAAAATGCGTGCAGAGATTTGCTTTTGTAAAGCAGGGATGTAATGCATCCCTTTTGTTTAAATCATTTTAAACCGATATTGTTTGGGCTCCATTATTTTTTGACCTTCATTATTTTTGCATTTTAAAGTTTACATACGTATCGTAAAAAACGCACAAGTTAGTTAAATTAGTGTGACGGGTTTAAGGGTTAAGATTTGAGCTGTAAAGGTACATAATACTGTGATGTAAAATATATCCACTCTTTTAATTGTGACGTTAGTTTGATGCGTAGCGATAAGTTTACTATTTTGCTGAACATATCGTGCCTTAGACTTAGCTCAATTTTTAAATACAACATATTTTTACAACAAACATCGGCTGCTATTTAACGAATTTACCTTGAAGACATTCTATAAAATACATGTAAAATATATTATGTGTAAATTATTGTAAATATTGTGATGGAATATTGAATATGAAGTGCCTTTATGCAATTTATATCATATTATGCAGCATTTGATTACGAATTCACAGTCGTATATTAATATCACGTAATCTTTTTGCCAAAGATCTCCCATTCGTAGTCTGTTAATGTGTTAATGCACTGTTTAATGGTTGGTAATTATGAAAGGATCCACCCGTCCCGACCGATTACATGTGAATACTGATAGTCCTTAAGCGGAAAATAAGAATTTATTGAAGATGTCGAGATTTAATTTAGAATAACTATAAGTGTATTTACGAAAGTAACTACTTTTAAGTAATTATTTTTATATGATTTGTGTTTTGACACAAATGTTTTTATAAAACTATGTAAATCGGTGCCAACGTGAATATTGTTGTAATTTGTTATGTAGTGATATAATTTTATGATGTATCGTTGACTCTGGTAACGTGTCGAATGGAGATATGCGCTCGGCGCGAGTTTTAAATGAGTTATTATAATTGTTGTTCTACTGGAAATACAATTTAGAAACAACGATGATTTTGTTTCAATTATTTTATTTAAATAACGATTAAATTATTAATACTTCGTTACAACACATTGTAGATGTCAGTTATAATGCAATAATATCAATTTATGATTTTAAGTAATTCTCTTAAAACGCTAAGTTATTGATTATGGCTCAATAATATCAGTCTTTTTTTGTAAAAGGTAATGAAAAAGCTTGCGCTCATTATTTTTATTACAGCAATAAAACAGACCTTTTGTAAATGTAAAAATACATCGCCATATACATAAACACAATACAGGTATAAGTATATGTTTTTTATAACCAAAAAAACACAACAAATAACAGATATGTTAACAATTTATAAATGTCGAAACTTGCAACTTTTCTTGTCAATAATATTAACTTGTAGTAATACATTGAGTGATGACGGTGCGGATGTTTTTTTATAAAATTAATTACATTCTTATATATATACGTTTTACTGTATGGTCCATATCTTAGTAGCACCTGGTACCTACTAACGACGTCTTTATTTACATAATAATATAATATGAGAACTAACATCCTATTGCGTCTATGATTATATTAATTTTCAGTAAACGATGAGTGATCGTGGTGCTTAATAATTAATATACATTTGTTTTTATAGTGTAATATCATTCCTCTGCTACAAAATATTAGCGTCCGCTATCAACGTCGTTCTTCAAAGGATATTTCCCTAATGTTCAATCAAGCGATTGTGAGCAGCTATCATGCGAGCGAGTCTCGAAGCGGGCTGTGCCAACAGACTTTTTATACTGCCCAGTTCTACTATCCGGCCTTCCTCCAGAACGGCAGCACGATCGTACCCACGCACTGCAGACACTCGATGCTAATGAACAAAAATATTTTGGATTGTAATGATTTTTCAGATACTTCATTGAGAAGAATTTCTGATGCAGTAAGAAAAATTCACTTGACTCTTCTTAGGGGCCATTCATTTTAATTACGTAAGGGTTTCGAGGGCGAGGGTCGCTAATAATCTTTACATGACCTTATATTGCTGGTTGGGGGAGGGGTAACACCTATTCTTACGTATTATTTTGTAAGTCGAAATTTAATATGAAAAATCTAGTTCCATTGCGGATGCCGAATGGTTTTCTTTATTCTATAATGTACACTTCGATTTACATATTATTTTACAAATATTTGTTGTTAATTACAAATTTTTAATTTATAAATAATAATTATAGTATATTCTTCCTGACGACGATTGATCATCTGAATTGACCTAACTAGTAGCTTTTACTGTCTAGAATCTTACGTAAGAAGTTAGGTTCGAGAAATGTACCGTTACATGGGTGTAGGGGGATGGGAGGGGGGTCAAAATCGTTAAAATCATCGTTACATAATTAATGAATGGTCCTTATCAGTACTTTTTGAAATTATTATATCATATCTGAAAACACAGCGGAATCTACATGTTGCTTGTTGTGTACAGCCATCGAGGTATTAGGTCAAAATATAATGGTTCGTTCATTCGGATTATGACCTAATATTTCGATTACTCGACTCATAAATCATCAGAGTGAACGACAGTACGGAAGTCATATTATAAACAATATTTTTAATAATGCCGACGCGGGCGTAGAACACTTACTGTCTACCGGGAGGGCATCACTTTATTTTCTTTTTTTTTTGCTACTGTAGGGTGAACCCCTGTGCTTGCGTGCGTGCGTTGCAAAACATTTATATGGAGCTTACGCACCCTCGTTCACTCTAGTCTTGTTATCGTGCTTCTTTTAATTGTTTATGCGGTCCGACAGTGATCGCGTATTTAAATCTTATATTTAAATTAGTCGGCACTTGAATCCATAACTTCCCCGCCGCAACGTTCATATTTTTGCATTCAGGTTACAACACGCCAATAATGAGTAATCATAAAAATGATTACTCATTATTAAACATCCAAAAATATCTTATTCCTTTGCAAAATCGCTTCTCGTACTAGTGACGTCACTGCGTCACAAGATGAACAGTATGCGGCCTGCATTTTCGCGCGAAAGTAAAACGATAGATTAAAAGTAATTTTTATGGCACTCTTCGGTTTCGAAAAATATTATATAACAAATTATAGTGGTATATTATCACTAGGATTAATTTAAAATAATATTTGAAAATGGGTGTAATACCCTTACCGCGACTGTAATGATGGTGGTGTTGGGGGCGAGGTCGGCCAGGGCGGCGAGCAGGTCGCGCTCTGCGGGCGCGTCGAGCGCGGCGCCCGGCTCGTCCAGCAGCAGCGCGGCAGCCAGGCGCGCGTGCAGCGCGGCGCGCGCTGCGCACACCCGCGCCCCGCGCCCGCCGCCGCACCACCGCCCGCGACCACCGCCAACAGAACATTCTGCATGTATACAATATTAACGTACACCCTCAGACATCCCAATTAGTATATTATATGTTATAATCAGAATACATACACCGAATTTTTAGTAAAACATTTTTATGCACTGATTATTTATCAAATTAGTTATACTAATTCCGGAAGAATGTTGTGGTCATAGTACAAATCCACGAACGCAAAGACTGTAACGTGCTTGAAATAAACTTCATTTTTCTTTATTTTTATTGAATGACAGAATTAGTAATAATATAAATAAAACTGCACTCTAAAAGTCTTATTGCCTTTGTTATGGTCCATTTTAGTTTGTTTTCACTGTACAGATTTAGTGTGACTGTAATTTACGTAGTTTTAATTATTTTTGGGATAAAAAATTACCTATATTAAAAATGATAGGAATCGATTCAGTGAACGATTCTGAACAAACTACTTTCTCAAAGTGCGTTAATTATGTTACGTGTTGTATATATATTATATGCCGACATTTTTCTTTCTGAAATTATTTTAATTAAAAGTTCGCGTTCTCGTTAAAAACGCTCTCCAGCAATAAATTTCTATAAACTACATTTATGATTTGATTTTCAAATAATTTCGCTCTGAGAAACCGTGCTGATTTTAGTTAGACCCTAGAAACACGTGAGCAAGGTATACCGCTATTTTCAAGGTTCAACTTCCCTTTGATTTGTTTATTGTCATGGGAATTGTACTCGCTTAATGCTTAACGGTAGATTGTTTGTTATATTAGAAATACCGAGCACATTTAAGAGCAAGCAAAGGGAGAGCCTTGACTTGTGATAAAATTGAGCGTGATAAAAAAACATGCCGGTAGTGTTCTTCTTTCAACTACAATAGTTGTTAATGTGCAGTAGCCCCACATTGACCAGGTGAACAGCAAACTGGCTTATCGCCCAAATATTATAAAAAAAAAACTACGTGTGTGTGTCGGTTAAACGTTCTGGGAGTTTTTTATACATTCTGTCATACAGAGACCGGCCAGGACTGCTGCTGTGTGGTACTGGTACCGGGCAATAACTTAAGACGGGCCCTACGGACTTAACGGTGACTGTCAATTGCTCGTAACTTTAGTCGATTGCGAGTGGCATTTTTTATAATTTATACACTTAAAACATCCATAAACTCATACATTTACTCATAGTTTATCGATCGCTTCCATTTGTATCGAGTTTTAATATGAACTGCAAAAATTAATGCGACTTGCATTTGATTTTACTCAAACCCAAATAAGATTTTTTTTTACTTAATTGAGTGTGAGTATAATCAAAAAAGTTACAGTGTATCCACATCATTGGCTTAAAATGAACATGCATGAAATCACGTCCTTTCTATTTGTGTATCGTACATGAAGATGATGGGACTTTACAAATTACAACTGATCTACCTGAAAGTGTACATGATCGCACTCTTACACAAGCCTCTAGCCCCTGGCTTCTTGAGATAGACCTAGCGAGAGCACTCGTGCGAGAGCGTATAACCGTCATAAGGGACAGCTCACCTAAGCCCGCGGGCTGCGCCGAGACGAAGTCGTACAGGCCGACGGCCTTGAGACAGCGCCAGATGTCGTGGTCGGTGTGCACGGCGAGCGGGTCGAGGTTCTCGCGCAGCGTGCCCGCGAAGAGCGCAGCGTCCTGCGGCAGTACGAGCACGCGGTGGCGCAGCGCGCGCAGCGGCACTCGCGATGTGTCCGCGCCGTCAAGCAGCACGCGCCCGCCGCGCACCCCCGCCGCGCCCGCGCACGCCAGCACCAGCGTCGACTTGCCGCTGCCGCTGCGCCCGCATATCGCCAGCTGCACACTTGCCATTTTAACTGACTTCTAAAAGGAGTTACTTGTATATTCGACGCGTATGTTTATTTTTCTTTTAAAACAAGCAATAGATTTCCTACGTGATAGGACTTCTTTTCAGCCTATAAGTATTTCTACCACGCACCAAAAGTACAGACATTACTTTGTTCTGGTTTGAAAGACCTAGTATAATTACAAGCTTTGTGACCTTCCTTCCATATTAGGTCTTAGAGGTGGAATCACATCTATAGCCACATGAGTTAAGAAATAGCCTGTAATTCAATTTATGATTCAACCTAGTAATCTCTCTCTACTCTCTAGAGAGATTACTAGGTTATATTACCTAATCTCTCTCTAATTTACTTCGGTCGTACGTATCGTGCACTTGTGTATGAGTGAAGAGTGTTGTAATCAATTTCATTCAAGGTCAAATAAATTCGGTTCGGTTTAGTTAAATATTACTACATCAAGACATACTCGTTATCATCGTGGTGGGGGAAAGGTAGGGTCGAGACTTTTGCGGAATTCTCCACGTCTCTAAAATAAATAGACAAGGACATTTGACATCCGCCAACATGCACTGGAGCAGTGCGTGGGACAGCTGGTCTATAAGTCCACCATAATCCTCAGAAATAAGAACGCCCGTGCATTGCGCTGGGACTTAGATAGACCAAGTGAGCTAACACGCGAAACGTAAACGTCAAACTACTATTATGAAGCTAAATGAAACGTTTCTTAAATTGGAAAATAGGGTATAAATATTATTGAACAAAATAAAAAAAATCTTATTACCTTTTCACCAGGATTTACAGTCAAGTTTATATTTTTAAGTATGGGTGGAGCGTCAGGATGATGCTGTACTGTCACGTTTTCGAACTCTATTTTGCCATTCCTTTGCCAGCCTGCCGGGATCGGGCCTGTATCAAAAATTTATCTTAAAGCAAAGAATATTTAATCATTGATTAAAGTAGAATTTGATGTAATTAATTATATTCGATCGCTAATTAAGCATACAAAAATCATCATCACCGTTGCCATCATTATAGCCCTTCAGAAGCTCACGACTTAACATAGGCCATCTAGTGGGGAGCCGGGTATACTCATCGATTACTGGTACGGTTGCACTCTCTTGTTTTCAAGTTTTGAAGAATACGATACATGTAAATGTGTCGTTATCTCCCGAACGCAGCCCAGTCGAATTAGTTCCGTCGATTGATCTCTTGGTCGTGGTCGGACTTGACTAATCGGTCTATTTGTCCTAGGTAAACTTACTCGTTAACAATTATCGGCACAGGAGCGACATGGACGTTGCACATGACCTTTGTTTTGTCCATGTACATTTTAAGATATATCTGTTGGTAGAAACTTCGAAACGAGTTCGTGAACAGTCGGCAAATCGAAAGTAAGTGGTTAACTCTCAAATGACGTTAATACCGTATCCTTTTAGGTCTGGAACTCTAGAAATTTGAAAACTTCTAATGCAGCGGTATATTTTCGGGTATATTACGTCATCCTGTCTTACACCTCTGTTGAATTAACGTAGCAGCGTCGAAATTTCCACGGAATCAGATTTTCTCATATTTTACATGCGTAAAATAAAGTTGAAGTAAAATTGTAAAAACTTTCAAATTCGGGGGGTATGTATGTGGTCTATTTCGGAAATTTACTTGTTTGGCAGGCTGTATGTCGACAAATCTGCCCGCGAGACGTTTTAACGACTCGAAAACGGCACGTATTAGGACTCTGCTTAGAAGGAAAAGTGGTTTGTTGTACTACGATAGAGCGTTTATTGGGTGCTATTTATTTTTCAATTAGGCATTTTCTATTGAAGATAGTATTTAACTTTTTCTGGTTTTCCCATATATTGGCTTTTTGTAAAACTGCATCTGACAAAACGAGAATAGAATTCCTTCTCTACTTAGAATTCAGTATGGGGAGGTATCACCCCGCTGTATGTATGCTAACATTCCTATGTTACGGTCTGCAGGCTATATAGAGCTGCTGTGAAACATTACATCATACGCCACAGATTAAAGTTGGCTGAATCAGGCAGGTGGACTGTTGGAAGTTCATTTGTCGTTAATGTTTTATAAAAAATAATATATCAATAGGGTCGGTGTACTGATCGGTTGAACGGGCAATTCTCAAAAGGAAACGTACAGTCGTCCCGGTAGTCCTCCTGCGGCACGGCGGTGTCGGCGAGGATGCGCTGCAGCGCGGCGAGCTGCTGGTGCAGGTCGGCGCGGCACTTGGCGGCGTGCGCCAGGTACGCGGGCAGCAGCAGCGCGTACGCGCCCGCCAGCCCCGCGCCGGCTGCTCCCCCCGCTGACCCGGCGCCCACCAGCGCCGTCGCTAGGGACACGCATACGCTTGCCGCGCCCACTAGGTCCTGCAGATGTTGTAATTTTTATTTTATCTCTTTAGGAAAACTTAGCTGTAAGTTTACAATTGTAACACTGTCTACAATTGAAACTCCAAAACAAAATCCAATTAAATAGAATATAATCATTTTTATTCACACAGAACAGCTACAGAAGTGTTTTAACAGTGGCAGGCCAGCGTAAAGTATAAGGTCCGCTTCTGCATTTCGTCTGGTGACTGTAGGTGGTCGGATTTCCAATTTCACACCACCACCCCTCTTAACATGGTAGCGGAGTTAAATGGCACACTACCCCAGGACCCCCAGCACAGCATCCATCATCATCATCCCTCGCTGAGCATCCACGCCCAAGCTACCCTACTCTTACTAAGCATAGGTACTCAGGCTGCCCCGCGTATTCTGAGGGGGGGGGGGGTGAAATACCGCTCCAGATAACTCGGGGCAAATGTAGCACCAAGACAAAGGCGCCCCCTGCCACGCTATCCGTGAATTTCTGCAACATCAGGGGACTTCATTCAAACCATAACGGCTTCCACTACCATCTGGAAACGGCGAAGCCGGCCTTGTTCTTTCTAATCGAGACACAGGTGTCCTCTTCGGCTGATGCTTCGTATCTCTCCTACCCGGGGTGCAAATTAGAACACTCCTTTGTGCCCCGTTGTGTTCAGAGGGGACATCTGTTTTCAACGCCTCGGCAGTCTTGAAGGTACGAACCTGTCCATCTTATGGCTGTGCTTAGACAGCGAAAACCATCCCCACTTCTACGAGTCTCTCTATAGGTCCCATATATAGCGGTAATGCCGACACAGACCGACTCATCGACCACTTTCAAATGGCTACAGACTCCGTGCTACAACAGGTCCCATCCACAGAGATTGTGATGCTTGATGATTTTAACGCCCACCACGCTGAATGGCTAGCTTAGTTCCCGTTTAACCGATAATGGGGGTAGATCTGTTTATGACTTTGTTTTGGCATATGGTCTGACACAACTGGTTACCTCGCCTACACGGATCTCAGATGTGGAAGATCATGTACCTTCTCTGTTGGACCTTCTGATGACCTCTCATCCGGCGGCTATCAGGTCTCCGTCGATGCCTCTCTTGGCTCCTTAGATCATTGTCTGATCCGGAGTACGGTGCCAGTCACGCTCCCGTCGTGGTTGCGTTCTGCAGGTTGCCAAAGTGTTTGGAATTATAAGTCCAATTGGGACGGGCTGCGATATTTTTTTGCATCCTACCCTCGGGTTTGCTTCTCGCCGGATGATCACATGATGATACAGGGAATGGAACTTTTCATTCCATCACATGTAGTACTTCTACTTATCGGAAGCGGAACCCCAGCCATGTCTTGGTCGCTCCTAACGAAATTGCATTACGCCATAAGCAAGAGTGCTACCAGGCTCGGGCTCACAGATCGTGTCGGGATGCAAATATCAGCGCTCTTAAAAAGAAGTATAATTCCGTATCCAGGTCCTTCAAAAGTGTCATTGCTAAGGCAAAGTCAGAGTTTTGGGAACACGTGTATTCTGGTCTCTCGCCAATACTGTCCAAGGGAATTTCTGACAATCATTTCTTCCATCTCTGCACAGGGAGGACGACTCACTGGCCCATGCCGCAAAGGACAAAGCCGATATGCTGGGCTTTCTCTTTGCGTCGAACTCGACTCTTTATGATGAGGGAACACACCGCCGACCATCCCGCGGTGTGAGTGCTTCATACAGGATGTGCTGTTTCCCCAGTGCTCGGTGCGCGGAGCACTCCTCTTCCTGGACATCAACAAGTCGCGTGGGCTTGATGGCGTCCCTCCTATTGTGCTGAAAACGTGTGCTCCGTAGTTGGCACCGGTGTTAACGCGTCTTTTCCGGTACTCCTACTTCCTAGGCTTAGTCCCGAAATCATGAAGACATCTTTAGTGTACCCGATCCCTCAAAAAAAAAGCGACAGCTCAGATCCGTCTAACTACAGGCCTATTGCTATCACCTTGTTCTCCAAAATTATGAAATCCATTTAAAACTGCTAGCCCCTGAGGTAGGCAGGTTTGACCTTGAGGGTCAAAAGGTGATTAGTGACCGCCAGTACGGTTTCCGTCGGTATCGCTCAGCTGGTGATCTTATGGGTTACCGAGCTCATAGATGGGCGGAGGCAGTGGAGTTCAAGGGGGAGGCGTTGGCCGTTAGTTTGGATATAGCGAAGACCAAATTGACCTCTAAAAAGCTTGGCGTGCTCAGCAGATAGGGACAGTATTTCATGCCAGTACACCGCCTGCAACTTTACTTTACAAGACAGGTTTGGCCGCACATGGAATACTGTTCTCATCTCTGAGCGGTGCTTCGCTAGTGCCAGCTCCTTCCTTTTAATCGCATAGAGCGCAGAGCCCTTCGAATTGTCGGCGACCGAGCTCTTTCCGATCGGCTTGACTCACTGGCACAGCGCACACTTTGCGTATTTTATCGCATTTACCACGGGGCAGAATTTCACCATCGCGCATCGCGACAACGCTCGCTATACCATCCATACCAACTAGATGACAGGCGTTCCACTGTGCGATTTAAAAGAAGCTTTCTACCTCGCACAACTTCCTTGTGGAATCGACTACCACCAGAAAATTTTCCGAACCGATACGACTTAGGGGCCTTCAAGAAAAAGCCTACTCTTTTTAAAAGGCCGGCAACGCATCTGAAATTCCCCTGGTGTTGCAGTTGTTCATGGGCGGCGGTAATCACTTACCGTCAAGTAAGCCGTATGCTCGTTTGACCCCTCTCCTATAAATAAATTAAAACCGAACAGGCGGATTATAGAAGCAATGAATACATTACCGTAAAACTAAAGAGTATTTCTGTTTCTAATCAAAGGGTTGATATTTTTGCTAGTAATTCTAGTAGAGTAAAAGTTTATATCCGAATACGTATGATACGTTATACAAAAGGAACAGGAAACATTCGTCGCGCTATTTCAGTGCTTATTTGACATGATTTCGAAACATATTTAAATTCTTGCACATGTATGTATGTTTGTACTTTTTAGGCAGTATTTCAGTGGTACTGAATCAAACACGCTTGGAATTATGTCGAGTGCCAGTTTCTACAAAAAAGAAAGAGAAAGAGATTAGATTTATCTCTGTGTAAAGCGTTTTAGTTATTCAGTTTTCACTCGTCGCATTTTTAGTTTTACGCTGTGTCCCTTCGAATTGCAAAAAAAAAACATCGTAGGTTATCGTAGGACTTTTATATAAATATATCACAAATATTTCATTCTTTTGTTACAATCAATATTATTCTATCACAAAAAGGGGTGTGCGGACCGTACGTTTCCCCTTTTTTAGTTCTTCGAATAAAGGACAAATAAACGTAAGACTGAACATACCAGTGTGAGTCCAAGCCAGCGGTTGGCGGCGTTGAGCAGCAAAAGCGAGTTGTGGTTGCGGTCGAGGCGCGCGAGAAAAGCGGCGCGCATGCGGGCCTGCAGGCGGCACGTGCGCACTGTGCTCGCGCCCGCGCCGGTCTGCGCGCACAGCGACGCCACGCGCGCCGCGCTCCGCGCCTCCGACCGCTGCACCTCGCTGCAAGTGCAACACACGAGTACGTGCTTTAGCCATACAACAGCTATATCATGTGTACGCTGTACCACGAATGGATCAGCTCGACCAGGGAAGGATCACGCTCTCACTGAATACCAGAGTGAAATATCAGCTGAATACTGCTGTGTTTCGTATGTTGAGTTTAGAGATTCGGAGGCCATTTCTACTGGGAACGAAGCATTCCATCTTAGTCCTCAAGGGTCACAACGCACCTGAATTTTGATTCTTAATCGAGCATAGATGTAAATATCTCTGGATCACAGCATCCACTTACCATCAGAAGGACTGTGCTCGTTTTCGACCCTAATTCTATTTAAAAAATGTGACAGTATATATAATAATATGCATATGCCTTGACCTTTATCATTTACGATTAACCTTACCTAAACTCTTTCTACTGTATCAGATCCGGATGAAAGTACTGATATATAAAATTCTTTAAGAATTGAAACCATTCATCCGAAATAGAAGGATGAAATCGTAAGGAGTCCTCTGTTTTACTAGGTGTGAGATAGGTAATCTGTTGTTAAGCTACACAGTTATTTTTAAAAACTTGTTTGCATTCTTTTTATTAACACATACAGATTATGTAAATGTACCTAGCATTGTGTAAGTAGACAGTCTGCAGTAGTAGAAAACAAATAAACGCGGGGAGGAAAGCCAGAAGCATCCAGCTTGACGCAATAATATTCACCAGCACCGCTGCCGCGCACAGCAACGCCAGCTGCGCCCACCGCGTCACCGCGGTGGCCAATTTCTGTAGGTAAGAAAATTCGAATTATTGTAACACTAGTAGTATCTATATCTATACTAATATAATCAGTAAAACATGCTTATCCGATTTGAAAAAAATATTCATGAGGAATAGTATAAGTAAGCGCCCCCGAACTGCTTTAACCGCGTGCGCGGGCGTAATGGCTAGTGAAACGTAAATACAATGTTCTACAAAAATATTGCTCCTTACATCATCTAAAAAAAAGTCCGCGATACCATATTTCTGTTTCGTGATAAAAATATTGAAAATTAAATTATTATTTTTAGACATGGCATATTAACCTTTAGGAACGAAAAGTACTTTATCATCAAGACAATTTTATTAAGATAAACTTTGCTCTTTATAGCATATTCGAACGCAGTTTAAGAGATAATGAAAAATTAAAATAATTCAACACTCGGCTCGGCGCGCAAATGAAGCATAACCTTAGCCGCCCGATGAGAACCGAGAGAAAGCAGCGCGTAGAGAACACAGCAGGTAGCTCAGTCGTGAAGTGCTCGCTGTAAATTTCAGAGTACTCGAGCAACCCGGGTTCGATCTCCGATGTCACCAATGAAATTGTTCATAGCGATTTCAATTGCTGATCTACCATGTGCTTGGCGGTGAAGGAAAACATCGTAAGAGAAAACCTGCATATCTGAGAAATAAGATTAAAAATATTTTGAAAACATGTGAAATTCGCCAACATGCATAGCGCGGTGGACATTCCTTTGCCCTAAAAACCGTCTCAGAAGTGAGAGAAGGCCTGTGCCCCGCTGTGGGACGTATATAGGCTGTAACTTTTTAACTTAAATTCGGATTAATGAGGAAAGAGATTTGTTGGATATTATTTTAATTTTACCCTAGTTAGACTATTTAACTTATATTTGCCTTTGGGTTTCATTGTACATTGTAATCTAATTGGACTGACTAAAAGTTTCAAGTGCAAGATTGTGTGTGCGCGCGCGCGCGTGTGTGTGTGTGTGTGTGTGTGTGTGTGTGTGTGTGTGTGTGTGTGTGTGTGTGTGTGTGTGTGTGTGTGTGTGTGTGTGTGTGTGTGTGTGTGTGTCTGTGTGCGTGTGTGTGTGTGTGTGTGTGTGTTTGTGTGTGTGTGTGTGTGTGTGTGTGTGTGTGTGTGTGTGTGTGTGTGTGTGTGTGTGTGTGTGTGTGTGTGTGTGTGTATTTGCATGTGTACGTAAAATATTAACGAGAATAGTGTACGTGCCCGGTCGACGACGGCGATGTCGGCGGAGAAGCGGTGCAGCGCGGTGGAGGCCGCGCGGTGCGGCGGCGCGTGCAGCGTGGCGTGCAGCAGGCGCTCGTGCAGCACGCGCCGCGCCGCCGCGCCCGCGCACGCGCTGCACGCCTGCGCCGCGCCGCCCGCCGCCGCGCCGCCCGCGCTCCACCACACGTACGCACATACCGCCGCCCACACCTGCAACCGACCCACCGACTTTATGCTGCCGCCACACTGCACAAATACTCACACACTGTCTAGTACACACTGTCTACTACAGCACTGTCAGAAAGCCACCAGTCGGTAGTCTGACAGCCCGCACAGAATACCCGCTCAAAATAGCGGCATCATAATACTGCGTTTTGTATGGTGAGTGGAGAGCGGAATGTATTGTATTATTATCGATTTAATATTAATACTAATAGTATTTACCTAATATTAAATCGAGAATAGTTTTAGTTATTTTTATTTATTTATTAATTTATTTATTACACAATTATAACATCATTACAGTTATTAAACCAATGCGATGCTATAACTAACCTAAATATAAGAAAACTACTGACTAATAAATAATTGTATCTAGTATGAAATCTATCAAATTGATGGTAAAATAAAATACTAATTAAAAACATCACAATTTTCAACGCATTCGTATGCTGCAATCATGAATTTCGTCTCACTACATGCAAATATGTCAATATCCTGTGAGATGATATTAAAATAGTGTAAAGCCCGTGACCATAGTTAAGTATATTTTGTTGATATGTTGAAAGGTTAGATATAATATGTATAGTACGTTTCTAGGGCGGGCGGAAAAAAGTACATTGACCTTTCACGACGTCATCGGGGTAGGCAATCTTTTTTCTTTAGGTTCATTTTTTATCCTTTTATCATTACATACATCATCAGAGTGAAAGATAAGGGTGCTGAGTGCGAAGTTCTTTACAGGCCCTATGTGTATTATTATAATATATATAATAAAGAAGGAAGATTATCCTGTACCTAAATGAATTAAAAAGCAAATTAATATTAATTTAAGTGTATTATTTATAAATTATGAGTTATTACAATTTTCATTTCTACGTTAATAGTAGGTAAGTACTTTAATAAGTAAGTAGGTAGGTAGTTGTATAAAACATAACCACTTCTTGGCAGTCAGGTAAAAAGATGAACTTTTAATGCTAAGCATTCTTAAGCAGCTAACCTTGAAGCATGCATAAAACTGCTCATAATAGATTGTCAGAGACACTTGACAGACTATTCATCTGTATCTATTTCAGAATCATTTTATTATGATGAAGACGTAGAAGAGTCCGTCACATTGATTATAACCCAAAATATCGGCAGTCTTCTTTTTCATATCCGTTTTGGGTAGATATACGTCACTAGACCACGTTTCCTTTACATATTTATAGATGTTTACAGTCATTATTTTTTTCGGTTTCCGAAATATGGGACACTTTTCGTTTCTTCCGTGGTGACGTAGTCTTTATGATTTCAGTGATTTGTGACGTTTTGCATTCTATCACTAGTAATAATATGCAAGACGTCACAAAACAATAACAAAAACTTTAGTACAAAACGTAATAATACAACTAACAAAACAAACTTAATAAAAATGAAAACAACTACTATAACCGAAAATTTTAAATCTCAAGCTATCTACACACAAGCGTGTTCCAAAGCAGCGTGAGACCTATCGCAAATCGCGTCGAAACAGGTTTATTATCTCTGAATGACCGCTTCCTTCACCCTACCTCGTACCATGAGACACGCTTAGCGCATTCATTATTGTATCGATTTGAGTTTTAAATTGCTAAATGGTTGTCTTTTCATTCATACTCCATTCATTTTATACTCGCACTATAAGATTTCACTCCTACGATCGTCCTACCTTTGAGCTTTATGTGGGCATTACACGATCAACTAAACCTCCAATTTTATTCCTCCAAAATTATCGATGCCGGGCAATAATCCAAAAATCCTGAACCGGGATCGTTTCCTCGGTCATCCTTGAAAAAAATTGTGTACAACAAAATATAAAAAAACCAGATCCTTCTTTCTTAGCATCTCACTTGCTTAGTGTATATTATGGGCAATTTTAATGAAAATACAAAATTCAAGCAATGCATGCCTACAAACTCAATCTTGGAAAAGAACTCGTTCATCAGTAGATTGAATCTCAGACCTTAACCGTAATTACAAAGTTTGCCTACTGAAGTAATTGTTTTACTTCAGTGTGTTGTGTGTGAGACTTTTAAGTTATTTGCATGATTTTAATATAAATCACGATTTTTGTATTTACTAGTGTTGTTTTTCATTAATAACGATTAGTTACTTACATCTGCAATACCGTGTAGAGAGAATAGAGCGGCATAAGAGAATCAATTAGCTCATGAAATCCCGTGGGTAGTCGTAAGAGTTGGACAGAAGCTGATAAATAAGATGGGGAGTTGCAAAGAAATTAAAAAGCTTTGGTTGTCATGAGGAACTCTTTGTGGGGAGGGGCATGTTCAGTAGTAGACTTTTGATAGGCTGTAGTGAATGAATGAATTACTTTTTTTATTCTGGTTTTATTTAGGGATTTTTGTTCGTTGACATGTCAATCCCATTAAAGCTAACTTAAAATCTATACATTTGTTATTAACCTGCACATACTTAATGCAATATCCGAGGTGGGGGCATGTAGGATGCTCTGAGCAACACCTATATTGTACACATTTATGTTATATGTTCTTACAAATAATTCCCTTGCACCTCGGTTGCGCTCACATTCCATTAAAAAATGATGTATGTCTTCAATTACTCCACAAATTTCACAGTTAGGTGAATCAGCTCTTTTCATCAAGTAAGAAATTTTTTTTGATGGAATGTGACCTGCTCTTAATCTAAATATTAATTTAATAGTATTTCTGTTTAATTTGGTATCCATAAACCAAGGTATTCGAGGCGGTTCACTCTGTATCGTTTTATACCAAATACCTTTCGTTTTAGAACGTTCATTGAAAAATTCTTTCCATTTATTATAACATGAATTTTTTATTTTTGGTAATATTTCTGAGTAGCAAGAATCAATAAAATATTCCACACCATTTATGCAAGCAGAATTCGCTAATCTATCCGCCTCCTCGTTACCCAATAAACCAATGTGTGCTGGAATCCATTGCACCCTTACAGCGATGCCGCATAGACTGAACTGATTTATTTGCGAAAGTATGTCATAGGCTATCGAAACACCTCTGATTTCAGAGGCGGATCGAGCCAAATGTTGGATAGCAGTTTTGCTGTCCGAGTAAATGATAATTTTGTTCCAGTTATAGCTTGCGGCATATCTTAAGGCTTCGGATATTGCAATGAGTTCAAGGGTCAGTGATGAATTACTTACATCATCATCAGTAAGAGCCGTCCTTGAGCTGGTCGCGGCACTGTCAGAAAGCCACCAATCAGCAGTGAGCGCTAACGCCTGCGCGGCCGCCGCAGCTAGCCAGTACATAGCACCCCACCAACCGCACGCACGTGCGTACACCCACCAAATTGAGCTCTGGAATCACCAAATTGATCGTTTGGTTGACAACGAACGAGAATCCATAAACAAATTTCGCCCCGTGGGTATTGTAAGAGACTGCTATTCGAAACTCAAAATATCAAAATAAATATATAACGAGAACACTCATTTACTGTCCAGATTAAAATAAAACAAGGTAATATTTTATATATGGGGCTCTGATTAGCGAAACGAACTCAAATACCATAGATTGGTCAATCGCCGATGCGGCGCGCCAGCTCTAGCCTTAGCATGTTCTGTTGACGCATTCTTAGAAAGCCCTTAAGTAGCTTGTAGCCGGCAGTGGATTGTTAAATTATATTATGGAGAAGAAAGTACAGTTGCAAAAAAATAAGATTGTGCTATAGCCAAAAATACTTCGTTAAAACTTGAAAATTTTGAAAATTGGACTTTGGATTGGAAAAGTACATTTTTGAGAAAATGACAGGAATCTTGGATCGGTATTCAATGAATGGTCGTCGTCGAAGTTTGAAGTAAATTTCCACCCATTTCGCGAAGGATGGAAAACTTGGGGAGTTGTTATTGTAGTTTTTATAACGTGGTAGAGCCATGCTGCAGTTATATTAGTAGTATAGTTGTAGCACGAATGGGTCGGCTAGACCAGGGAAGGACCACGCTCTCACAGAATACCAGCGTGAAATAGTAGCTTAATGCTGCTGTGTTTCGTATGGTGAGTGTAGAGAACCGGAGGCATTCCATCTTTGTGCTCGCGGATGACAACGCATCTGCATTTTGATTTTTAATCGAAGATAGATGTAGATGTCTATAGGCCACAGCAACCACTTACCATCAGGTGAACTGTTTGGTCGTTTGTCACCTTATCCTATAAAAAAAGCTATTTAGACGACATTCTAGTTGCTAACTTACACAGGAATATTGCTTAGTTTTTTGTTATAAAGTGGTAAAGTTTAAACATTTAGTAAAAAAAAAAATATAACATTCCTTCCGTATATTTAGACCATAATTTTTGCAGCTTAATAAAATTTATTTTAGATCGCAGTTTTCTCCGTAGCTACTTACAGTTATTATGTGAATCATAATTATAATCACCTCACTAATTACTTCTTCTGAGTCCTCCTTGTTTGATATTAAATTATCAGAGTTGTTGCTAATTGTTGTTTCAACACCATTTGATGGAACCGATGCAAAAGTTGTGTCGACTGTTGTGGATTCATCTTTAGCTGAAACATAAAATACTTTCTAAATATGTAGGTAATTCAATCGTGTAGAATTTATACAATCGCATTTTAGTAACATTTTGAACTGACCATTTTCTTGTAGGTCGTCTGCTTGCGTGTCGTCGTCAGTACTTAACAATCGATGTAACATCCGCGGCGTCCATCTAATACAAAAGGATATGAATTATGATCTTAAATCTTAGTATCTATGCTTTAACAAAATGTTTTTATCATAATAACCTATAAAATATATAATTAACCGACTTCACAAAAGAGGAGGTTCTATGTTATATGGAAACGTTTGATCCGATAAAATTAACTCTTTTTATTAAATCGGTTATAAATCAAGCATGGTCCTATTGAAATTTAGACAACATCCACTACATTGTTTAGACGACATTCTAGTTGTGGTAAACTTGTGATATTGTAGTCCATTTGGTAAACATATTAAGCTTTTGACAAAACGTAAGAGCCTACTTCTAAAACTCAAAAGTATGATATAATTACTACATAATAGCTTGTGAAGTGTGGGCTTTAATTCTTTGGTAAACAATGTTTTAGCACATATTTCAGAGAGATTAATGTCCAAATACTCGAAGGCTGCTCAATTTGAAGGTAGCGTTAAGTCTCGTGCTGTCTCTGTGACCATGAGACCATGAGACCACGAGACTTAACGACACCTTAAAATCGAGCAGTGTTTGAGTATTGGTCATTAGGTACGTAAATGATTAACTACTGCGCCAAGCATCGGATACTGCTGCGGGCTGTTCGAAAGAGATACCGCGGTTCCGGAACGTAAGGGCACTGAAGGAACACGGATGGTTTTTAGTCAGTAAAAGTCTGACACTCCCTTACGCTCCACCCAGAGCGAAAGGCGTCATTAGATGATTTTCCATCCGCAAAAAAAAGGCATCGGATCCTGACAAAGCTAAGAACCAACGTCTTGATGCAAGTTATGTTAATATGTCCTGCAGTTCGTGAGACCATACATCTTTATGTACCGGACCATTATGTGCGAGGTGCTGGTAGACAAAAACGTTGACTCCTCTCCTGTCCACGTACGTGGCGCTCCCCGTGTGGGGATAACAGTCCCACTTTCAGAGCCGTTAGACTAATAAACTGTTTTCTCAGGGCCAATCCAGACGCAGATATATTTTTTGACAAACCCAGCGCAATGTATAAAAATGTATTAATATTCTACAACTTTGTAAGATAGTAGAATAGTATATGTTTAGGTAAATAAGTTTAATTTATGATATGGTAAATAGATCTTATTATACTGTTGTGGCTGTAATTTATATTATGATTTTTTCTTGTGTATTTTATCTTACTTTGTAAATTTAGTGTAGATATAAGCGATTTGGTTGTATATACTGTAAGCTTATATTTTATCAATAAATGAATATGAATATGACATCAATCGATCAAGTCACTAACAGACGCACCAACGATTTTTTTTATAGGATAGGGTGACAAACGAGCAAACAGTCCACCTGATGGTAAGTGGACGCTGTGGCCTATAGATGTCTACATTTAACCTGAATTAAGATTCAAAATGCAGATGCGTTGTCACCCTTGAGGACTAAGATGGAATGCCTCGATTCCAGTAAAACAGGTCTAGAGTTCTCTACACTCACTATACGAAACAAAGCAGCATTAAGCTACTACTTTACGCTGGTATTCTGTGAGAGCGTGGTCTTACCCCGGACGAGCGATTGGCGCAACTGTTTTCCATTTTGGCGCGGAATTTGAGTTACACATCTGTTATTTAGATTAAATACAGTGCTATTTATAGTTATATCATATTTAGTGTGTATTGCGAATTTCATAATGGAAATTTTGCAATTGCCAATGGAGTTTCGTGTTCGGAGTCACTGAAAATGTTAGAGAAGGCTTAACCGTGAATAGACTTTGTCAAAAACATGTGCTTATTTGTAGTGTGCTTGGTACAAAGCGTTCAAAAGTGATCGAAATGTGATGGAAGATTTGCCTGTGGTAGGCCATCAACGTATGCAGCTGAAGTTAACATCGCATAAGTGACGGAAATAGTGACTGAAAATCCTTATTCAGGTTTGAGAGTGATAGCCGCCGAAATTTCGGTCTCACAAGTCGATCTGAATCATTTTAAATAAGCACTAGAGTATGAAACATGTTGCCGCTCGGCTAGTCCCCAAAGACCTGAATTTTCTCCAAAAACTCAATCGCATAAGAGTCGAGGACATGCTAGAATGAGTCAATTCCGATCAAATATTCATGAAACACATTGTTACTGTGACGAGACATGGGTTTACGAGTTTGACATGCGAACTAGTCAACAAGCTTTGGATTGACGCCTTCCAACTGAACTTAAACCGAAAAAACCACGCCAAAGTCTATCAAAGGTCAAAGGCATGTTGACTGTTCTCTTTGAGTATCGCGAAGTTGTGCACTACATTCTTGTCGGGAGGTCAAACGGTAAATAAAGAATATTATTTGAGCGTTATACGGCTTTAATATATTAGTTACAGTAAACGACTCTGTATTTTGTGACTGTCCTCCTGCTGGTTTTAGTTTTATAGGGCGGCAAAGCTTAAGGAGACTATATTACTCTCACGTACCAAAGTTAAAATTCATGAAGACATTTTAGTTTAACAAACTATCCAACAAAATTTTAACATAATATTTTAACAAAAGGCTTATTGACATTTAATTATTAATTTTAATTCAATATGTTAAGAAGGACGTAGCAACTTCTGCAAATTTCGACCTCATATGCACGCATCTCCCAATTAGAAGACAAACGCTGGTGACCGACAAGTGACGGTATATCATTTCTAATGTAGATATTCCAATTGCTGGTGATGTCATATGGATCTGAGACGTGGTCCTTCACTGCTGGTCACATAAGGAAGCTCAGGGTCGCTTAGCGAGCTCAGAATTTCTCGCGTCTCTGCTTCGTAATAAGGATATCCGCAATAGAATGAGAATAATGGACATAGACCAAAGGATGGTTAGGTACAGTTGCAATAGGCTTGCCATATAGCTCGAAGAATCGACAACTGAGGGAAGTTCTCGAGTGGCAGCCTCTTACCGATAATCAAAGTGGAGAGTGACCTCCTACTAGATAGAGTGACGACCTGATATAATGTGCTGGAGGTCAACAGATGACTTAGATCGATAATGACTTAGTACCGTGCTTTGTGGCATTCTTTCGGGAGGAACAAAAAACACCAATGGTTTGGACACGTTGAGCGAATGAGTGAAGACCGAGAAAATTAAAGGTGTCGAGGTAGACCGAGACTAACTTTCGAAGACCATGTGAGCAAATTGCTCGAAGAGGGGACGGTCAAGAGTACTCGGATACCTAGACGTGCATGTATGAAGAAGTTAATGAACCTGAAAGAAGCGAAAGAGGTATGTAAGGATCGTGACACTTGGCGATCTGTTCTCTCTGGCTACCCCGTTAGGGATTTTGCGTGAAGATAAAAAAAAAAGTTATGTGCTCAGTGCTTACCATGATCGTGGTGAACATAAGCAAATCGTTTAAGGTTTTTGGAAATGATTATATCAGGCTGTACATTAAAAGACTGATAAACGACAAGAGAAAAAGGTTATGCTAAGATCTGGAATGATGGCCTCATCCGACAATCACAGTAGCAAGGATTGTCGGCGGAGGATATAATTTGTGCTGAATAACTTTCATTATATTTAAATAATTGAAAGTATAATGTGACCTTTCGTAAGTAAGTTTATAGAGCGAAAAGTGAAAACACTACTTATTTACCGCGCGAGCGTCCGGTGTACGCGTGGCCGACTAATATCCGATTCGTCCGCGCTCACTGCGCGTCGTACTTCACGACTCCATCTGTAATATCAGAAAGATATAATATACAACGTGAACATTTAATTCTATATAGCATAGCAGACACAATTCTTTAAAGTGCAAGTCATGTAATTACCAAATCAATAGGCTAAAGAATAATGTTGTAAATTGATGAAACTTAGATTAAAATTAGGTAATAGGTCTTTACCTATGAAATTGTCGTTCTGCAGTACTGGCCATTTCAAATCAAAATATTTATTTTTGTTTGACTAATTATATATTAGTAATAATATATTAGTATACTTAATAATAATTATTATTATATTAGTTTTGTTGAATAATTATTTTTATTTGAGATTAATTTCATTTTAAAAACGTGGATTTTTTAAATTAGTCCTTTGTTTATTGATTAGCGTTATGTTTTCATCGCATTTAAATTTTTTTGTTGTTTCATGGATACGTTAAAAATTCGAGTAAAAATGGAATATCTGTACCTGAGAAGCATAACACTATAACTCCATTTTCGACGAAATTGAGGTTTTTACACAATTCTATGTTATTTACTCCGCTCTTTACAGGCATAAAACAGTAACCGGGCAAAGCCAAGTACTTTTTAATATTTTAAATTTTATTATACTGTATATCTCAAACTATCTTTAAAGCGTAACAGGGTAAAAGACCATACACTAAAAATAGTCTTCACAATCACGTGTATTTTACTGTAAGTGCGGAGTTACATTATTCTGCCGCTAACTGCATCGATGCCGCGAAGCTAGGCGCGGTTTGCCTATAAATAGATCGCGTGAGATACAGTTTTCAGTGGAGGATGAGGTCCGCCGCCGGAACTCACCCCCTACGGCCTCCGAACCTATCTCTGTGTCCAATGATGAGATTTCATCCCTCATCAAAGGACTTAAGCCGAAAAAGGCTCCGGGCGCGGATGGCATCTCCAACCAAGCCCTAAAACACTTTCCTGAGCAGTTGTTAACCTTTTTATCTATTATCTTCAACGCCTGCTTCAACCTTAGCTACTTTCCCACTACGTGGAAAGAGGCAACTGTGATTGGAATTCCCAAGCCAGGCAAGCCTCTTAACCTCCCCTCCAGTCATCGCCCCATTAGCCTTCTCAAGGCAATGGGCAAGCTCTTCGAAAGAGTCATCCAATCACGTATGAGGCGCTATCTGTTTCCCACAGACGGTGACCCTCTCATCATTCCCCATCAATTCGGGTTTCGAGCCCAACACTCATGTCCCCCACAAATTCACCGCATTGTGGAATATATCCTCAGCGGTTCTATCCTCGTCGTCATAAGACCATCGCGGTCTTTTTCGACATAGCCAAAGCTTTCGATAGGGTCTGGCATACAGGCCTTATCTACAAACTATACAAAATAGGTCTCCCCGATCGCCTAGTACGTCTCGTGGCCTCTTACCTAGAGTATCGTACCTTTCGTTTTAGACACGAAGGCACGCTATCCTCACAACGAACTATCAAGGCTGGTGTCCCACAGGGCTCAGTACTTGCTCCTCTGCTGTACATCCTGTTCACCAACGACATTCCCATCCCGTCGAAAGGTGTTCAGCTCTCCCTCTTCGCAGACGACACTGCTATCTACTGCAAAGGTGTCTCACTGCCCTTCATACGGAACAAGATCCAAAAGTCAGTTGATGACCTAGGAGCTTGGTTCAAAAAATAATAGGCGCATCGATGTGAACCCGGAGAAGAGCTCCGCCGTTCACTTCGACTATAAACGACGCCGTCTCGTATACGTATGCTAGGGACCCCTGTCCCCTGGCATACGACCGCTAAATATTTAGGTGTCACTCTGGACACAGGGCTCACTTTCAGGCCCCACGTCAAAAGAGTAACCCGTCACGCACGGTTTTATCTGAGTAGGCTCAACAGTATGTTGGGCCGACACAGTAAAATGTCCCTCCGAAACAAGCGTACCCTTTATAAGGTCTGTATACGACCAGTCATGTCCTACGCGGGCCCCGTCTTTGCCCACGCAAACCCTAATATTATTAATGAACTCCAAATAGTTCAAAACCTGTTCTGTCGTCGAGCTGCGAACGCACCTTAGTACGTCCGTAATGCCGACCTTCATCGGGACCTAGAACTCCCAACAATACAACAATTTCTTAAAAAACTCTCTGAGAACTTCTTCAAAGCCTCAGAGTCGCACCCAAACCAATTAATTCGTGAGGCAGCTTCTTATGCAGCCCCACCCCCCCTCTCGCTATCGAGTCCGCAGGCCGAGAAACTCTCTCTCGGACCCGCCTAATAAACTGACAAACGACCTGAACTGCCTCCTGGCGGCTCAGGCCAACTCTAATTAAATTAAATTATTGTATTAACTAATATTGATTTGCCTTCGTAGGCACTCCCTCAGCGGCTCTTAGCCGCCTGCGCCCTCTTTTTCCCAAAAGAGGGTCGCTCACGATAAGGCACAATACAGCTTAATCAGCCGGCTGCCTGTCCCCAAAGGCGGTTTTTAGAGGGTATCACTTAGGGTCCCCGGTAGGACAGTGAGTCCCTCATAACCACGATAGACCGGCTATCGTGGTATGCGTAATGCATTTTCCGCCTCCCTACGTATAGGGTAGCCCTTTAATTGCTTCGGGCGCAAAAAAAAATACAGTGTTTCGACACAGTAAAATGTCCATCAGAAAAAAGCGTACCCTTTATAAGGTCTGTATACGACCAGTCATGTGCTACGCGGGTCCCATTTTTGCTCACGCCGACCCTAAAATTATTAATGAACTCCAAATAATTCAAAACCTTTTCTGTCGTCGAGCTGCGAACGCACCTTGGTACGTCCGTAATGCCGACCTTCATCGGGACCTAGAGCTCCCTACAATTCAACAATTTCTTGAAAAACTCTCTGAGAACTTCTTCAAAGCCTCAGAGTCGCACTCCAATCATCTTATTCGTGAGGCAGCTACTTATGCAGCCCCACCCCCCTCTCGCTATCGAGACCGCAGGCCGAGAAACTCTCTTTTTTTTTGCGCCCGAAGCAATTAAAGGGCTACCCTATACGTAGGGAGGCGGAAAATGCATTACGCATACCACGATAGCCGGTCTATCGTGGTTATGAGGGGCTCACTGTCCTACCGGGGACCCTAAGTGATACCCTCTAAAAACCGCCTTTGGGGACAGGCAACCGGCTGATTAAGCTCTATTGTGCCTTATCATGAGCGACCCTCTTTTGGGAAAAGAGGGCGCAGGCGGCTAAGTGCCGCTGAGGGAGTGCCTACGAAGCCAAATTAATGTTAGATATTACAATAATTTTATTTAATTAGAGTTGGCCTGAGCCGCCAGGAGACAGTTCAGGTCGTTTGAAAGTTTATTAGGCGGGTCCGAGAGAGAGTTTCTCGGCCTGCGGACACGATAGCGAGAGGGGGGTGGGGCTGCATAAGAAGCTGCCTCACGAATTAAATGGTTTGGGTGCGACTCTGAGGCTTTGAAGAAGTTCTCAGAGAGTTTTTTAAAAAATTGTTGAATTGTTGGGAGCTCTAAGTCCCGATGAAGGTCGGCATTACGGACGTACCACGGTGCGTTCGCAGCTCGACGACAGTAAGAGGTTCTGAACTATTTGGAGTTCATTTAAAATGTTAGGGTTTGCGTGGGCAAAGACGGGGTCCGCGTAGGACTCGAGAAACTCTCACTCGGACCCGCCTAATAAACTGTCAAACGACCTGAACTGCCTCCTGGCGGTTCAGGCAAACTATAATTAAATTAAATTATTCATAATTAATTTGTCTTCGTAGGCACTCCCTCAGCAGCTCGTAGCCGCCTGCGCCCTCTTTTCCCAAAAGAGGGTCGCTTCCGATACGGCATAAGAAGCTTAAACAGCCAGTTGCCAGTCTCCATAGGCAGTTTTTAGAGGGTATCACTTAGGTTCCCCCCGGTAGGCAGTGAGTCCCTCATAACCACGATAGACCGGCTATCGTGGTATGCGTAATGCATTTTCCGCCTCCCTACATAAAGGGTAGCCCTTTCCGATTGCTTCGGGCACAAAAAAATTACAGTGTTTCGCTTGCCGCTCCGCTTTCGTGCGGTCGTGCCAAGCAGTCAGCGCTCCCGTCCCCGCACGGAAGCGCCCCTCTCACCCGCGCGCCTCCGCTCTCCCGTTCGTAACGGTTGGGCTGTCGCCGTTGGTGAGTCATCTTTCTTAGCACCGTTCTTGCCCCCTAGCTCCAGCGGGAAGGTCTGAGCGTTTGTCTTGCTTTGCATTGTTATTTTATTGTTATTGTTTCTTGTTATTTTTATTGTTATTGTTTCTTGTTATTTTTATTGTTTATGTTTCATGTAACTATTTTGTTAATATTGTGTTACTGTTTCTTGGAATAGGCGTCACTTGCTCTTTTCAGAGCAAGCCCTTTGTCCTTGCCTCAGGACAAAGGGACCCCAGTTTCTTAGAATACAGCGTTAACCTCCCAGTCCACCCAACATGTCTACCATAGACATAAGCCAAATTGTAAACCAAATTATGGCCATCGTCCGTCAATTTGGCCAAGATCAAGGAGTGGCCGTTAATATCGACGAAACCGCTCTCCTCAGGGCTCTTGTCCCCATTGCCCCTCAGGCATGTAACCCTCCGCCCGCCGTCGCGGCATCCTTAGCGGAAAATGACTCCGAAGCCATGGAGCACTCGGAGACCGTGCCTGAAACTTTTTCCACCCGTAAGAGGTCCGCTCCTACGTCAATCTCATCAGAGTTCGATCAATCAGTTATTGATACGACCCCCTTCACGGAAGTGAAATCCATGCGCGGTTCGAAACGCGCTGCGACTACTCGCGCACTTCCCGCCCCCGTAGACCCCGCGCCAGCTCGCTTCACCGCAGCCCCCGCGGCTGCTCGCTTCACCGCAGCCACCACGCCTGCTCGCTCCACCGCATCCCCCGTCGCTGCCACAAAGAAACAGGTCCCGCCCCCTGTCTTCCTCAGAGACAAGGCGCAATTTACTTGACTTTCTAAAGTCTGTTACGACGCAGGCTTTAAATATGACCAAGCCACCGACCTTGGTGAGTCAATTAAAATCGTTCCGCAGTCTACGGAAGACTTTAGAAACATCACCAAACTCTTCACATCCGAAGGTGTGCCCTATCACATCTACTCTCTCACTGAAGAACGTAAAGTCAGGGCTGTCCTCCGCGGAGTTCCCTTTGAACTCGCCAACGAGGAAATCCTGGAGGACCTTAAGTCCCAGGGATTCCCAGTTGAGGCTGTGCACAAGATGCACAGCAGTAGGGGCAAGAGGTACTCGCTTGCCCTCCTCATTTTGTCCAACGAGCCGGAGTCAAAAGGCATATTCCGACAGGTACACAGTGTGTGCGGCCTGTCAAGAGTCAAAGGCGAAGCCCCCTATAGGCGCGATTTTCCGGCGCAGTGCCACTGCTGCCAACTCTACGGGCATGCGGCGACCAACTGCTCAGCCCCTCCCAGGTGCGTTAAGTGCTTAGACCCGCACAGCTCGAAAGAGTGTCCTCGGCCCCGTGATACCGAGTACCCACCCGCTTGCGTCCTTTGCGGACAGACTGGCCATACGGCCAACTTCAGAGGCTGCCCTCGCGCACCTCGCCCCAATCTCGGCAACAAAGCTGCCAAAAAAGCCCCGCCACCGGTCAATGACCGTACATACCCGGCTCTCCCATCCAAAATGCCCCTTCAGGGCAACTCTCAGTCACCTCAGGACCTATATCGACACCCTACAGGCCTCCTCACCTTCGCCCACTAGGGCCCCGACATAAGGCGGAACCCTCTTACGCCGATAACGTAGATACAGTATACACTGCTATCCGCAATATCGACGTAAGAGAGATCGCAATTTTAGCACGCAAACTGCGCGCTTCTCAGTCCCCTCAGGACCGTCTGCTCGCGCTTACCGAGCACCAACACCTTCTAAACTCAATATAATTAGTCGTCCCATTCGTAAGCTGCCTTAATTAGGCAGCAATTCTTCCCAGCGGCTACTCGCCGCTAGCGCCCCCTTTCACCCAAGGAGGGTCGCGTTCGATACGGCTTAAAGATGTCTAGCTAGATTGTTAAGCCAGTCCCTAAAGGCGATGTTTAGTGGGTAAAAGTCTCCACATAACCACGCAGCCGGCTGCGTGGTATGCTATGAGCATTCACCGCCTCCCTCCCCCCGCTTTCCAGAGGGTAGCCCATATTGTTTTGGGCGCAAAAAAAAATACAGTGTTTCATTTCGCTTCTCGCGTTCGTCTTATGCACACGTATGCCAATTTTTATGTAGCGCTTACAACAAAACCTCGAAAATTTGCAGTAATCGAACGAGAAAAATATTACAGCTTCTGCAGCCGATTCCAGATGGCAAGTTTAGATAGTTCAGAAGTAATGTATATATATATATATATATATATATATATATATATATATATATATATATATATATATATATATATATATAACTATACATTTGTATTTCTAATTTGTTTATTATTTGTTTACGCTGCAGGTCGCGGGTTCGAGTCCCGCACGCGGATGAAGTTCTTCTTATAGAATTTATTTAAAAATTTATCAGTAATATTCTAACCTGTTGATTGATGTTAAAATAAAAAAAGTCATAACTCCTAACTGCTTTCAATTGGTAAATTGGAAGAAGTTGGATGCTACGACTATTTTCAGTAGATTTTGTGAGGAAAGCGAACAGATAAACCTTTATTATTTGGTAGTGACGAATTTTCAAACTTAGTAACTATCTAGTAATACTTATATAATAACTTAACGAAGTCAAATCTTTATATTTTTTTAGAAACAGTAATTAGAGAAGAGCGCTGTTCGTCACCTTTAACAAAGGAACAGCTGCAATTTTTTGAAAACCATGCAAATGAAGAATACTTCCAATATTGCTTGAGAGAATTATCACGAGAGTCGCCAGTAAGCATATTAAGCCGAGAAGATAGTCCTTCTATTTTGCACTACCGAGAACGTAGCCATTCTCTTTTGAATTCACAAGAAAATGATCCGTACGAGACAGATGCAGACTCAAGTACCAACTGGTCACCCTCCCTGCGCGTCCGAAAAAATCCTCGATTGACTGTTATAAGTTCAACATGAGATTCGTCTGAATCTAATGTCGATGAAAACGTAAACAACAAGAGAAAATCAAAAAAAACGTTTACGTGATCAAAAAAACTGGAAACGTGAAGTAGCGAAAACAAAAAAGATTAGCGGGAGAAAGGTATGTTAGCGCAGTGTCAATAACAAAAAAAAAATAATCGAGAAGAGTAAAATGAAGGAAGCTTGCCCGAATACTTGTAAACTAAAATGCTTTGAAAAAAAATTCATATGATAAAAGGGAAAAAACACTTTGAGTCATTTAGGAAAACCACCACAAATTGGGAACAAAGAAGACAGTTCGTAGCTTCGTCTATTGACTTAGTATCCGTGATGCGACCTCGTAGCCGCCAGAATAATGATGTTAGCCGACGCAAGGAAACAAGAATTTATAATATGTTTATTAATAATGTACGTACCCGGGTTTGCCAAAAATTTTTTCTGAACACGTTTTGCCTTACAGAACAATTCATATCAACCACGCTGTCAAAGATTTCGGAAGCTACAAGTTTAGTGCAGCCTGATCAACGAGGAAAGCATATTCCAGGAAACAAAACACCCGATTCTGTTACTGCAGGGATTAAAAACCATATTTGTATGTTTCCACGTTACATATGTCATTACTCGAGAGAAAAAACAACTCGCGAATATCTTGGACCAGATTTAAATTTAACGAAAATGTACGAACTATACGTAAAAAAACGTAAAGAAGATGGTGTACCAGAAAATATGATATCGAAGCAGTGGTTATACAGAAAAATGTTCAACGAGCATTTCAATTTGTCCATTTACTTACCTAGCAATGATACTTACGACCCTTGTGATAAGTTCATATCATTATTAAAGCACGAAACTAACCCCGAAGAAAGAGAAAAAATAGAGAAGCAAAGAAAAGAACATATTGAAGACGCTGATAAGAGGTATGATTTAAAACGATAAGACAAATAAATCGCTAAAGAATCGGAAGGAAAAAAAGTAACTCTTATGGTGGACATGCAAAAATGTTTAGCAACGCCCTTGTTAACAAATAGTCAGTCTTTCTATTCAAGAAAACTGTGGACATTCAATGAAACAATCCATAATGACACTGATAATAAATCTTACTGCATGATGTGGGATGAAACACAAGTAGGAAGAGGCGCCAATGAAGTCGGATCGTGCATTATAGAATGGGTTCTTAATTACAAGCGAGAAAACACAGAAGAAATAACAATATGGTCTGATAACTGTTCGGGGCAAAACCGTAACGTTATTTTGTTGTATTGTTACTTTTGGTTATTGCAAAACACGGAACTTGTCACAATCAACCACAAATTTTTACTTCGTGGTCACACACATTCAGAGGCTGATGTTGTTCATTCAGTTATTGAGAGAAAGAAAAAAGAACTATCTAGTTTTGATGTAGTAGTACCACGTGATTGGAAGCAGTTTGTTAAAATCTGTAAAACTATTCGACCTGATAAATGAACTCCGTGGTCATCTGAAAACTTTGGTCGATAATGACTAATTAAAGGCGATTGTGGAAGCCGATGATAAAAAAATCTTCGGCTGAATTAACAGCAGCTTTCGACGTTAGCATTGAAACAATATTGGTAAATTTGCGTGAAATTGGCAAGGTAAAAAATGTTGACAAATGGGTGCCCTACGAACTCAATGGCCGCCAGCGCGAAGTACGCGCATCGACGTGCCTTGCACTGCTCAACAGGCACACAAACGATGGAATTTTGAACTGCATTGTAACCTGCGACGAAAAATAAATTCATTTTGACAATCGCAAGTGCTCGTCAAGTTGGGTGAGTCCTAGTTCAGCACCTAAACAATGCTCTAAACGAAAACATGACCCTAGTGTGATTGATGACCCTAAAGTGATTTTCAATGTTTGTTTGTCTAGCGCCGGTGTGATTAGATGGAGAAGCTCGCACGTCTCCAATCAGCTTTGGCCAATCGCTCGTCGCCGCTGCCAAATTACAATAGCTAGGGTTGGAGACTCTCCGTCATCCGCTGTACTCGTCAGACCTTGCGTCTACAGACTTCTACTTGTTCCAGTATTTGGATAACTTTTTTGGCGGGGAAAAATTCAATACCGAGAGGCAGTATAAAATGCCTTTGAAGAATTTGTTGCCTACCGTCCACTGATTTCTTTAAGAACGGCATCAATGAAAAGCCACTGCTAACTGGTAAAGATGCATCGACTAGATAGGTGATTACGTTGATTGTTAAAATAAAAAATATAGAAAATTACGTCATTTCATAAAAAACGGCAACCTCATAGGTAAAGACCTAATATTATTAACTATGGTATTATTTTGTCGTTTTCGATCACTGTAACATTCGCTGTTACAGTGATCGAAAGAAAGCTATAAACTACGAAGGACATGTCATATTGGTATAAGGCTACTTATGCACAGAGGCGTTCTCACCTGATAGTATATCATGTGGTTGGGTTCAATTATTTTGTACAATTCTTGTCAGTGGGTCACAGCATCCACTTACCATCAGTTGGAATGTTTGCGTGTTTGTCGCCCTCTCTTTTATAAAAACATGGACCTGGAGCAATCGTTTGCAGCTCGTAAATATGTATATAATGTTTGTTCCATGCGGGAATCAAACACGCAGCCCGCAGCACCGCTTTGCAAGTGCGCTATGAAGCCTTCAATGTGAATTATCGTTTTATCTTATATCTCTTTAATTATTGTTTTATCTTATTTGATTTTATATATTATACAAGGTGTTAAAATAGAGTAACAATCCCTTACCCTTGCTACCTATCCCATCCCTTGTTTTTTAATTCTTAAGGTAACAATGCTTTGTTGGTAAATTGTTACCGTATTTAACAAAAGTAAAATCTACATACTTGAAGCGGTGGACAGAGGGCGGGGGTGAAGAAAGTTGTCTGGAAAGGGCTGTCCGCGGACGTGTGGAAGTTCGACGCCAGCTACCGCCCGCGCGCGTCGGTATCTCGGCCAGGAAATGCGCGCCTGTTGCCTCGCTGATGGCCACCTGATCCATTAAAATTCTCGTTATATTACTAAGTATTTAATAAAGCGCCATTGACTTTATTAATATTATTAATCACAGAATTTCGCAAAATTCTATCGGATAGTAAATAGCGACTTAGAGCGTTTAGCTCCAGAATTAACACGGCCTCAGTTGCTGCAATTTTAAGTGCTAGGCTTGTATTAAAATATCGCTAGGAAATCTACATGTATGTTAATTAAAAAAAATATTACAACGACATGTGAAGTCTGCTAACACACTAGGATAGCGAGGCGGTCAACTCGTTGCCCTTAATCCCCCATCAGAAATAAGAGGAAGACTGTGCCCAGCAGTGGGACCTATAAAGCTGAACTTTATTTTAACAGGATGGCCATAAATATTTGTCCTTTTGAAAATGCCTTGAAAACAAAACTACAAATTGTATTAAAAAATAAAATTCAAATAAAACCGATATAACTTTTATAAATTTGTTTTCCTATTAATCTATTTTGATGACCGCCATCACTTCGTCGACATTCATGAAATGATGTAGTACCAAGATTTTCAAAAGCTGACATATAGCGGGTCAATTTGTCAATAAATATTCGCTATCTCTTGACAAATATTCACAAGTATTTTCGTAAAGTTGCGTTATCTCAGATTTACTTGAGGAAAATCGACTTTTGAGATATCCCTACAAAAATTAGAAGTCTAGGTCGTGAGAGGACTATAAGATCTGCATAAAATCAGTCTGTTTGAAAATATTTCCATAATCACAGGTATGATATTACATTGGACGTATAGCAGGTTGCCCCATCTGGCTACATCCAAGTCATGTTATAATATACATAAATTACTGGAACTGTGGTTAAAAAAATCTCGAAGTTAACGAAATTAACATGATGCCCTTTGATGACATAGCCACTATTTCTTTAGGAGAATGCAAAGGGATGTTTTAATTTCGGATTTTCCTTTCTCTTTTCTTACAACAAGAAACGAAATGAACGAAGTGAAACGATGGAGTATTATGTCGTGAATGTTTTTTCTTAAAATCAAATAATTCGGTTCAAAACTGTACCTTTTAAGAATACAGCTATAAATCTAATCTAATTGTCCAGCGCAAAGATGATCGAGGCATCGCCAAAGCATCGAAACCCTTGCGCGTTAACGTCTTCAGATCGTCTCGTACACAGATGCGTTAACTTGCGCAACGTTCTCTTCGCTCCTCCTACTCCATGACTGTCTTGTTTGTTTACCGTTGATAGGCATACCGGTTTTCCAAAACTTCAAAAGCTATAATTTTATCAAAACGCTTGAACTCTGGTTTAGATTGTGTAATCCGTAATGCAAATGAAATTGGTGGCGGTCGGTCAGGCAGGGCTGCTAGGAACCATGATTATTATTTTTTAAACAAAACACGCTTGTTTGCCCTTTACAACACTCCACAGCCTCTCACTCACAGAATAATAATTTACTTTTACCGAGAGTTCCCTAGGCAAGTCTTGGAAACTTGTTGGAGACTTGTCTAGGAAACTTCCCTCGTTCAAATTCCCTGTTAGAGATGATTTAAAAGTGAAAATTCCTATAGGTGCCCTTATATTATAAAGAATAAATTTATAAAACATTAAAAAATAAAAACAACCTTAAGCTTTGCCGCCCTATAAAACCAAAACTAGGAGGAAGACAGAGACATAAACACAAAGTCGTATACTATAACTATATTAAGAAAAGAATAGCAATCGAGCTTTGGCAATAATTAGGAACACTTCGAAAACTCTGTCAAATGACAAAATGGCGTCTATAAAGCATCGCCCTTTTGACCCTTTATTATTTAATTGACCGATGAAGAGCTATCGTATCACAAAGTCAACAAACAAGGCTGTAGTTTTTGAGTTATAAGAAAGTTGCCATATTAACCGAATGATCATACTAACCGAATGACCATATTAACCGAATGACCATATTAACCGAATGAACATATTAACCGAATGAACATATTAACCGAATGACCATATTAACCGAATGACCACATTAACCGAATGACCATATTACTCTCACGTACTATATTATTAGTTTTTGAGACAAGTATAGCAATTGCTCTTGTATCTCGAACAAGTGATGCAAGCCTACGTTATAATTGCCACATATTAAAAAAGTACAGCCTATATACGCCCCACTGCTGGGCACAGGCCTCCCCTCATTTCTGAGAGGGTTTTAGGGCAAGGAAGTGTCCGCCGCGCTGCCCTAATGCGTGTTGGCGAACTTCACATGTCTTCGAAATATTGCAGGTTTCCTCACGATGTTTTCCTTCACCGTCCAGCACGTGGTAAATCAACATTTTAAATTGCAATTAACAATTTCATTGGTGCCGGCGGATTGGATACTTATTTAATATGACGGATCGATCTCACCATATACCGAAGGAAACATGATTAATTCTTTCCGATATCTAAAAGAGATGTGTGATACGGGATACATGATTTTCTCGTATGGTAACGGCCTATTCATCACCACATTTATTCTATGGGTGTCGTAATCATCAAAAGGTTGGTTAATAGTTTGAATTTAACCGGTACGGTACCGTTTTTGCTTATTTCAAAAATATACAAATAGATTTTAAATTAACTATAAGAAATAGAGATCGTTTATATGTATAAAAATTAAATATAAATAAAGCATTGACAGCTTATTAAATGTATTTAAAATTTAATTTGAATTGAGTGTCAACTATAATTCATATTCACACTGTTAGACTTGGTAATATGTTATGTTTGACCAGTGCAATATAACGTTCTGCGCAAATGATAAATACAGTCAGTATGCTAACGTTAAACCGGTCTTCATCAACCCATAGACAGTCGACTACTGGACATGGCTGTTTTTCATATTGTGGTAAATTTTCATAATCATTTTTTGATAGGGTAGGGGTGATAAGCGGGCACACAGTCCACCTGATGGTAAGTGGTTGCTGTGGCCCATAGATAGTGTTGCCCAAAATCGGTCTTGGTGTTGCAGTCTTGGTCTTGTTCTTGCATTTTTGCAAGACCAAGAACAAGACCGCCTAATTTTAGCAAGACCAAGACCAAGACTGACCGTGCAAGATTTGAGCAAGAACAAGACTAAGCCTGCGAGACTCTTGCGTCTTGCAGTTAGGAATGAGTGTCGTTTCTGGGAGTATAGGAGTTCGGGTATACGCTTAGGGACTCTATGAGACGCAAAAAATATATTAAAAAATTTGGAAAATTGACTTATACGCATTACGAACAACACCATAAACATACACAGCGGATGAAAATATCCATTAAAAGAAAAAACAGTGCATCCCTAGTTTTGACCATCGGCACTTTGATAGTGCGCGGCGTCTTGTTGTCGGCATCATCAAAGGACGAATACTGACCTGTCAAAGAAATTTTGCAGCTATTCGGAAGTACAAGGTCAAGATACACACTGCCGGCGGCTTCTATTGATATAGCATTCAATCGTCGCCGCCGCGCCTGCACGCACTACATTTCACACTGTTTGAATGCCGCCACAGAGTATATGTTCCAAAGAATAAAATAAGTTTCCGGGTGCTGATGGACACGAATACATTATGCTGATTCTCGCAAGGAATATTGTAATTAGATAATGGTAAGGATAGGTAGATACCATAATAATTTATTCTAGTAAGTAATTATTATAATATTAACTATATGGGTTTATAATAATTACTTACTATTATTATTATTACCTAAAAGATAAACATGTGCAATAAGTTCACTGCAAATCTCGATTTTCGTAAGTGTGTGTTTTGAGCACTAAAATATATATATATATATATATATATATATATATATTATTTATTCAATATATACACAAATAATAGTATTTATTTTAATTCCAGTCGTTCCCAATTGAGCTTTGCTTCGAGTCTAATGTATTAATTGTTTTTACTCTAATCCTTGTTGTTCTCGGAGTGATAAGTTTACAATTTGACATGTGTGACGAAGAGTCGAATATTTCTAGTCAGAGTAGTGAGAGTTGGAGTTATAGATCTAAAAGACCTAAAAGTACATTTGATGAGTTTTTCGACATAATTCATGCATCCCAAATTGCTTTGTGTAAATTATGCCAACATAAAAAGGTTGAAATAAAAATGAAAAAACAGAAACACTTCAGGCTTAAGGAAGCATCTAAAATCTTTCCACAAAAAGGAATCACAAATATTTCTTCCTGAAAAACCAAAATTAAGTGGAAATATCACATGCTTTTTAATAACCATCGGAAAAAGTGGACAGGTAAGAAAAAATATACTTATCACACAATTACATAACACATATATTATGTAACTAGCGGCCGCCTGCGACTTCGTCCGCGTACAATATCTGATTTCCTATGAGATTTTGAAATTTTCTCGCTGCAAATGTCTTACCTAAGTATAAAGAGGCTATATAGGTAAAGCTTAACTATGCAAGTATTTATTATTTAAAACTAATAAAGTAAATGTCGATCTTCATATCTATACTTTAAAAATATGGGACTTGCATGTAACCATTTACCCCAATTTCCCCCCCCTTAGGGTTAGGATTTAGTAAAACAGCTTATTCGGGATTTTATTATTGAAAACTTATAACTTTAATGCCGATTTTCGTGCCTCTTACTTCAAAAACGTAGGACTTTCAAACAAACTTCCAACTCCCATTTCACTCCCTTAGGGATAGATTTTCTTAAAACCGTTTCTTAACTGATCTCTATGCCATAAAAGTAACCTACCTTACAAACTTCAAGTTTGTAAGTTTTATAGTTCCTGAGATATCGTCATTATATATATATATATATATATATATATATATATATATATATATATATATATATATATATATATATATATATATATATATATAGATTTAGATATAGATAATAGTGTTAAATATGTATTTATACACTCATATTTTCATTTGTTTTTATAATCGGCGAGACACATGATTTACTGTTTTATGTCACTCTGAAAATAGCAGTGACAACATCATGACAGCTACAGTTGATTGGATAAACAATATCTTCTCTTCTCATTTTTCGATGACGAAGCTACACAAGTATATTTTCGATCAATTTGCCCAAATATGGTGTTTCCTAAAAGGTCCACACTTAGAAGAAAGGTCAAAGAACACGTCGTCACGTCGTCGTCACGTATCACGGTCGACAACGCAACTGCGAATACCAAATTTATGTATGAATTGGACAAACAGCTGCCACACTTTGATTCAGACAATCAACATTTCCGGTGCTTTGCTCACATTTTGAACCTTGGTGTACAAGATTTATTAAAGACCTTAGCATTACACAGTCAAACTGACAATAAGGGACAAGAACAGCAGTATGAAGATAATGAAGATGAAACTGTGGAAGATGAAGAATATGCGCCAAATTGCTGACTCACGTACAGCTATAACAAAATTACGCAGTATTTCCAGTAAAATAAAAAAGAAGTGAGATATTGAAGAGAAAGTTTCAGTCTGCTTGTGAAGCAGCTGGCGTGCCATCAAATCTGAACCCCATACTCGACTGTCCAACGAGATGTAATTCCACACATGATATGATTGGATTTGGTTTAAAAATGAGAACTGGCATTAACATATTGTGCACTTCTGTCACCGAATTGAATGTTTTTAAAATCACAGATAGTGAATGGCAAATACTCGAAAAAAATACATAAGTTTCTAATAAACTTTAAACTTCTATCAACGAAACTTGGTGGAGAAAAATATGTTACATTACCGCTAGTCATTGTATCATTCAATCTCTTGCTCGATAAAATTGAATCCATGGTAAAACAATTAGATGAGAAACCTAATCGATCCGAAGTGGATGAAAGGCTCATTCTGGGTTTTCAAGCAGCTCGAGACAAAATGCTTAAACATTATAAAAAGAGCAACTGGATTTATTGTACCTCTTTAATTTTAGACCCAATGCATAAGACTCAGACTTTCGACATGACATTATGGGGTAAGCAAATTAAAACAGAAAGCCTGCGCAAATTTAATGAACTTTATAAAGAATATAAAAGTCTACACTCAGTGAATACATCTCTAGAATCACCAAGAAATGAAAAGAAAGTATGTGAATATGAAGACGTAATAGACTTTGAGAAATTGTATGCATGTCCCTCGACGTCATCTGGATCTGGATCTTTTCATCAAGGCTTAGTTATAGACGAGTTGTAGGAGTACCTAAGTAAAACCAGAGCCGCCAGTTCGGAAGACATTTTAGAGTGGTGGAGGACGCATGAGACAGAATATCCGACTTTATCGAAGATGGCCCGTGATTTTCTTTCAATACCTGCAACTTCAGTACCTGCTGAGAGATTATTTTCTAAAGCATCATTAGTAATTAGAAAACATAGAAATAGGTTAAGTGATGAGTCAGCCAGATGGTTACTTTGTATTAATTCTTGGTCAAAAGAATTAATATAAAGTAACAGTAATGTCAAAGCTGTTGTGTACTGTTATGTAATTTAATTTGTAGTGTATTTTATTTTTTTATTTAAATAAACGGTAAATTGTATAACTCTTTTATTCTTTTAATATAAGGGTTAATTTTAATTATTTAATATAAGGGTCTATCAATCTCTTTCTAGACAGATAATGTTCTTTATAATACAGTCAAGTTAATGTCATTAATTTATTTTTTATATGTTTTGACTAAGTTTTAGCACATGTAAGCTTATTAAATGTAAACGTTTATTAAGAAACGGACTAACTTCCGTGGCCGTGAGACTTGGTAGACAGCTCAGTTGGTTCGCACGGATCGCTTAGGTCGTGGGTTCAAACCCCACCCGGTATTAGTTGATTTTTCGAATTTCTCATAAAATGTTTAGACATTTATTAATTTGGTTGGTCTTTCTATGGCTATGTTAATTCAAGCTCAAAATGTGCCTACTCTGTTAAGTTGTTCTAAGATCTAAAGTAACGTTTAATAAATAACAATAGGCTAATAGGTAATTGCGAGACTTGCGAGACTCTTGCTGCAAGACCAAGACAAAGAACAAGACCAGGTGTATTGGCGCAAGACCAAGACCAAGACTAGCTAAGTCTCGTCTTGTTCTTGCATTTGGGCAACACTACCCATAGACATTTACATCTGTCCACGTTTGCGAATCAAAATGCAGATGCATTGTCACCCGTGAGGATGAAGATGGAATCCCTCTTTTCCAGTAAAAAGGTTCTCCGGTCTCTGCACTCACCATACGAAACATAGCAGCATTAAGCCGCTATTTTACGCCTGTATTCTGTGAGAGCGTTGTCTTTCCCCGGTCTAGCCGACCCATTCGTGCTACAATTATATTAATGCTGCAGCATGGCTCTACCACGTATAACTACATCTTCATGCACGGCAGAGGAATTGATCGCAGAGCAAATATATACTTATATATATACTTTGCCCCTAATTCTTGTTGTTGGTATGATGGTAGATATTTTAGATCTGTAAAATCGTTAGATGGTTTTAGTGCCACCTATTGGGTCACACAAAATCTTTCAGGTATTTGCTAAGGCCGTCTTTTACAAGACTTACGGGTGTAATGTAAAATGTAATGTAAAATGGGGTAATGGATTTATTAAATCGATTCTACGCTTTTTGCTAAAAAAAATCAAGGTGCCCGACTAGCCTTGATTAACCTTGTTCTCATTTAGCAAGTCTGGTGTAAGTTAAACCAAGTTCAGAAAACATGTACATACAGTTAATTTTTAAATATTTGCAATAAATTGATAACTTCGAACGATTGTTTTCCAATTCTTTGGAAACGCTTTACTTATCAAATATTTAAAGTATGTATGAAAAAAACTACCAAAAAGGTACGCAAAATTACCTTTTTTTGAGTATAAGGGTAACAAAGAGGGCACAATTCGCCTGAAGGTAAATGGTGTGGCCCATAGGCTTCAACCAAAGTACCTACTTAGACAGAATTTCTAACTACCAATAAAAAGGGTTTCTATCTTTTTTACGCACCATATCCATACGAAACACGGCAGTATTAAACTGGCATTTTACACTGGTATACGCTATTGTATGAAATGGTGGCCCTTCCCCGATTGAGACGATCTATTCGTTCATTCGTTCCGCAACCAAATAAAGCAGTGAACTCCATTACGTCGAAAAACTTTTAATCATACGCTTGAAAAGACATGCAGTTTCGTGTTGCCGTTCTGGATTTTTGATATCTAGTATAACAGCCTTGTTATATAGAACTTAAACCATAAGCTCTGTGTAAGATCCCCGCCGGCACACTTTAAATTGTTGAGTGCAAATTTAAGTGCGTGCTTTAAATTATTAATCGATATTTCGATAGCGACGATATTCGGACTAACAGGCGTGGCTTAACAATTGTTAAACCACGCTTACCGCAGCTCAATTAGCGTTGGGTCATTTTTTGGAGCTAGGAATGCGTCCATGTTTTATTTGCGCCACTACCACTAGATACATACCATATCTTCGTCGTTATTGTGGGTGTTGGAGTTGGTCCGGCTGAGCGCGCGCAGCAAGCGAGCACGTTCGCGCGCGGAGCCGCCGGGCGGGCCGGCGCCCGTGCGCGCCACGGCCGCCCGCGCCTCCGCAGCGAGCCGCCAGCGCCGCAGCGTGCTCTCGCTGGGCCCGCCGCACGCTCGAGCGCCAGACCTCGGCCGCCCCACCTCGCACACCCGTCCGTCTTCCATTGCTATCACCTAGTTGATTTTTTTGTAAGATTTAAATGGCAAACTAATTTACAGCCACGGTACATGAGTGGCCACTGCAGCCATTGGACAGCTGCAACCAACTTCAAACTAAGAATTCTACAGATGCGTTGCAGTGGCGTAGCGTACCTTAAACAGGCCTGTATCAAAATTTGTTGGTGGGTCTAAATAAAGGGCCCAAAAACGTTCGCATTGAATTAAAATAATTATATATTGATTGTAACAATTATTAAAAAGTTAAAGTTGCAGCCTATATACGTCCAACAGCTGTGCACAGGATTCTACTCATTTCTGAGAGGGTTTAGGGCAAGGAAGTGTCCGCCGCGCCGCCTCAATGCGTGTTGGCGAAAGTTGTCTTCGAATTTTTTTCTCATTTCTCAGACATGCAGGTTTCCTCACAATGTTTACCGCCGAGCACGTGGTAAATCAGCACTTAAAATTGCAATTTCATTGGTGCCGGTGGGGATCGAACCCGGTTTGCTCGCGTACTTTGAAATTTACAGCGAGAGCTAACCATCTGAGCTACCACGGCTCTAACAATTATTATTTACAATTAATACTCCTAGGAACTAAACTAGCCAAACTATTCAATCAAATATACACTATTCTTGTCTTTTGTTCAGCGAACTTATTTATTAAATAATTCATAGCTGAAGACGGTTTCAGTTTTTCTATATTTTCTGCCTCTATAGACAATAGTGACGAGTTATGATATTCATCATTTTCTATATATATATATATATATATATATATATATATATAGTTTTTATTTTAAAAAACTTCTTTCAGCTGTTGCGGTTGTAATCGGAACGGCCAAGAATAGAAAGCATGTTATAATTACCCCCGGAAAACTGGATGCAAGGCTATTGAGTTTTATCAACATTAATTCCGTGAGTTCCATTTTCTGAATTTCTGATTTATGCATGTATTCTAAGCAATAAATAAAATAAAATAAGATTGACTTCATTATTCTATTTGATTAAGTTGGAGAGGTAACGTCTAATAAAGTCCACGCTCCGTCCCCCCTCGTGCTTTAATTCAAAGCCCCGAAAACTCTCAGACAATTTAAATGACAAGCTCGTGGAAACTGTCCTTGCGGTCGGAGCTATGTTCTGCAAGACCTGCCGCAGAAGAACACAAAAACTCTCCGATCACTTTTTTAATCTCACAGCTGTTAGACGAGAAATGAAGCTGCAGTCTTCAGCAGTTTTGACAACGTACAGGCAACTGAACAGACAGAACTCTAAATACATGCGGTGAGATTTAAGCAACTTCAATACAGCTTGTATTTAAGAAGCGATCGAGCGGAACCAGGGCTTCCAAAATCTTTGCCAGAAATCTGTTTGCCAGAAATAGCCAACTGTCGAAGCTGAAGACTGAATGTGGCAGATCGTTTCTGCGACACCTGAGATTTTGAGTGAGATTAACAGGTTCTCGCAGGAGTGAGTAAGTCGACGAGTCCGAGAGCAAGTTGACAACTATTCCGATGATATTCCAGACGTCAGTCTGAGCAAAATAAGAATGGCTCTACAGCACCTTAAAACGGCACGCAAAACGGCAAATCCCCGGGCGAGGATAGAATTACAGCAGAGCTTCTGAAAACAGGTGGAAAACCGGTCCTACAGAAGTTCTTTGATTCCGTCATTAATGGTGGCACTACTCCTGAGGTGTGAAGCAGAAGCGCTTTGGTCTTGCGCTTCAAAAAAGGCGACAACGCTCTCTTGAAGAATTACAGACCGATTTCCCTTCTGAACCGAGTCTATGTGCAGTTTTCCAGTCATCACGAATCGTCTTATACACAGACTCGACGACTTCCTGCCTCTCGAACAAGCTGATTTCCGAAAAGGCTTTAGGCTTTTAAGCTTTATATTATAACATTGTATTCTATACTAAGTATATAATTATTGATTACATATTGTATACACCTTGAAAGGAAAAAAACGGCGCCCTTATACGATCACTGTTTTTTGTCTGTCCGTTCGTTTGTCCCTATGTCAAGACACCTTTTTCAGGAACGGGTAGAGGCGTCAAATGAAAACTTAGCAAATACTAAGTAAGGTGGTATGGTCTCTTGAAGGTGTAACAAATTCAAGCTTCTAAGTATATGCAATTAAAATATATAGCCAATATTTTACTTATTTTAATGTTTATGTTATAGACAAACTTGTTTAATTCTAGAAAAGTAACTAGTTTTATTTTATATTGAATTATTTATAAATTTATAATCTAATGAATACATGTCTCCCACTATAAATAAAAACAGGTTTCCCTCATAAATTACCATAGCGCGCGGTACCATAGAATAGAATACAACTATGTACTACATGTCACTTACAGCATAAGTACACTTTAGGCGGGACAGTCCTGATTTAAAGGCTTGTGTCCGTGCAAACTCTGTCACCCGTGCCATCATTATGTCACCGCGCGTACGTTAGCGTAGTTAGTAGTGTAGTTATGTGATTATTCTGAAAACCTACATTTGAAATCAACATTCCGGGCTGCTACTGAGAATTTTGTAACAGAAAAACCAAACAAATGATTCTTGGCCCGACTCGGGTTGCGAACTCGGGACCACATGATCAGCATTGCGTTTGCAAAAGTGTTAAAACTGTAATAATTTTGAAGGAGTCCCGCTCTGAGGAAAAAATAAATGGTCACTTTATAGATGCATGCCTTCCTGATTTTTAGGAACATTATCAATCATCACTTTTGTCAAAGAAAATTAAGTACTTCCACAAAAATTAATTTTGTTTCGGATGTGGGTAAATAGATAAGTACTTTGTATAGGTTCGGAAGATGCATTGCATGATACATGATTAAATTGTAAGAAACTTGTGAAGTATATGAGCTATTCAATAGCAAATCACAACACATTTTACGACACATTGTAAAAGTGTAATGTATATTGTATTTACGCATGGAAGAGTACTATTATGTTTATATACCTATGCACATGGGTATATAAACATAATAGTACAAAATCTACTGGCTGCAAAACAGCCGATTCAAGTGCATCAACGAGTTCAGAAAGTAAGAAAGAAAGAAGAGTACCTAGTATAATTTTTTTCTTATCTTATATAAGTCTGATCCTTATTTTACCCGCACTCACAATTAGTACGCTGGTCAAATTTTAGATTTGAGAGATTGGCCATGTGCCCCGCTACTACTCACCAAGTCAGAGTAGTGCAGTAGTTCTAAGCGATTTGTAGCAATTATAACGGTGCGGCCAGCTCTCGCGGCAGGCAACAGCCCACGGGCCACCAAGTGCCGCGCGAGCGCCGCGTCCAGGGCTCCAAGCGGTTCGTCCAGTGCCAGCAGCCGCGCACGGCTGTATATACAACGCGCCACGCACACTCGCACACGCTGCCCGCCCGATAACGGTGCTCCATGCCGACCTAGCTGCGTACGGTCGCTGTCTAGACATAAAAAAATTCAACTGTTAAGTTAAAAAGTACAGAAATACCGGATATTTGTGTATTATCTGCACAATAAGTAAATTTAAACTAAATGCTTTTAAAAAAGGGGTTAGAGACGTGAAAGAATCAATCTTATAAATTGACTTATCGAGTCTGTCTTACCAGGTAATAGCTGCAGATCAGGTCTCAGAGCGGCGGCACGGAGGGCGCGCGCGTACTCTGATGGGTTCCAACGACGCCCCATGAGAATATTATCACGGATCGAGCCTTCGATCAGCCATGGAGGTTGTCCCGCATAACTGGCGCTGTATTCTCTTAACACACGAAAAAACAAGCACGTCTATGGATTAGGTGAAAAGTGTTTTTAATCGACTGAAAACAAAAATTCATAAGATGTACATAATATGACATGATGGGAATTTCGCTGCGTTCGAATATCAATATCTTAATATTTGTGCAATGCAGATTTCATTGATTTCGGATATTGAGATATCAATAATACGTCCCGAAGTATTTAATACTACACCTGTCCCAGTATATACGTTAACAAATCGATCATCATTAACATCTGCCTCCTTCTCCGACATTTAGAGTGACTTTTGTAATATTTGTCCCACTTGCACTCTGTCCAAAGTTTGACGTAAGCAGTATCAGATGTTTCAAACTTTTAGTGATGTTTCCCACTTCCAGTTTAAGCGCGTTATGGGTCTGGCATACACGAGATGTTATTTTTTTGAATATATTTGCCTCGTAGAGATATGGACGGGTTACCTCGACTGAAAGCGTATTTTGTTTCACCTTTGTAACTTTTCCTATACGACTTTCATTTGCATCTACACAATCAAATCCCCCAATCCCGCCACGGAGGCCGCAGGGCCAGAAAAAAGCAAATGCAAAAATAAGGCAAAAGGCACTTTTAAAACAGCCGCGCACCGCGCATTGCCTTGCCTCAGCTGGTAGGTTGGAAAATTAAAACAAAGTATATAATAAACCAGTAAATAGATAATAAACTTATATCTTAGGCTCTCAAAATGTTGGAAACACAGTTTACCGGCCAGGGATAATAGTCAGGGTGAAGGGAAATTTAGGGTAGGATGTATTTGAAAGAAATTAAACAAAATGTACTTGTGATGTTTTCGTGAGAGGTTGCGATATCTTGAAACTTTGCTTAATTTTAAAATTTTATATTGACGTTTTTACGCCGTTACTAATATAATTTGGGTACTTGAAAATATTCCTCAATATGTGTAGAACAAAAGTCTTAATTAATGTATGTTTATAACTTCTGTATATATGAATTTTCACTCAATAAATATGCATAAAATAACGGTAGCAAATTGAAAAGTTACTTCGTATTATTAATTTTCGTTTAGGTCAATCAAGTGAAAGTTAATATCGATCTTACTACTCCCTAGGCGAACCGACGCGACCCAACGCAACGCATATATAAAGAGTGACAGATGCAACTATACTTTTTACTCTATAATAATATAAAATATCTTACCCATTCCAGTTGACGTCTCCCCTTTCGAGATTCATTTCTCCTAGTATAGCAGATAAAAATGACGATTTGCCGGATCCAGAGGATCCAACAACCATAATCAGCTTACCTTGAAATTAAGATAAAATTTAACGTACGCATGGTATAAACTTTTATACCTATAGAATGTACGTATGCTTACACACCTTTTGGAATATCTAAATCATCAATATCTAGCCAGGCGTTGTCGTTCATTTTCCAAGAAAATGCCGCGTTTTTGAATCTTATTAAGTAATCTTGATCATTGCAAGTTGGTTTACTATCTTCAAAGAATTTATCTTCGCATTCACCATCAACACATTTATCGGTTTGCTCTTGATTTGGAAAAGAATTGCAGTCTGGAGCAGAATCCATAATGTTGTTTAAAAGCAAATGACAAGATTTATTATTGGATGCACTTTGTTCACAGCTATCTTCTTTCACATTATTTGATTCCGGTAGCTCTAAAAAGTCCTCGAGTCTCTTGGTACTCACCTGAAAAATAAATGTTCCCTTGATTAAGTTTGCAGCTGAAATATCGGCTTATATAGTAAAAAATATAAGCTCACCATAGCTTGAATCACCATGAGCACCGTCACGGGTAAAATTAGAAGAGGTACTGCTAATTGATTGAATAACGCCAAACCAGCTAATACATTAACTACTGTTAAACCATCACCATTGTTTAAAAAATATAACAGTGTATACGTAACAACTGTTATAAGTATAGTGGATGCTTGTGTTGTAAAAGCTGTAAAATAAAACAATTGTAATAAATAACTGAATCAACCATTAAATTAAAAAAACATTATGAATTTGTACATACTAACTTAGAACTCCCCAGTAAATAGAATCCTTATTTAACAGTCTTAATTCAACTTCTCTTAGCTGCAAAATTTTTTCATTGAACAAATCTTCCCATACATAAAGTTTAATAACATTTATGCCCTGTAAAATTTCTGACATTTTGGATACTCTGTGATCAGTACACTTAGAAATATTTTTGGAATTGTCCGAAAGCTTCATCCCAATATAAAATTGTAACGGAGTTATCAGGACAACACTAGCAGCGGTTCCTATTATTGCACTTACTCCTAATTTCGTATAAAGTAAATACAAAATAACAGCCACCTACAATTAAAGTACTATTAAATTCAAATTGAATAAGGAAAAAAATGAAAGCAGTGTTGAGTAAACATAAAATACACACCTTTAAAGGAATTGCCCAGATATAGTGACATACCCAAACACATGACATTATATTGTACGTATCTTGTGATATTAAGTTGGTCAGGAGACCAGACTGTGAAGGAGTGTGGTCTTCGGTAGATTGCAATAACGGAGATTCTTCGTCTACTTCCGATTCAGCTGATGACCATGATGCCAGGCGCATGCATTTGTCATAAACCATACTCTATAAAAACAATTTAAAAACTGTTTTTCATGCGTATCGATAAATTATCAATATTCTAATATGGAATTAACAAACTAGGTACCCAATTTAATTTTTACAGATATTTTAGGAATAATTAATTGTATCATAAAAATCACGCGTGATAAACTTAGAAATGAGGATATTCGAAGTAGAACCAGAGTGACCGACATAGCCTAATGGATTAGTAAGCTGAAGTGGCAGTGGGCCGGCCATGTAGTTCGAATAACCGATAACCGATGGGGAAAAAAGGTTCTCGAGTGGCAGCCTCGTACCGGTAGGCATATTGTAGGGCGGGCCTCCAGTAGATGGAGTGACGACCTGGTAAGACATGCAGGTAGTCGATGGATTCAGGTGGCTCATGACAGCTTTGTGGCATTCCTTGGAGGATGCCTATGTTTCAGCAGTGGACTTGTGAAGGGCTGTAATGATGATGATGATGATGATGTACATAAAAATACAAATATTCGTTCTTTGTTAGAAGATGATGTAACCAAGATAGAGAGAAAGCAATGCTTAAGTGGATTGGACTCGCAGAAATCAGTAAGAGAAGAGAGTGACAAAGCAAATTTATGATGCAGAGACAAGGAATGTACTGTATGTTATAGGGATAGACGAAAGTTTATCAACGAAATTGCTGATACATTAAAGATAAAGTTATGGTCATACGAAAAATACTGTTTATATGACACCAAAAAATAAGGACTCACGGACTTAAAAACACGGACAAAAATGTGTGAAGCTCACAAAATGACAATCGACGTCAATATGCAGCGCGCGTCAGTGTTAGAGACCGACCCCCATTACATACTGCAGTTTTGGGTGCGTGTATCTGGCATTTAACAGATAAAATTGTAGGATCTAGGGTACTTGACACTTTTTTGAGTGTCAATTGAGTAACATTCCATTTGTATTTTTGACGTCCGTGGAAGAACTATACGCATATTCGATTGAACTCACGCAATTTATGGTTATTCTGGATCCAACTATGTTTCTTTTACGTTCAAAACGAATACTAATCTCATATAAAATCTATTTTTCATCCCCTATTCCATAAGAATATATTCAATCTTTAACGCACTTTTCGGGTTTCTGTACTTTTTTCATTACGTGTAATCGCTTGGAAATAGCTCCAAATACATGTTATAATGCTGTAAGTTCTTTTTGATTTCGCGTAGAGTTTTCATCGAGTAAGGCTTTCTGATCGTCAGTCACAGGTCAAAATTTAATTCTGATTATATTATCTGCAGATTGAATATGAGTGATGTAAATCCCGCCATTGATGTAAATCCTTTCTAGTCCAATAGCTAGAAAATGTGAAGGGACTGTAGCACCGTCCGAATTGTGAATGTAAGAAAAAATTTACAACCGAATGGTACTATGTGGTATTTTTTTTTTTTTTGTTGATTGTGGAGGCTAGAAGTGATTTTTCTCATCATGTGAATTATTTGTTAATGGCTGTTGAAAACAGCACATATACACGTTTTAGAGTGGAAATCGTTCTGTACTTATTCAATAGAGCGTTGTCACCTTTCTTGAAAAACAAAACCGCCGTACTTGGTGCTCCTCGCGATGGAGTAGTGCCACCATATACGACTAATAAAAGAGCTTCTGAAGGAATTCAAGTACCGGTTTTCCATCCGTAGCTTTTCTGCAATTCCAAAGTCGCTCTGATCCTTGTCCGTTTAAATGTGCTAGAGAGCCATTCTATCTCGCTCAGATTGACACCAGAGTTATCATCAGATTAGTATTGGATGAGACTTGCTTTTGGATTATTACTTACATTTGTATGTGGCTCCAACGAAGAAGCTGTTCAAAGAATTTCTCGATCCTACCAAAAATCTCAGATATTCTGGAAACGACTCTGCCACAATCGATCTTCAGTTTCGATTGTTGGCTCCTTCCGCAGAACAATATGTGGTAAAGAAACTTTGGAGCCTTGTTTTCGCTCAATCGCATGGTTAATACGAGCTGTATTGAATTTGTGTAAGTCTCTACGCATGCATTCGAAGATCTGACTGTTCAGTTGCCTGTATGCTGTCATTTGTTTTTATGGAAACGAGGCATTCCTTTATAGTCCTCAGATGTGATAACGCACCGCATTTTGTTTCTTAATCGAGGATAGATATAGATGTCCATGGAACATAGTAACACTTACCATCAGGTGGACCGTGGGCTCGTTTGTCTTTTGTCTTGTTTGTTGTATTTATTTGAAAGATTTTGCTTTTTTCTGCGACGATTCCTGCAGAACTTAGGTCTGACCGCATGAACCGTTTTCTCGAGATTGAATACATCATTGTATAAGGAATCGTATATGTATAAGGAATCGTAGGTTGCCACGAGCTTGTCATTTATATCACCCACTGTCATTCATATTAATGTTCTAGGCGCTGAAAACGATTTTGTTATTTGCGATGAAAGTTATCCGGTCTTTGGGTCACATCACGCGAGAGGCTGAGCGTTGACTCCATTTGGGTGACCTTTCTAACTTAACGTTACAGTTCAGTGTGCCGCTCACAATTCAATGATCGCCAGTTTGACCAGGTCACCCTCGTGATCGCTAAGACACCAGCGAACAGTTGCCCTCTGGTTGTCATAATAAATTTAGTCTCATTTTTCACTGACCTATTGGAGCAGATAACCTAATGGAAAACCATCTGGAAGAAAGAGTCATCATAAAAAGTTTCTTCTTCTTCAAGAAATCGGCCAGCTGATGACTTCTTGGGTCTCGTCGCTTTATTTAGAATTTCTCTACCTCACTTTCTTGTTACTGTTCACCTTCCTTTCTCGTGCCAAATTTTGTTTTTCCCTTCAACATCCTATGGTATGTTTTGGAGGAATAGGGATAGATGTATTTTCTCCTCATCGAGACAAACTGAGGTTTTGCGCAGACCGGAATGAACTTCAACGAATACCGTTTCGTAATTCTGAGTAAAGGGTACGCAATCTTTATCGATACACTGCCAATCTTTAGAACGTTATCGACGACAAACTTGTGGACGATAAATATCATCACGTTGTCAGATTCTTATCAGACGTCAGATGATCCTATAATATTCCAACGCAACTTGTCCAGATCCAGGATTTTCCATTCAGTCCTCAGAGTTCGTGCGATAAATATTGCCAGATCAAGTCGTCTATGGTGGCAACCATAACTCCACCGGATATTCTTAGCACCCATGCCCCGCCTTTACCATGTTTACCACCATAGCCAGGAAAAACGGGGCCGCTGGGGACTAGGGACCGTTTCTATATGTCGTTAATCTTAAACATAATCAAAAGTAATATTTTAAAAACACATGAATCAGTTAGTTTTATGCCATACTGTGCATATTTAAAACAGGTCAATCGTTAAGCGATCTATTCAAGGTTATTTTTACCTAATATAGATGTGATTTAGTTTATGCCTATGTAAAAGGAATGAATCTTGAACATTTAATACTATTAATGTACTTGCTTGCAAGGCCGTTTTCAATCTTGTTCCTTCTACTGTTACTAGATGAGTTGAATTCTGCGAAAGTATCGCTTGAATAATTAATGCCAACGTAACGATAACTAACATAACATAAGCGTTTTGAATAAATTCTTGTATTGTCACTTCTGACTCAGTTCCGTACGTTATGTCGGGATCTTCGATGTACTGAACTATAATCGCCAACCCTAACGGTGGTATAACTCCAACCAAATCTCCGAATAGTTTTAAAATCCCAGCAATATAAAAATTTGGCCATATGGTACGTAGATAACAACGCCAAATACTTCTTTTACCATTTACTTTAGATATCTGGAAAAAAAATGGATTGTATATTACAGCAGTACTATTTAAGTTAAACTCTAAAAAATATTTTTGGATAACCATTGGATAATGAGTCTATGCGAAGTCTATGCAAACCTGTTTTTGGTTCTTATAAAATCTTTTAAATCTTTCATAAAACTTCGACGACTTTTCATCTTCTGGAAGTTCTCCAAAATCTTCATGATCTTGAGATATTTCACTGTACCCTCTATATAAAAAAGCATTAAGCCAGAAAAATGTTATCTTTGAATAAAAATGGCTTTGATTATGCCTGTAAAAGACATTGTCTTTTGTTGAAGATTCCTGTTGGCCTTGATTACGCTTTGTAACCTGGAATGTTTAAAAAATGTTATATTAGAGTTGTTATATATAATCTTAATTTTTTTTTCTTACGTTTAATTTAAAACAGATGTGTAGATATTCTTACAGTAGTTGTGTTATACTCGTAGCTATAGAGGTTAGAAACGGGATAATGGCGCCCGACTATAGAAATATTTCCAGAGATTGCTGGCGTCTGGAGTTACAGTACAGAGATAGGGTTGCCTTTGATGATCTTATTTATTATTGAATTTATATTCATTACTTACTAATTGGTATGATATTTTGGGAATGTTAAATATGGAGCCGGTTTCATTTAAATTTGAAATTGTTTTTACTTTTGACCCTTAAGGATTATTTAGAGGGGAATGATAAGAGTTTCGACGAAAAAGTCCTTAAACGTTCTCGCGTTATTTTACAAAATTGCGAGAGACCCATACATAAATGTAAGTTAAATTTGTATTTGTTACAAGCATTGTGAACATCGATATAACAGCCCACATAGAACTTAGAGCTATTTTAGAAGCATATAAGTGTAGAAAAGAGGTTGTATCCTTATAAGAGTGGTTTATGAGTTAATATACAGCTCAAGTTGTATAAAGTCTCTAAGTAACCTTACGGTTCTTAATCAAATTATAAAAACTCTAATAGACAACTTTAAGTATTTTGTAACACTTGAATATGATTTTATCATTAAATCTGTATAGAAGCTGTTTTTGCACACTGTCACTGGAAGGATCACCTCGGTACCTAACCAATTTATGTCGAAACTTGTTACCGTAAAGCGCACTGGATTAGCCCGGCATTTTAAATGCTCTGTACTGAGCAAATTGCCGGCACATGCTTATGTTTTGACTATTTTAGTGAAAAAAGTGTTTTGTTCTTATTATTTTTCGCGAATATTCATAATTTTATGATAACAATGAGTGGCAGGAAATCTACTATTTGGACTTATTTACAAAAATATTTTATCAAGCTTTCTATTTGCTATAATTGGAAATAAATCTACAGTGCCTCAAAAACATAATGCTATACAAGTAGATTTAACCCATAAATAAAATATACTTTCAACAGTAAATTTTTTAAAGACATGACATTACTCAATTCGCACATTTCAATACAGTAGACACTTTGAGTTGATTTAGCCGAATATTAGGCCTAGGCTAAATATGCTGAACACCGATATTCGGTAAAGCTGCCTAATATGCTGAATACCGAATATGAAACGAATATTCGGCCCATCTCTACTTATTACAGCTCTAAGTGTTATTATTAGTATCACTCAAGTCTTATTTTTAAACAATGGTGTATGTAAACCGCCTTGCAAAACTTATTTTCATGGCGTAATTGTACACTCTTATAAATATAGAAGTTTTATAACTTCTGTCTATGAGGGTGATATAAAACTAAAAAAACAACAGCCATAGTACAACTTAAAGCTGTATAAGTGATAGAACATCGCCATTTTGCATGAGTCACGTGTTTATATTGCGCTAATGAACGAATTTAATTTGTTATCAATATATTGAAAAAAAAAGAAAAAGATTTGGTGCAGTGAGAAGATAATGTTAAATCTAAATAAAAGTTATCTATATTGTAGTCTCAAGGCAAGGTTTTCCATCTTTTATACCTATCGCTAAAGTGAATTAGGTATATGTTATGTTGAAAAAACTTCTATACAGCGTAAGTAAAAAGCGGTCTATAACGGCCCGAAGGGTCCAAATGACTAACTTCGCAGTGGAAAGAATAAAAAAATATCATATGTTTTAATATTTTATACAATTTTTCATTCGGCACAAAAAACGACTTGACCGATTTTGCTCAAAATTTAATGAGGTCTAACTTACATAATTTTGCGTTAAATAAAACTGATCCCATGTCTATATCACTCTTTGTTCTCGAGTTAACGAGGCGAAAATTCAATCCGAACATATGTACATACATACATACATACGTACATGTGCACACACGGACATCCTCTTAAAAACCATATTATTAGACTCTAAAGACCTTGAAACGTGGAGATAAGTCAAAAATTTTCAATTTGCAAAATCGGACCCATTACAATAACTTCGCACTGAGAAGTTAATAAAAATATTCTATTATACAACTAATTAAAAACTGTAACATACATAGTAAGCTATTAACACTATAAGACCCTCGAAATACCGTTTAGGTTTTATAGCAAATTGTCACCGTTTAAGAACCAATATAAACAAAATTTAAAATATAATTTTAGAAATATTAGATATTATTTTTAGCCTATACCCTCAGACGAAATAAAAACTCAAGACAGAGCGCTGTCAACAAAGAAGTGAGGTCGGTTTGGTAAACATGTGTGCTGCAAGCGAGTGTTGCCGTGCAGTAAAAATTTATTACCCTAATATATTATTGTCTAAGTATATCAGGATGAATGGATAAGTAAAAAAGATAAGTTGGCAATTTTTTCAATTGTTTACCTCACTTTAAGAAGTAGTATGAAAGTATAATTGATAGAATCAGGCGTTACTTTGCAACCTTCCGCTAACTAATTAATTATTACTTCTTAAACGTAAACATACTTACATACATAATAATTTATTTATTATGTATGTAAGTATGTTTATTTCGACCAGGAAGGGGAAAAATAAAACAATAGTAATATGAAAGAATCATTGTTTTTATTTTAATAACCTTTTTGTTGAGTCAATTTTCTGAAATATTGCCGTTTACTGTCCACCGTTTTGGAAATTGTTTCCAATTTAGAAATATTGTGGAAACGAATTGATAAATATTTTTCAATTATGCATCTTATTAAGCTTATTTTATGCTCAGTCTCCAATTTAGAGAAAACGTTGTCAGTACCAATAAATCGTTCTAACCATTTCACTGTCCCATGAGTCATATATGAACATTTCGATTGTTTAACTATTGTGTCTATTTCGCGGACAGGGAAGTTGTTAAAATATTAATAACCGATTTGTGTTGGTTTTCAGTAACTATTACTATGCTTTCATTACATAATTTACGTACAACAGTTTCACAAATTACGCAAATTTCAAAAAGGTCTTTCGACGGAAAGATTAGCCACCTTTATCTTTTAAAGATATCAGTTTATGGAAGTCAAATATCTCATCCGACTGTAAGCGAGCTAGACACGTTTGACACTTAATGACCCTTGACAAGTAATGCGCTGTACTTCCTGATATATATCCGATAATGTATTTATTTCGGATGGGGAACCTTAAAAATATAGATTTTTGAAGTGATGATAAAACTTGGAAAAACAAAAAAATATGAGTATTTACACTTACAATAATTTTATAAATATTATAAGTAAAATAGAAATACATTAAATAGAATTACATTAAGTTTCGCGTCACATTAATAAATTACCGAATAAATAGGGACTACTGTGACGCTCACTAGTGGCAACACTTGTCGACGTTTTATGTTCCAAGCTGTCAGAATAAATAATAAAAATGATTAATTAAAATTTTGGATTTTTATGTATACTTACGTATGAAATGTGATTCCATCCTGTTTTTTATTTCTGGAAGATTGGTTTTTACACCCTTTCATAACACAATTCGGCATTTTTTCTTTAAAAACTGCGAATTATTATAACGTGACACTCCGTGCGCTGGAATAGCTCGAATGAGAAGCTAAGGCGTAGTTTCGTTATATTTGTGTGCGTGAAACTGTGTATGTACAAGGCGAGGCGTAGTTTTACCTGCCTCAGTGCGTTGTTCGACGGGGCTCTGTCTTGAGTTTTTATTTAGTCTGAGCCTATACCATTATTTTAAGTCTGCCTAATGATCACTGTACCACAATGTGCCTCCATATAAATTAATTTAATATATTTTTTATATTTTAATCTATACAACCGATATTTATAGTTACCGCAAATTTTTATAGAAGGCGAAATATTGTCCTATTGGTTAATTAGACTGCTTTCGAAACCTACTCACGTGTTTTATAATATCTATTTTGATTCATTGATTGTGACGTTACAGGAGTTAGTGTACTTACACCTATAAAAAGTAATTTCCGTTCATAAGAATGCTTCTAACTGAAATAATGTTGGTTCAACCCTTGAACGAGTGTGAGTCATAACTCATGTCTGAATAAAGTGCTTTGTTCGAAAATAATGAATCGTTGAATATTAGGAAATAGGAAGTACAAATCTTCTTTTCATTTTTATATACAATTTACATGTTAAATTAGAACTTGCATTGTAAATTTATTTTGCTCTCCGTATAATAATATTTTAGAAAATAATGGTAGCTGCTTATTCTAAAAACGTTTTTTTAAGAATCGAATATAACAGAATATCTATAATAGAATAAGTTTTTATTCAATCATCATCATCATCATCATAGCCGATTCAAGTACACTGTTGAACAAAGAGCTTCCCCACAGATTGCCTTATAGTGACCACGCTTGGCAAACGGGTTGACAACTTCAGTTTTTTTTAAACTTCTCACTAAAATGAAAATTTTATTATGAATTTTGAGCCTGTTTTCCGTTAATACCAGTCGACTTTTTCCGATTTGTAGCAATAATGTAAAAGGTATCTTATATGTATCTTCAGGATATCTGTTTTATAAAATTCAAAATCCGTTAAAACATTTTAGTGTACAGAGGGAATCATACTCGCAGAATTATGGTAAATTGTAAATAGCAGACCACAGACCCCAGCAACCGTGCATTTTTCCGGATTGAAAGAGAAGAGTGTGTTTGTTATTTCAACGGACTGTGATTTAAAATTACGCTCCAGTTTTATCCTAAAGGAAACGTGCAATTTTCCGGAATAAAAAGGAACTTATGACAATTTCCGGCCCATATAAAATTATGTCTATCAAAAAATCAGATCAATCCGTTGCTACGAGAAAGAAGGACACATCAACAAGAATAACGTTAATAATAATAATGTTTTCTGTACATTTTTTTAGATGGGCATTCCCGTTCAATTACGCTGTTTGTGATATAATTTTGTGGCGGCAATTGCACGTTAACTTTTTGACGACGGTTTCGTCTATCAAATCATATATGTAGTATTTTGATTTATATGTTCTAGTATTAACAGGTTTAATATTACAGCGGAGCAACAAAATACTGTTTATAGACTTATTAAATGAAAAGTCACTCAACGTACGAAACATAACAGCGTTAATCTGCTATTTTACGCTGGTATTCTGCGAGAACGTGGTCCTTCCCCGGTCGAGACGACCCATAGAAATAGTAATAATAAGATATTACGATTTCCGTGTGCCGACCCATTCGTGACACAACTATTAATATGGCTATTAATATGGCTTTAGCGGGCTCTAACACGCATAAAATAATGTCTTTGATATGATAAACACTTGACATGTCGATCGCTGTAATTGCAACAGCATTAATTTAAACAATGACAATTGTTCGTTTAGATCATTGAGCTACATGTCATATCGACGGTTTTAGATTGTGCATTCGAATTGATATTTTATTTATGACGATACCTTTTGTCAACCCCAAACAATATGTTGTGCTGTACGCATTGATAAATTGTTTAGGTAACTGAATAGTTTTACTTAACTGGTTACGGTTACTGAATAAAAGTTGTGTAATTAAATTTTATTATATTTTGTAAACGCTTATTATGCAGGCTAAATTTATACGTAATTATTAAGTAGTGGCGCTAATCGGGAAAACTAAAACAAGAGTTGGGCAGCTGCATATTCCTGATAACAACTCAAAATAATAAAAACTGCAGTTGCCAATCCGCCTGCCAAGCGTGCCAACTATGGCAAAATCCATAGAAAGACAATCTATGGAGAGGCCTGGCCTTCGGTTGTGGACTTTTATGGACTGTAATGGTAATATTTTCAAATTCGACGCCTCGATAGTGCAGCTAAGTATTTATTTGCGTGGCTCCAGGGCCACGGATTCGAATTTCGGACGAAACGTGTGTTTATATCATAGAAATATAAACAATTATATGGTACCTATCGTTAAGTATCAGAATTCGTTATAAATTATTATACATTTAGTTTTTCATTGTTATAACGATTCTTGCGTGAATTTATTTTTAAAAATAACAAAGTAATTTACCTATATGATAGTATTGTGGTCATAAAATCATCATTATACAAATCAAAGTTATTTCTGACTAGCTTCCGGTGACCTATTGTGCGTATAGCTATTAATATATAGAAAAAAGGTTTAAATTAAAAATTAAAGAAATAGAATAGAAATTAAAAATCATAATAAAACCTTTCTTACGTGATATTACACAGTGTGAAAAAAAGAGAACGGAACATAGAGCGAAAGTACATTAAATGTTGAAGTCATCAAATTTCACTCAAAGGAGACATTCCTTATTTTTTTTTCAAAATAAAAATAACCACATTCAAACATTTTTTTTAAAGTTTACCAAGGCCGAAATAAATCGAACCAACTTAAAGTACAAAAAAAATTACAGTTAGTTAGTCTATAATAAGGATGAAAAGAAGGAAAGAAACAAAAACATTGTATTTTACAATTAATGAAGAACATGAAATCTAACAATTTTCACGTATTTTTTAAATGTCAAAAGAACTTTTATTATTTTCTTAAAACTCCGCAACAAGATCTTGCAGGCCGTTTAATTGTTTCGTTTGTACCAATCCAGACGTCGAAATCGTTATTGAGATAAGCAGTGCATACTGTTACGAGCAAGAGTACTGTCTTCTTGAAATATTATCGTATTGTTTCGCTCCTCCTTTGATAGACAGTTAAATTCATTTCGTAGAAGGTTTAATATTTCTATGTGTTTTCTAGTATTCAAGTGTCCTTCATACACGTATACCATCACAACCATGTTACACCTGATGCCACACCAAACGTTAAACGAAAATCACACTTCAATCTATCAATCTACAATCAACTAACTACTAGTCCTAATAATAATTTTTACGCCTATTATACATTCCATTATTGTTAAAATTTATTTCATCACACTACACAACGAATTTTTCAGCGAACTTCGGCAGCTTTCCTGCTTAGCTTATCTTATAGTAATGTGAAATATAAAGATCTTGTTGCTGTGGGCGTTGTACACATTTCTTGAAACTTGCGATATTTGCTAAATTTGGTAGACCAATAGTAACAACAGTTTTCAAGACGGTGTCTATCCGGATACCTGTCTTCATATATTGCATTGTGGAGTTAAGTCGGACTTTGTGGTTTAAAAAGTAAGCTTCTAACAAATCAAGTTGTTCCTGATAAGCCTTTATGAAATATGTATGAAAAATATCGGGGAAAAAACACAAATACCAATTAAAAAAAATAAGAACAGACACTCACACATGAAAACGTTATATTTCTAATTTAGTCTCGTCGAAAAATGGGATTTTTTGGTTGATTATTAAACTCTATACATTTTTTGCTTTAGTAAGTTATAGATCACGTAAATTGAGGTAAAATCAACTTATCCTATAACATTCTTAGTTTTGAGGTAAATGGCGTTGAAGTAAAAATATGTTAAAAAACGATTTTGCTTTAAAATTTAAAGATAAAATATAAAATGTTTGAAGCAATTAGTCTGCCGATGTTTTCCTCCACTTTTCTACACGTGGTAATACAGCACTTAAAATTGCAATTTTTAATTGGCTTGGTGCGCGTAGGGATAGAAACCGTATCTTAAGTATTGTTATACAAGTAATAAGTATATTATTTTCATAAATTGCGATATTCATAGATAAGTAAGGCCCTCGGTTGTAATTTGATAGCATATTATGCTGCAGCGTGACTTCCACATAATAATATTTAAACGATCTGGGGCATTTTATTAAGTTTGCCATATCCATTTGTTTTGTTATCATTTAGAGAAGAACTAGAATTGTCTTTATAATGGGTTGTTTAATTATAATGGTATGTTTAATTATAATAAATCTAAAGAATTCTTTTGATACATAAACGGACAATTTTAAGGTTCTATCTTAAAATAATGCAAGTAGCGTTTACTGTATTTCTTGTGAATTATTTTTATGGAACATGCACGTAGGTACCATTAATAACTCACGAGCAGTAGATTCAAGAGCATTACTTAATGTTATCAGATTTTCAGGAGTAGTAAAATTGTTAGTGATTTACTTTTAGTTGCCTGCTGTAGCAAGTTGTTTGATATCAGAAAGGATGAAGTAAATGGTGGTTTAGTAAATTGTTTAAAAATCCGATACCTAAAATATAATAGGCTTAAGGATTAATAAACGATAAAATGTGTACCAAATTATGTCATGTACATTGTCATAGCTGGTCGTCCTTACGAAAATTAACATCTGGCATTAAGCATTTGGAAAGGAAATTGATATAAAATTAAATATTTTAATAAAATAAAATAATAATTAAATTACCTCGTCATAAAAACAAACACAGTCCACGCTTGACATCAGGAATGCGAATACAGTTGTAAGTCCTTGTATATATAGCTCTACATGGATAGTAGAAGCTCCAGAACGTAAATGCCACCATGTTATAGATGCAGCGGCGATAGCTGAGAGCTGCCAATATACCGCAAGGTACAGAATGGGAGCTGCTGAGCGACGGGACCACAGAAGAACGTGAAGAGCGGCCGCAGCGAACCAGGCCAATAAAGCAACGAGCGAGGCCACTAGTCGCACTGTCTCCGAGGGACGGAGGAAGGCGGCGGCCGTCCAACAACACCACACCACACCTAAGGCCAGGCTGCTTGCTCCTCTTATATTCTGCAGTCGCCAATGATTTTTGTAACTAAAAAGACTGTCATGCTGAAATTACTCTTTTATTTCCACTGGAAGTTGAAACACGATATTAAGAATTGGTCTATTTTAAAGTATCTTAATAGATAATAATCGTAAATTCAACGAAAATATTATTCTTCTTCTTAACGAGACCGTTCACTGTCAGACATTGGCCTTCCTCATTGTATAAATAAGCCTTCGTTTTTACGCTTTTCGGATGGATTTTCAATTCCGGTATCAGGTATTTCACGCTGCTCCCCGTAGCTCTGGGTATTTTACTATATCTGGCGTTTAAGTAGTAAATTAGTTACTACTGCTCATAGACACATATCTGGACACATCCCATTTAAGAAATTTGTTGTCTTGATAAGAAAAACGACTTAGACCAATTAATTGTTATGACTGTGAAGTTACTGAAGACCTAATATTTACCACCATTTATTGATGGAATGTGTTCGATTTGAGTCTGCTAGAAGTAATTTAATAAGGATCTTAATTTGAACAGAACTGACGTAGGAACATATCATAATATTTTGTGCCAACCAAATGGCGACGATGCGAAAGTTCTGTTCGAATCCATAGCCCACGTAGTATAATAATTAATGTTACATGAGTTAGTGATGTATGATAGGGTGTGATGGGACTGACATACGCTAAACGGTAAATGCCCCTTAAATGATTGTAGAATAATAAAAAACTACGTAGTGACGGTGTAAGAATATCCACTCCCTCATATCATCTTGTGGGTGTCGTAAGAGGGGGCAGAGGGAAATAAATCAGGAGATGGGAAGCAGCGTCTTCCTTATAACGACTAAAATTAAAAAAGGTGGTTGACCCGCTTGCCAAGCGTGGCAAGTATCCCATCCCGTGAGGAAATCTATGGGAGAGGCCTATGTTCAGAAGTAGGTTTTAAAAGGCTGTAAAAGGCAACGGCGTATACAAGATGGTTATACCACGATCACGTGCATCTTTGTGCCATCTTTAAAAACGGCACCTACAGGACAAAATAATTATTTACTTGAATAATTTTTTACGTGGTAGAGCCACGCTGCAGCTATATTAATTGTATGGTTGTAGCACGAGCCGGGGAAGAACCGCGCTCTCACAGAATACCAGCGTCAAATAGTAGCTTAATGCTGGTGTGTTTGACGGAATTTTTACTGGAAAAGAGGCATTCCATCTTAGCCCTCAAGGCTGACAACGCATCTGCATTTTGATTCGCAAACGAGGATAGATGTAGATGTCTATGGGCCACAGCAACCACTTACCATCAGGTAGAGTGTGTGCTCGCTTGTCACCTTTCTTAAATTTATTTTTTTATTTTAATTTCCAATGTTACGCCGCCACATGGCATCTCGTTGGGAAAAACGTGATAGTACAGTGTCAATTTTCTATAAATAAACATAATTAGTCGCATAGATTCTAAGCACATTTAAAGTAGTGTGTAGCGGTGAGTTGGTATGTGTAGTAGTAATAGAATATACCAGTGTGGTCGTACTGGAGTACAGCAGCAAATTAGTGCAGCAGCCAGAGTGGCGCAGTACAGGTGCAGCGAGTGCAGGGCGGCGGTTAAAGCGTACACTGGACACGCGACGTCATCTTGTGCGCAAACCGCCTCCATGATAGTTTTACAATTCCCTTGTAGGGTAGGGTGGTAGTCAACTGTAGATAGAAATATTTTTTTTATATAATTATGTTCCTATTCAGCCTTATTGCAAAAAGAAGTTTATTAAGGTTTAGATTACAATTTGTTTCATCAAAGAAATTCCCGTTGAAATATGCGAACAAAAACGTAAATTTGGAGTGTGGTAGCAAATGTCAAATTTGGCGAAGACTTTTTGAGGACACTTTAAACCATAGTTAAATTTAATATTATCTTTAAATAAACCACATTTTTGTAATAAGACGTATTAAGTTTAGTAAAAAAGTTCGATGTTTTTTTAAGTAATATATCCAGATGTAATTGATGCAGTGTGATAACAAATGCGATGTGGAAATTTGCCTTTACAAACTAAATAAAAAACCGCAAGCAAACTATTATTTGAAATTAGATGTTATCATTTTATTACAACTACGTTTTACTACAAATGTGCACACAGTCACAGATAATATAATTAATAATGATTAGTGGAAAGGTGTGGAGAGGTGTCTGTTGTATTTTGATAAAAAATTGTTCATTGAGCCAATAAAATAAAAGTATAATAAGCAATTAAAATCACTAATTGAATCAACTGTTCATATTTTTATAATAGAGTCGTGTTGGCCAAGCTTACGGTCACTTATTTCCTACAACCGATTTCCCCAAAGCGAAAAAACTATCTACTTCAAAAATTTTTTTCGTATTCTGAACTGGCGGAAAATATATACATTTTTTTTAAATTGTGTACTTTTGTTTGAGTGCAACGGTAGTTGAGAAAGACAAGTAAGTGTGAATGCGCTACCGCTATTAAAACTTATGATACACGAGTGAGGTCCGTGACGAATTTTCGTAGGACGTGCGGCTTTTGCAAAGTATATCCATTGAAGCAATATGTACGTTTATAACTATATACATATTTCAAACTTGTCAAAGTCGACAAAAAATTGCAACTAAAGCATCAGTCGGATGAGCTGACTATTATTATTTTTTATCAAACACTTTTATTAGCCAATCTTATTAGCCTCGAACACAAGCGCAGAGTAGCCTCTCGGTATTTAATTGGAATGTGTGCGCAGGCATAACATGATTAAATCCTCTCTTTCCTGTCCATCGGGCGACCAGAGAATCGACGGTTCTTCATCCGTTCGTTGTCTGTAGTATACTCATTAGAACCGAATGTTTTGCTTCGTTTTTTGTGAACCGTACAGCAAGAGGTAGGAATAATTTGCCGACGCCTTTCTTCCCTTCTGATTATAATTTGGGAGTCCTTAAAAGAATAGTAAATAGGCTTTTTTATTGCGGGACATTGCGATTCCCCATATAAGGTTTCATCCCAAATAGTTCCAGGATTATAGTTAAGTACGGGCCTGTCTTGTAATAAATAAAAACATCAACTGTTGGATATACAATTCTTTTTAAAAGTCTACCATAACTTGAACTTGAACTTGAATTTAATTTGCTCATAATATCATACATTAATTGATAGAATCAGGCGTTACTTTGCGAAAATCCATTATAATAAAAATATTAATTAATTTGCAACTACTAATCATCAACTGAAATCATCACCTGAGGATGCCTCGTGTAGAGGCGAAACACGTGTCGTATTATCGTCGATGGTTGTGTGTTTCCTGGAATAGTGGTGTTGGAAGTAGTGGTTCCGGGAGTAGTGGTGCTGGGACTAGTGGTGACGGAATTAGTGCACGCAATTGAGGGAGGGCGGGAGGTGCTCTTCAATCCAGGTAAGGCACATCATTGTATTTAGTTAGTGGAAGGTTGCAAATTAATTAATATTTTTATTGTATCATACATTATTTAAAAAAGTTCAGCAGGTGTATTATTGAGGGCAGAACCGATACTCTTGCACTGTTAATGCTACTTTACATCGCTAAGTTATGTCATTTGGGTTCGGAAAGTTGAAAGTATAGGTTTACGTAGTTAATAAACAGGTTATATATACCACATACATATGTGGTCGGGGTTTGGAGAAAGCTGTTACACCCTTCTTATCTACTGTTAGCCTGTAATGTTAAAAAAATTGAAGACTAAGGCAATGACAATCTGTTTATCAACTGTTTACTAAAAATAAATAAATGTACTTCCATTTATAGTAGTTTCTTTTTTGTTATAGAATTGCTTATTTTATGTAATAGAATTGTTTATTTTATGTAATAGAATTGTTTATTTTATGTAATAGAATTGTTTATTTTATGTAATAGAATTGTTTATTTTATGTAATAGAAATGCTTATTTTATGTAATAGAATTGTTTATTTTATGTAATAGAATTGTTTATTTTATGTAATAGAATTGTTTATTTTATGTAATAGAAATGTTTATTTTATGTAATAGAATTGTTTATTTTATGTAATAGAATTCTTTATTTTATGTAATAGAATTGTTTATTTTATGTAATAGAATTGTTTATTTTATGTAATAGAATTGCTTATTTTAGGTTGATATAAGGAAGATGTTGTTTCCCATCTCCTGCTTCGTTTCCCTCAGCTGCCTCTAATGACTCCCACGGGAAGATAATATGGTAGTAGAACCTCTTACGCTACAACTGCATGGCTATTTTATTGAATTATGGCTGTTATAAGAAAGTATTTGACAACTTTTTCAATTTTTTTTTTTATAGGATAGGCGTGACAAACGACCACACAGTCCACCTAAGTGGTTAACGCGGACCATAGACATCTAAATCTATCCTCGATTTCGAATCAAAATGCAGATGCGTTGTCACCCCTGAGGACTAAGATGGAATGCCTCATTTCCAGTAAAAAGTGTCTCCGGTTCTCTACTCACCATACGAAACACAGCAGCGTTAAGCTGCTATTTTACGCTGGTATTGTATGAGAGTCTGCTTAGATTATTGATGGGTTAAGAGAGCGTGGTTTTTCCCCGGTCGAGCCGACCCATTCTTGCTACAATTATAGCAGTAATATAGCTGCAGCATGGCTCTACCACGTATAAAATTCTATGAAGGCTACATAATATATGCTGTCACCCTTGAGGAGTAAGATAGCCAAGCCTTTGAGGATTAAGATAGAAAAAAACAAATTGTTTCTTTATATTCCGTGATAATTATACCGGGTCTTTATACCCTTCAGCCGAAACACAGCACTGTTATTAGACGTTAGATATAGGTGAGGCGGTGTATCTTCCAGACGCACTGCCTAAGCTACAATAATCCTACTAAAGAAGACTACTAAATATTCATTAACTTGGATCTTATTATAATGTTACAAAAAAGCATTCACTTGTCTTATGTCCTAACCTCAGGTAGGTTATAGGTTGTGGTAAGTAACACGGTTAGGCGTTATGAAATTTTGAGATAACATCGTGGCTGTACCCAGGAGCCAGCGGACGTTGAGGTTTGTTGCACAAAACAAGCGTATGTACGAGTATGTGCGAGTAATCCATTGCTAAGAACCAAGGTAAAATCGCTACGGATTTTTTTTAAGTAAGACTTAAATCAAGGACAATTGGGTAATTAAAATAAATAAATTTGCACGGTAATTAGTGGAGTCGTTAATATACATATACCCTTACAGCCTATTAAGCTCCACTGATGTTCATGGTCCTCCCTATAGATTGCATTATAGGGGGGGTATTTGCCATAGTCATCACGCTTGGCAAGCGGGTTGGCAACCGCAGTTTTTAATTTCTAGTCCTTATGAAGTCTACTGTTTCCGTTTCCCTCTGTTGCCTATATATATATATATATATATATATATATATATATATATGACTCCCACGGGATAATATGGGGTAGTGGATATTCTTACAACGCCACTAAATGAAACTAAACGGAAGTAGGTACCCATATATTTCATAATCAGTAATTACAAGAAATATTTGTCTTTTTTATATAATGTTTACTTTTATTTACCTTGTTCTCTTTAACACTGTCAAGGAGGGTGATGGCTGTCACATGCGTCATTTTAAAGAACAAGTGGTTTCTGTGGTGGCCAACCTGCTCGGGTTTGTCGCAAATTTCTTTTTATCATACAACAAAGTTCCCAATGCATTTAGGTTATATATTATTCAGTTCTGTACCATATTATTGTTATTCTGTCCTTTCTTCTTATTAGGCTATAAAAGTCCATAGATCGACGTAGGTATCTCCCGTTGTTTGGAGGACTGCCTTAATCGCAGCAACTTGTTTGTTATTGTTGTACTTGGATTGTTTATCGCAGTATTGGACGGTTGGCACTTTTGAACCCGCTTCTCTTTTCCAGTCTGGGTATTTTTGTAATACAAACCATTGTATTTGTATTTAAGTATTCTATAAAAGTAGCAAAGAGGATACCTTTGGGATAAGTTTCTTGCATTATTTTTGTTCTCTGGTTCGAGCAAACAGTTGTAGACTTAAAATGTCTTTTGAGTAATTATTATTTCTTACGTAAGAATTAAAATAATAAGTTAATATTTTTCCCTTACTTTTTGTTTACTTAATCACTTAATCAATCAATAAAAATATATCGGGTGTCCGGTAATGAATGGATAACCTTGAAATGTTTTATAGTATAACTTATGGCCGTACTGAAAAAAATACGAAACATAATATATTACAAGTAGTACCTTTGATATATTTTTTTAAAAGAAAAGTCGATTTTTTTCTATCTTATTTTACTGTCTTGAACACTATGACCAAAAATGAATGATTTCTATTGGTTTTTGTTGTTTTATTATTATACACTAACTGTGCTGATAGATAAAAAGTAAACAGTATAGACTATACACTAACTGTGCTGATAGATAAAAAGTAAACAGTATAGACTATACACTAACTGTGCTGATAGATAAAAAGTAAACAGTATAGACTATACACTAACTGTGCTGATAGATAAAAAGTAAACAGTATAGACTATACACTAACTTTGCTGATAGATAAAAAGTAAACAGTATAAATAGCTTTTGCAGTTTTTATTTAAAAAATTAATTTATTTCTGAAAAACATGCAAAAAATATTATTTAAGCGAAGTTAAAACCTCTTGGGTATGAAAAATATGTATGAATTTATGGGTGACCAATAATTTTACAATAATGACGGTTTCATGTAGATTTTATAATGGTATAATTCATAAATGTATCTTCCTTAAATAGTGTCTTATTGCCATTAATGTATAAAAGGTATATATTTATATATTTATAAATATATGTATATATTTTTTACGTGGTAGAGCCATGCTGCAATTATATTAGTAGTATAGTTGTAGCACGAATGGGTCGGCTCGACCGGGGAAGGACCACGCTCTCACAGAATACCAGCGTGAAATAGTAGCTTAATGCTGCTGTATTTCGTATGGTGAGTGTAGAGAACCGGAGACCCTTTTTACTGGAAATGAGGCATTCCATCTCAGTCCTCACGGGTGACAACGCATCTGCATTTTGATTTGTAATGGAAGATAGATGTAGATGTCTATGGGCCGCAGCAACCACTTACCATCAGGTGGACTGTGTGCTCGTTTGTAACCCTATCCTATATAAAAAAAAAAATGGAGAAAATTTGACTAACAAAATTTGTAATATGGGAACATTTTATCTATCAGCTCAGTTAGTGTATAATAATAAAACAACAAAAAACCAATAGAAATCATTCGTTTTTGGTCATAGTGTTCAAGACAGTAAAATAAGATAGAAAAAAATCGACTTTTCTTTAAAAAAAATATATCAAAGGTACTACTTGTGATATATTATGTTTCGTATTTTTTTCAGAACGGCCATAAGTTGTACTATAAGACATTTCAAGGTTATCCATTCATTACCGGACAGCCTGTATGTGTTTAGATCAAATATTATTTAACTCAGAAATTACAAAGTTAATACGTGGGTGGATTGAAAAGTACTCGGCCTAACCAAGAAAATAAACACATACTAAATCAGTTATATTTTTATTTTTCTACATAATCACCATCAAGTTCAATACACTTTTGCCACCTCCCCTTCCAAGCATTTAGACCGTTGAAAAAAAATGATTCTTCCTTAGAGTCAAAATATGCGTCTACAGCTGCTTTGACCTCGTCGTTTGTCGAAAATCTTTGACCTCCCAAGTGCTTTTTTAGGTTAGGGAACAGAAAGAAGTCTGATGGTGCCAGATCAGGTGAATACGGTGGATGCGGTAACAGTTCAAAGCCACAGTTGTGAATTTCAGCCATTGACTGTACTGACGTGTGAACACGGGCGTTATCTTGATGAAACAGGACTTTTCTTCTGAGCATTCCTCGACGTTTTTCTTTTATTTCCTCTCGTAAACGACGTAGTAAAGTGCAGTGGTAATCAGAGTTTATAGTCTGACCCCTTTCAAGATAATCAATCATAATCACACCTTTCGAGTCCCAGAATACTGAAGCCATCACCTTATTTGCCGACAAAATCGACTTAGCCTTTTTTAGGGGGTGGTGAACCAGGTCTTCTTACTGTTTTGATTGTTGTTTTGTTTCCGATGTACAGTAATGAACCCATGTTTCGTCCATAGTAACAAAACGATTCAAAAAATCATCTGCATCGGCTTCAAATAACTCCAAACAGTCGCGTGAAATAGTCAATCGCGTCCTTTTTTGTTCAACTGAAAGCAGTCGCGGAACCCACCTCGCAGACACCTTGTGGAAACCCAACTCGTTGACAATGATGTTTTGATTTCGTTCATAAGAGATGCCTATAATCTCGGCTATCTCTCTAATTTTTAATCTGCGGTCTCCCATTATTAAATCAAGTACTTTTTTAATATTTTCGTCAGTAGTTGACGTCGAAGGCCTTCCAGAGCGGGGTTCATCTTTCACACTCTCTCCACCACGCTTAAATTCTGCTATCCATTTTTTGACGGATGAATATGACAGAGCACAATCGCCTAATGTACTGACCATGTCATCATGGATGGCTTTTGATGATAGCCCCTTCTTATGGAGGTACTTAATGACGGCACGCTGCTCAATTTGCTCCATTCGCGGAATATATGTCCGATTACTTTGTTAATAAATTTATAAAATCACAACTAATTATCGCACACGTTTCGAACTTCACACAATGAACTAGTCTGAACTGAACTAAATAATGTGGGTAGATTTGATTTTTAGAATTGAATGGATCTGTGTTAGGCCGAGTACTTTTCAATCCACCTAGGTATATAGTTATGAAATTTATTAACCTTGAAATAAATCTTAATTTTGGCAATTCTACCTGTTCTTATATATTATATGATTCACGTAATAAAAATGGAGCCGCTTTTAAATTAAATTCCAAATCTCTACTCTATCCTTGTAAATCTTGTAATTAGTATCCTAAGTAGCTACACATGCTGCCTGAAGCTGTGTCATGTGCACTAAAAGTCGTTCTTTCAGATCCTAGGCGTGCTATTTCCAAAGATGTATCAAAGGAATATAGAATTATTGATATTCCTAGACTAGATATTACTCATTTAAGATTAACATATTAGTTTAAAAGGATATCGGAAAGCTCAAAAAGTGATATAAACTTGAATCGAAGGACGGGACATTTAATAGCTTCTCATAGATTTAAAAAAAAACGGAAACGAATTCTTTAACAAAATCACAAAAAGCATTCTGGACATATCACACCTAATGGGTTCTTTTTTCTTGATGAATATTTTAAAAATAATAAGTATAAAGTTCTTAAGTGGAGTTTATCAAAATGAATAAATAATTAAAAAAATACATGAAGCGATTTTAAATAAGGTTTTCTACCGGTGAATAAAAAAGGCTAAATCAGTTAACTAACTTCAAAGATAGTGCCTTATATCTTTGATTATATACCTGTCATATATTCAAATCCTTATATATTATAATAAAAAACTAAACACGGTCGAATTTGTACCCTCTTCCTATTCCTGCTGCACCGCCTCCTCCACCTATTTTGTTGCAAAAAACTGCTCCATAACTTTATAGTCACCCAACCAACAAAATTACGTATTGTGGCTTTTACATTAATTTGCAATAAAAAATTGGAGATACATTTTTAGAAGTTAAATGGATGGAATGGGATATTTAACTCCATATTTGCGGCTCTATAATCAGATCCACTATGTTGATGTATTAAGTTTGATAATGTGTTATTTATTGTTAATTTAGCACAGTTTAGGAATATGATAAGATAGAGCGTTCATTGTAACTCTGTGCACAAAAGTCCCTAAATAAACTAAAAAGAAAAATTATATACAAGCGCCAGATCAACCGGCTTGTAATAAGTAAAAAAAGATCTTGCTTAGAAGCGGATCGTTCAAATATTAACTAATATTGATTTTAGATACTAAGAACTTTTTGAATATACTTGAAATCCGTAACTAAATACACGCACAGTGTCATGTTTATGAAAAATAAAAAGAAATATTTTTCTAGACTACAAATAATTTTAATCACCTTAAATTATTAAAAGTGAGATGGTGAAAAGATTACAGACATAAAATTTGTTTAACATAATTTTGTTTAAGTTAGTTCATTCAGAGATACGACGAGACGGAAGGACATCCGCATAATAGCTTTCTAAGTAAGTGTAAATAAAATAGATAGTTTACAATAGTTAGGTAAACAGATTTATTTGACACTTTTTGGAATTACGATGCTCTTAGCAAAGTAACGGCACAATTTTATGAGTAATGGTGTTGTGTGATTTCAAAGCTATTTTATTCAAATTTAATTCGTAATAGATTTAAATTTCCCCTGAAATGTTTTATTTTTATTTAAATGTTTAATATACATTTACTTTAAAACTGATAATATAAATAAAATAATAATATTCGTTTTTTTTTTAAATAAATGAGTGGAACACTGTACAAAACTTACTTTCAAAATAAAACTTGATGATTAGCTCTTCGCCTGTCAAATCTGCCGATTCACTGAGCACATAAATATGATATTTTTCACTTGTTATCCATTGTTTCAAACTTGTTGGTGTGTGTTTGAGGCATTGTAATGATTGTTTACTGATTGTCTACTTTACGTGCCGAGGTATGTTGCTACAGCCGGTATAAAATCTCGTGGCGCGTGTTCGAGAATGACGTGTCGACACGCGCGCTAGTACTACAGCACTGAGTCGAGGCTGAGCTGAGTTGAGCTGAGCGTAATCGGAACTCAAATTGAATTGAGTGCAAATAAACCTTGTCGCCCGGCCGCGGCTCCACTGACTGCACTGCGTGCGTGGAAACGGTGACTGTCTCGTACTCGTTCATTGCATTTTCATTTACGCTAATTCATTGAGTATATTGCGCCTTGCTGTTTTTATTGTTTGCCCTTTGAAATACGGTCAGGGGAGTAGTTTGCTGAGAGCGCGAACCAGATAATGTTTTATCGATGTACATATATAACCGTGTTAAAACGCTATTCAGAATGTTCACATAGGTAAATACACTACGAAAAGAAAATATATATTAGACTTTGGTAGTACCATATTTCAACTGCCTCTATCCTTATTGAGATATTTGCCTTAGTTCATATAGTACCTATATAATATGATACAGGCTCTGAACCACCGAGATGACCAAAGTTTTCTAGTTTGCAATTGGTTTGAATAATCTGATTTAGTGCCCATTCTGCTAAGCTGTTCGTTGCTATCCTCTTGTTCATTTCAAGTTTGTGCAGTTGCTGCGGCACTCCAATGTACAAATATTAATGTTAATGGAGGCTGATGACACACTCATTGGGTGCGTTTGGCAGAAAAAAGCGCTAGCAAGCGCTTATAAGCGCTAAAATAGTTTTCGGCCAGGACACGATTGCTACTTCAGTAGCGCTGACACAATCCGCCATTTTGCTTATTTAATTTGATTGTTTTGAAGTAGAGTTTATAAGTTGTTTTGTGCAATATTAGTTTTAAGTAATATAATGACATGAATAAATATATACATGCTATTAAAAACTCATGATTGGTAAGTTTTTAATATGAATACTTTACAAACATATATTTAAATTAGGTTAGATTCCCCGCTTAAAACTAACATCGTGTCCTGGAGGAAAATAGCTACTTACGATTTGACAGCGCTTACCGCTTACGAACGCCATTTTGCTTACAAGCGCTTGCTAGCGCTTTTTTCTGCCAAACGCACCCATTGTCTGTAATGAATGTTGACAACCGATTTAATTTTTAATTAATTTAATAGCTTTATAAATTAACTGAAATATAATTCATAGTTGATTAACTCAAAGGACTGAATAACTATAGAAATCCCTTTTATTTTGTACAAGAATTTTTTATAAATCTTCAAAATTACCTCATTAAATGCATTTAACATGCACATTGAAACAAACGCTTAGCAAAATTTTGTAGAATATTCTTAGAGACTTATTTATAGACTTATTCCCATAATCAGACCTTGTCTCATTTCCTTGCAAGTGTTGTTAACCATGAGCAATAACATGTCTACAGTACGAGTATGTTTGTCTCTAATATAGGCCACAAACTAATCAGATGACGAGAGTGGCCATTTCTTAGAGCAGATGAAATATAACAAATATGAAACTATTTTGATTTATCGTCGGTGGAAGAGACCCCATAAGGTCAACGCCGAATGTTTGAAAGGGTCTAGACTAGAACATATCGACGCGACGGTGGAAAGGCGAAAATTATCAAGTGAAAAACAGGCAGCTTTACAGTAGAGCTGATTCAGTTTGAAATTTTGAAAAAAAAATCATATTAATTGTACCTACTGTTTAAAGGTTTATCATACCGGCATGATTATTACGTAATTAAAAAGCTGTTAATTCCCTTCATTGGCTTAGTAAAAAGAAACACGAAAGGGAAAAATTGACTTACCGTCAACCGATTCTCGACGTATGAATGGAAAAAGCATGATCAGACATTTTTGAATAATTTCAGCATGGGAAAAATACCTATATAATTTAAAAAAACATTTCTATGATCAGGGATAAGCTATTTGACACTTCATGATGGATTAATTTCCGTCGGGGTTTTTTTTAAAGAGGACAAATTAAAATTAAATTTTGCCCCAAATAATTCGTAACATAACATACATAACATAAACATACATATACATAAACATAAACACTCACGCCTGTCACCCAGAGGGGTAGGCAGAGACTACAGACTTCCATTTGGCACGATCCTGACACACCTCTCTTGCCTCCTTCACATCCATACACCTACGCATACATGCTCGTCGGTTAAGGGTACTCCTAATTTGGCCCGTTTTCAATAAATCGCCAATTTGGTCGATAAATTTTCGCCTAGGACGTCCCTTTCCGACTCTGCCATTCACTTCTGCAACATAAATTTTCTTTGTCACTCTTTCCTCATTCATTCTTTCCACATGACCAAACCACCGAAGCATTCCTTTCTTAATCCTGGTCACAACATCATCTTGCAAACCACACTCTTCTCTTATTACACAATATCTTACCCAGTCATTCAGATTCAGCCCTAACATACTCCTTAACACCGCATTTCTACTGCGTTTATTCTACTCTCGTGCTTCTTCTGCCACACCCAACTTTCACTACCATACGTTAAAGTAGGGACCAATACAGCATTGTGAATTGCCATACGTGCCTTTTTCGACACATTTTGACTCTTCACAATAGAGAGCAAGGCCCCATTTACTCTATTTCCCGCATTCACTCGTCGTTCTATATCCTTATCATATCTCCCATCCCTGCTAAATACGCAGCTCAAATATACAAACTCATCTACTTGATCGATCAACTCCCCTTCTATTCTTATTTCACAAATCGTTTTACTTTCTTCTCTTTCAAAACCCATAACCTTCGTCTTACTTGCGTTCACTTTCATACCCCTTTCTTTTAATGATCCGTTCATTAATGTAACCATCATTTGCAACTCGGCCGCCGACGACAGCAAGAATAACTTGATCATCGGCGTACAAAAGGCATTTGACGGTTAACTCACCCATTCTTAATCCGCATTCTTCAACTTTCAAATTTTGCAAACAACTGTCCATAAATAGGTTGAACAGCCACGGGGAAGCCACACAGCCCTGTCTGACACCTTTATGGATGTCAAACCAGTCCGAGTAAACCCCGTTGATCCTAACACAAGCACTAGAGTCCCTATAAAGAGAATCCAATGCCTGTATCAAGCCAGCGCTCAACCAAAATGAGTTCAGTGTTTGCCATAGCAAATCCCTATCCACTCTGTCATAGGCCTTTTCCAAGTCCATGAACGCACAAAAAACCTTTTGGTTTTTGGCCAGAAACTTCTCCGCGATCATGCGCATGGAAAAGACTTGATCTGTACATCCCATTCCCTTTCTAAATCCCGCTTGCACTTCCCAAATTTTTCCATCAGTTTCTTTCATGACCCTTTCAATCAGTACCTTAGCATACAGTTTTCCCATAATGCTAAGAAGGCTGATGCCACGGTAGTTTTTACAGTCCTGCTGCGACCCTCTTCCTTTATATACTGGGACTATCACGGCTTTGCACCAGTGTACCGGTACCCGCTTCAGTTCCCAGCATAAATTAAACAAGGTGTGCAGCAGGCCTGCCACCACTTCCTCTCCAGCCCTTAGCATTTCGAGTCAAACTCTATCATATCCGGCAGCCTTACCTGCTTTCATGCTTTTCATTGCTTTCATTATTTCATCTATACTTATCTCGGTACCTCTTTCCTCTTTCGGTGTTTCTACTTCACTTAGTACACACGTTGTCTCCTCACTCATAAACACGCTTTCAAAATATTCCTTCCATCTCTTTAAACTCAAAACTTCATCATTCAGAATATAGCCATTCTCGTCTCTTATAGCATTCATCATAGGCTGTTTTGAATGTCCCCTGGCAGTTCTTACAAGTTTCCAGAACATTTTAATATTTGCCTGGAAGTTATCCGATATTCTTCTATCATTCTTATCCGTTCTTTCTTGCTTTTTTCTTTCAACTACTTCTTTTACTCTCTTATTAAGATGTCTAAAGACTGCCTTTTTTCTTTTAATATCACCATTCGTACCACTAGAATTAGCAGCCTTTGTTGCTAGTAAATCTAGCCATGCTCTCTTCTTTGCTTCAACTTCCATACTTATCTCACTATCCCACCTAACGTATTATTTTTCATTTCATTCTTTCTCTTACTAACACCACATACTTCGGTAGCTGCATCCACTAAACTTTTCTTTACATTTTGCCATATATTCTCCAAGTCTAACTCCTTCATACATAATTCATCCAAACCACTTATATTTTCTTTCAGTCTATTTTAATTATGAAAGACATTACTCAATTCATGGCTTTACTCAATTCGTACATTTCAATACATTGCACACTTTGAGTACCACTTTAACGAATATTCAGTGATTTAGCCGAATAGTCGGCTGAATACGAATATTCGGTTAAGCTGCCAAATACGCCGAATACCGAATTTGTAAAAATGCAATGTTGAAAGTATATTTTATTTATAGGTTAAATCTACTTGTATTGCGTTATGTTTTTGAGGCACTGTAGATTTATTTCCAGTTATAGCAAATAGAAAGCTTGATAAGATGTTTTTGAAATCAAACAAAGAAACATTACTTACATTACATTAGTACATTTCACTTTACTTTGATCATCAGTTTCTCTAAAATAAGTCAAAATTTTTAGATCTTCTGCCACTAATTTTTATCATATAATTATCAATTTTCACTAAGAATAACACAACGAAATACTTTTTTCTCACAAAAATATCTCACAAAAAGTAAAAAAACAAGCATGTGCCGGCAATTTGCTCGGTACTAGATGATGCAATAATCAGGTGTGGCGGGGGAGCGAGGGGCAGGGTCCGGCGCTAATCCTGCAGGCTTTACTGTAACAAGTTTCGACCTAAATTGGTTAGTTACCGATGTGACCCTGCTTAATAATGTTCGGACGAATATTCGGTTCGGT